TGTACACGCATTGCGACGCATTGCTGCACTTTCTCTAACTGTTGGTTTTACGTTTCTTTATGTTTCTTTGCGATCTTCATCTTCTAGGCCTTCCGGTATCACGTTGGCTCGTTGGCCTTCGGTGCACTTGCCCTGACGGCGCGAGCCCAAAAATGGTTTGGCGCTGCTGGAAAGCGTCCAAGTGCGATTCATGTCGAAGTCTTTTGTAGGTGTGTACCGTCCCGCGGCTCGTGTGGGAAGCCCAGGTAGCAGTGGTCGCAGAGAGAAAGTTCGCAGCATGTGTAAGTGATGGGAGCGTACGACACTCATGTCGTGACAGCTTTGCTACTGAATCAGGGTTCCAATCGTTGGTTGCCTTGTTGTTGAGGCTTGAGTACGTGGAGAAGCATGCTAAGGAGACTGGCGACCAAAATGCTGGTGCCCAAACTGCTCAGTTGGTGCAATCTATTGCAGAGTGATGCTGTTGGTAACTCAGCAAGTACTCGTACGACATACACGACTCCACTCGGCCAGTGTCTGGCCGACGGGGGTCTTTCGAGCTTCTCTGGGGGTTTACGGAGCTGCTTTGCGATGCCGATTCCACATTGCACGGCAATGTCAGTTCGCATAGGCAGTACCCCAATGCTGGAAGCCACGCCGTGGAGTTTTTCAGTTTTTCCTTTGGAGCGATATGTAGAGTCGAGCACTGATGCACCCTGTTTAAAGACTCTTTAGTGTTCCCCCCCCCCACAGTCGAAACTGACTTTGTCCTTCTTTACAGTCACAGTCTCGGGATTGAAATGACTCTAACAGGGATGAGGTTATATGAGTGTAAACGGGACACGAAGCTTTCTTACGACACCCGGAGTACTTGGACTTCGTAGGACCCAGACTGTCATAGGCGGGTCCTGAATAGCGCGGAAGCTTGACTTTATGGAGGAGGCCCATTCTAAGAGGGTGCAACATTACGACGCACACCCAGCAAAGAAACATGGTGCGCAGCGAAATTACGTAGAGGTGCCTGCACCAATCCATGCAGCAGAAACCTCGGAGAGTGAGCACTCAGGAAGGGAAGGTCGTCAAGGGGACAAGGGATGCAACCAGCTCAAAACTGTGCCACGCCCAACAAAATCAAGAACCAGGCGAGTAGCTCAACAGGAAAGCAAGAAGCAGCAAGACTGATAAAGATGGATGCCCGTCAGCAAGACCTTAGGCCAGCGGGGTGCCTCACCGCGAACTGTATATACAGGATACACGGATGCATGCAAGCAGAATAGTTCCTCAGATGGGCCCTGGCAAGAGGCAATCTGCAATCCGCAGGGCCCTAACACCAGCAGTTGCACGGGATGCCTGTGCCCGAAAACTGGAATATGCTGGAATCCTAGAATCACCCTAGAAGGTAGTGACAGTGGGGGCTGGATCCCAGGCCTTGGCAGCAGCCGTGCGCTGTGCCACAAGGCCGCTCCTCGTGTAGTCACAGGTCAGTGATGACAATGAGAAAACGAGCAAACCCAACCATTGTGCGCATGTGTGCATTGGATTAAAACGTCGATTCTTGAGGTGCTGCTTAAGCTGGCTGCACTGCTGCCTTGATCTCAACGTGCGTAATGTGCCCACCAACTTGCAGCTTCACGACACCGACCAAGCCATCAAGGCCTGAAGTTCGTCACGGAGTATGCGTACATGTACGTAGCCGTCATAGGACCCGGTGCAGTGTGCACACCGTCAACTATTTTCTGTGGCAATATCTGCTAACTAGTTTCTTCTAGTCGGGCGGTTGCTACGTTACGTACGCTTACCTTACCGTGTACCTGTACCTCGTAACAGGGCAAGATCACAAATTTTGGTGTCGTGGGTACCACCCTTGCAGGAGAACCTTTCTGCTCGTCGGCATGCAAATCGCAGGGCCGCCAAGCGGACATTCTGTGACACTCGGTGGCAACACTGTAGAAGCCACTGCTGCTTTGTCCCCAAAGGTTTCAGCTGTTCACCAAGTATCCTGCACAGGCACGGATGCCGTGTGATGTCGCAGCAAGGTAAGGTTGAAGGCGGACTTTTCCCAAACCTTCAGGGCGCAAGCAGGTTACCAGACTATGTCTTGGACCCTGTTGTGGGGGATAACGTCGAATACCTGCCGGCTGGAGGTTAGCAGGTCTGCACGTCAGGCACTGTGTTTCCCGCCTTCCCCATAGCTCTTGGCTGGTCAGAGGTTGTCAGGTACCTCCGCCCGTCAAATACCTCCCTGGGCCTGGGTGGTTACCGGTTCGTGGGTCCGTCCGTCAGATGCCATGCCACCGGTCACAGGTTAGAGGGCTTAAGGGTTTACAGAGTTTGCTTGTCAGATGCTGTTGATCTAACTATCCTCATCCGCTGCTCATTTATGTATCTAATTATCTCCCCTTCCCCCCCCCCCCCCATGACCGACAGGCTCTGCCCATCAGATACCCCTGTCAGTCCATCAGACACCCTTCTGAGAGGAGGAGGAAGGTTACCGGTGTATGCTCTGTTTGTACTCGTGGTATATCGCTTCAACGTTAATGTATACGCGCATGTAGGTGTGCGTGTGGTTGAGTGTGCGCGGGCACATGGGCTCATGTGTATGCGACACGCATACAGGGGACAGGGGCGATCAGTAGCGTGCTGCCGCAGCGCCAGGTTGCTCTCAACACATTGACCTCGGTAGTGTACGAGTCCCAGATTGCACTTTGGAGCACCTTGTGTGCAGCCAGTAGCATGCTGCGATGGGGCTAGGCTCGGCTTTCTCGTGTGCATTGGCGTCCCGTTCGCGCTGGCACCCTCCAGCTTTTATGCTTAGTGCAAGAAGAGTGCATGAGATGAATGACTTGCCAGTCGGTATGAACTTGTCCAAAACCACGAAGACGAAATGTCCTGATGAGGTACTCGCTACTTTCTTTGAGCTGAGAGACAGCTGGGTCAACTTTCAGTTTCTTTCTCAGGAAGAGATGCGATGTTCTGGTCTCCGCAGGGTCTCCGTGTCATTTCTCACGTTCGAAGCTCGCCCAAAAGCTGCCAAGGCCGTGTGCGGTTTGCGTGATGATCCTCGCATACATCATCTCCCGCATGTCCGTCCGATGCCGAGACCCATCAGTCTTAGTATGCGATTCTTGAAGCAAGGCCCGGGGGATTTGTTTTTCAGGCGAAGCTAACATCCAGACCTCTGGACTCCTGGATGGGCGGTTGTGGGGGGGGGCTTTTGGGTTGATCTTTGCTCAAAGCGCTATAATGACCCAGCGCCGGCAAAGTCGTCCCTTGTCTGTTCTCCCCCCGTCTTCACAAGCTCTGCAAGTTGTGAAGCACGTGGCATGACATGCCGGCGCACGATAGTCAGGTTCTTAGCATTGGTCACCTGCACAGGTCGGCGTTTACGATGCGATACTTACAGCGCTTTTCATCTGTGCAATGCGGGATGAGGACAAGTCATCCCCACAGTCTTGCATAAATCAGTAGATCTCAGTGGATGCGGAGCAGTTTGTGGAGATGTTTGCTGAGATGCTTTGTTTGAGGAGTATTGTGGTGGGCAGCACATGAGCGCAGAGCTTCGACAAGCGCTCGGGGCCCAGAAAACGGTCAGAGGCCAATACGCGTTCGTTTTCTGGTTCAGATCGCATCGCACATAATCGGAACATCCGTTAATTGAACCACTTCACAACAGCTTGCCCGAACTCCGGACGAACTCCGGAACCTCGGGTCCTTCCAGACCTGGACTCACGGCCCTTCAAACAAAGGACATCCATTGGAACATAGGATGGTGGAGGATGGATAGGATGGTGGTGCTTAAACCGGTGGCATCATCCGCCATCCAACCGAACAGCGTGTCTCACGCTCAGCAGAACTCCAAGAGTTCTGAGGTGGGCAACATAGGCAGCACAACTCTTCGGGGGACGGAAAGAGCCCAACACAGACTTGCGCCCGAGCGATATGCGAGGCCGAGCCCGAGCCCGAATTGGAGAGCCAGTTTTTGTCCCACGCTCGCCAGGTCATCCAAGGCGTAGCTGAGCGCAGCCGAGACATAACATGATATTACTATGACTACATGGGTTGATGTCGTTTTGCTTTGTTTCGCTCGGTCCCCTCCGACTTGAGACGCGAGGCTATTCTTACACATACTTCTGAGATCTTCTGAGGCTGGCCAGTGGCCTGACAAAGTCGGTCCGATCATTGGTGGAAGCTCTCGAACAGGTGTTTCTTGACAGTCATGCTACAAAGTTAATTGCGTGAGCGGGCCGTCACCCTTCTCCCGACAGTCGCTAAATCACCCACACCCAAGCCAGTTGGTCAAGGTCCGCGCAAAAGCACAGATTGGTCCTACCATATAAACAGCGATGGCGGTGTGTGAAAACTTAGTAGTTGTGTAATCACGAAAGCCAGCTCCTCTGGAGCTGGCGGGAGTTTTGATTACAACTTTCTTGTTTTGGGGCAAATGGGACTTGGGGGGCGTGAATCCCTGATACCTATCTTCAACTTCTGCCGACAAACATACGATTCTGGCGCGATCCTCGAGAGAAGCTGTGCTGATCTTTGCTGCTCGAGCCAAGCCGTCGAGACACGTGTGGAAGGATATTTACCTTGAGTACCCAGGAGGGCAGCTCGAAGAAACACGCATATGCTGCCAGTGTTTCGTCTTCCCGTTCCGAACGTCGACGATGTCACTACTGAAAACAGTTGCATTCAGTGAGGCTTAAATTGCGAGGTGGACGTGAGGCTGCGGACTCATGGGAGTGGGCTTGCTAGTAGAGCAAGTCATGGCAAAATGCGACGGTGCTTGGTGAGGTGGAGTTCTCATGATGCACGCCCCAATGGCAGCGGCGACTTTCGGAAGCCGTCGGTTCTGCAGTAGTTTAGGATGAACCCTGTCGCCTGTGCAGGCAAGTAGTGTAGTTGGAGCACGATTGCTGAGGCTGCTTGGGCCTAGCCGGGAAAGAAACAAAAACTCGCGGGAGCTCCTTCCGATTAGGATGTGAAGTCGTTATGCGCGCTCACTGACAGCACATCCCTGTGAGGCCATTAGATGCTTTCAAAGGGTGCTGTGCTCAGATGCTGACTGTGTGGCATGCCTTTGTTTGACGACTGTTTGTCTTCTTGTCGTGAGGCGATCCAGTTGAATCCGAAGCAAGCGTATGTGCCATGCTCAGACCAGCAGAAAAGCGAGAGCAACTGAATATGCCGACAACATCTGGCAACATCTCAGTGTGTGCTGGTGGATTCCTCTTGGCGTGATGTGCCAGGCCCGCACCTTGCTCGGCCATGAGCTTCTAGCTCTGGAGAAGCATGACAAGGCCGTGGGCCTTGGAGCCGATTGGGAAAGCGGGAGGAAAGCGGGATATGAGCATTCAAAGAATCTGTTTCGTGTGGAGGCTGTGCAGCAATACCGCAGTGCTCTCAACGTGGATGTACGGCAATACGGCGCATGGTGGGGCCTGGGCAAGGTGTGCCAGTTCCAGGCAAGTTATTCGAGGCTTTGCGAAACGTTAGCTGTTTCAAAAGCCATTCGGCTTGGCCAGGAGGATCTCGTGCAGGCCAAGTACAACTTCCTGCGAGCAGTGAGCTGTCCACGCTTGCAAGACAGTCGACAGCGGACAGTGCTCTTCTCCATTTGCTTTGTGCTTGCCACAGAGCTCGCGATCCACTTCGAGCCGGCCTTTGCCCAAATCGCCTGCCAAAGCCAGGTCGAGATCAACGGTTCCAACCAGGTGTTGCGAACTTCCCTTGGCATGGTGCTGCAGGCCTCTTGTGGTAGGTCACCATGCGGGCACGGCTATCTTACATAAGAGCAGCGTGCACGACAATAGACGCACGAAGATCACGTAGCTTTCCTTTCTTGAAGTTTCAGCAGGCTTTGGGCGAGCCGCTGCAGGCCCTGCAGCTCTTCAATCGAGCAGCTGGAAACTCATTCGGAACTCCCGCATTCCCGTCCGCACACAAGCGGAGTATCAGTGCAGAGTCATGTAAAGTCCGTCAAGTAGTCTGATTTTTCCAGGCTGAAAGCAGCCACTGCAGAGCTTTGGCATTTTTCCAAAAGGCTTTCCTCGCCTGTACCGAACCTGTAGACATCTGAGAGTTTGGAGCCGTCTGTTTTGTCGCCAGGCCTGCGTCCTGTCCTCGCAGGAAGAGCACGGGAAGGCTCGGCGATGTTGGAACAATTTTCAAGTCGATTCGTGTGTGAGAGCGCAAAGTTCTGAACAGTGGGTGCGCATTGCCATGCCCGTGGCATGAGTTGAGGCAGCTTGTGAGCTTGCGAAAGCCAGGTGTGAGGAGCTCGTCAGTGCAGCACTGCAAAACCAGAACATCTCTCCCGTCACATCTCCTGAGGTTTGGCGCCTCGTGAGCCCTGCATCCATGTGCAACTGGGAAGAGCGCACGTAGGCCAGCCGGGCAGGCCATGGCAGGTCATGAGATGAGGGCCCTTGACCTGGGAAGGTCTTGGAAACACGCAGGAGGCCCTGCAGCACTTCACAAATGCCTTTCTGCGGCATCGAGTGTATTCTACCCCGCGCCGTATCATGTGCAACGCGAGCGATAGCAGGTAGACTAGACACCAAAGCTCAAGTTTCTGCGCGTGGTGAAAGCCGAGGCGATGGACTTCTGCGCCACATCTGGAGACCATCAGCTCAGTGCGGCAGCTGAGGAGAGCACCTTGAGCATACTTTGATTTCTTATCGGCTTTGGCAGCCCAGTGCTGTGGATTCCATCAGAGTTTGCGAGTGCTTGTGTTCAGGAAGAGCTGCGCAAAGCGATGCCCAGTGAAGCGAGATCAGGAAGTTCATCAGCAGCTTTAATTGCAGGCTCGTTGTTTGAACGACATGTGACATCCTTGTGTTCGATCTTCGGTTTCCGACTTGGGGGAACAAAAGCGCGAGATCCCTGCAGCTCATCTCAGACACAACTTCACAAGGGCTCGATTGTCAAGGCCGTTAATGAGGGCGCAGGTGCCCCGGTGCTCACCCTCCCCGATCTGGGGAATCTGTTCGGATCTTTTCTCTGATCATTTTTGCTTTGATGACTTTGTGTGTGGTATTTCGGCTCCTGCAAACATCATCCCCCTTGGCCCAGGTCCTCAGCACAACAGACTAAACCATATCTGTCCCACAACGTATCACAACTTGCAGCAAGGAAGATGCCAACATGCAGAGGAGGGCTGTTTCAGGAGGGAATTTGTTGTTGCTGTTGTTTGGGAGCTGTTCTTGTTGTTTTCTCTCATTCTGTTCGAATCCCGGTCCAAGCCCTTCCTGCCTTTCTTCGATTCCCCTGGGAAGCGTTTTGCCTTATTCACACCCTTTGTTTTCTTCGGATCCCATTTTGTCCCCTTGAATCCTAAAATCCTAAAGCCTAAGCCCCTAAACCCCGAACATCCCGCGGCCCTAACCCTAGAATCCCAAAATCCAACAACCCTCTTCTTCGAATCCCTACCCGGAACTACCCGACCTTCACCCAATCTGCAGCGAATCCTTGTGTTAGTGAACACACCAGCTATGTTAAACAAATTAGTTGGGACCTTGTTGCCCACAACGTGTTTAAGAGTGTTTAACATACCTTCAAGCTTCAGGCTTAGGGCTGAGGGGCTGAGAGGCATGAGGCTTTAGTGCTCCGGCCGCCTCTGTCCGGACACCCGCAAGCAATGACCTCGTGGTTTGGCTCGGCTGTTTCAGGTTTGTCTTCCCTGTACACACGCACGTGTTCTTGAGTTTTTCAAAGGGTTGAACGCGACTTGGTGGCTGGCTTAGCGACTTACACTTCGTGTTTTTTGAGGCTATCATTTTCAGGAGGGTCGTGGGGACGAATTTAAAGGCACAAACAAACGCAACCGAATCCGCTTCCTCCTACGCTCTGAGACTTTGGGTTTACTTTCGAATCCAGGAGATCATAGGGATCATCACCTTTCGGGATCAGCATTCAGTATGCCAACAAGAGTTCGTATATGTTTCGTGTCTACCGATTGTTATTGTGATGCCATGCTAGGGTATCCATAGAACATGCTCGCACACCCTTTTCCGAATTCAAATGTTGCATTCTCCAATCCCAGTTCTTGCGTATTGGAGGCTTGTTTCTTGCTTCCCCACATCTTCCACTGCAGGAAAGCATGTTCAGGAGGATCCAACCGTTCGTGGGGCATATGCTCACACATGCCTTTTGCCATTTCAAGGATCACGTCTCCCACCGCAGAAAAAACTAGCTAAGTTGTGGGAGCGAGTGTGTAGTATGTTGCAGTATGCGAAGCAAGCTTTCATGATGAGTTCCCTTTTTCACCATGACGATCTCATGCCTCGGCCGTGCTGCTCCAGAAGGAAGTGCGAAATGTGTTTACTGTAATGAAATTAGGCAGCAAGAGTTCTTGAAGGTCATCTGATCTGAAATGATTCGAGAATACGAAATGAAATATGATAGGTATCGATAGAGATTCATAGAGATTCATCTTTTCAAAAAGGATATCAGCACTTCATTTAAAAATTGAAGAAGCGGTTTCACAAGTCGATCAGAAGAATGATCCCATTCGTAATCTAAATTTTGCAAAAATAAATTATTGATGGCTTCCAAAGTCGTATCCTCCCATCATTTTGAAGATGATGTATTCGAAATTCTATTTGATGAATATTTTTCTTAGATATCCCGATCTGTCTATTTCTTCTCCATAAATTCTTCTGGCCACCCCTATTTCCGTCCCGAAATTCCCAGCCGTGCGTTGCAAAACCCGACCCCCCCCCCTCCCCTCCCCCCACAATTTAGTAAGATAACCCTTACAATAAGGACCTCAATAAGGTAGCCCTTAATATCGGCAGCCCCACATCGTGGCACCTGCTTTGGATGTGCCAGGCACGCTGTTCCCCAACGAAGCTCTCGGAAATGATTGGCTGCTCCAGTGAGCTCTTGTGCGTGGGGCAGGAATGCTTCGTGTAGGTATTTCCCAAAATAGGGGTACCCCAGTATTACCCAAGTACAACACCCCTCAAAGGGACCCCCAACAAGGGCACCCCCATTTTCGGAAACCCCATGTAGCAAAACGAAGAGTGAAAGTAAGAGTAGCAACATGATAAAGAACTGAAGAATCCTGGGTTTGCGGTTTTAGGCTTACATGAGGGTCCCAACTAGGTGTTTACAGATCGCAGCTCAGAGCAGTTCCACTCCACACAATTAGTGCTGCCAGGTAGCAGTGTGCTGTCGGAGCAGCAAACGAAAGCTGGGGATTCGAACACGGCGGCGGCTCAACTACTTGCGCGGATTTCGAGGTTTAGGTTTTAGGGTTTAGGGTTTAGGGTTTCGAGCCAGTCTTAAAAAGGGTTTCGAGCCCTCAAGCAAGTCCAATTGGAACTTTCGCATCCGGGGACCTTAATCGAATCTCCGATGCGGGAAAGATGAAGTTCCGAGCTTCGTCACATCCGCCTCGACGAGATGCTTTGCGAAAATGCACCCCAATGATGGGATGACGGTTTTCCGGTTTCCCACATGGCAGGACCTGCTTAGCGCCGTGGCAGATGTTTAGGGTTTTAGGATTTAGGGTTTAGGTGCCGATCGTGAAAATTCAAAACGATCGGAAGCGGGATATGTACTTCCCATCGGGTCAGCCACGGGTGAGCTGGTGGTCGGCCTGCCCTTTTGCCATGTTGCATGTAGATTGTGGCTGCCTTCGTCAGCTATGTGTGTGCGTGTGTGCGTCTGTTCTAGGTTAGGTTGGGGCAGCTTTTTGGGGTCCTTTATCGTATGAGGGGCTTGAATGTTTAGGCAACCCGAAAGTTGTACTTGTTGCATATACTCTTGAGCCTAGGTTCCCCAACGAACCTGGCTGGCGCATCGCAAGTCCTGCTAGCCGGACAGCCACTGCCAATGCCATTTGCATTCGCTAGAATCTGAAAGGACTGTGCAAGCAATGCCTCAAATACTTCAGCACGGCTGTAGAAGATCCCACAGCATGATTATGGCTTGAAGCCATGGCTAATTGTGTTTGCCATTCCTGCAAAATCCGATGGTCCATGCTGAAGCCACAATGCTCGGTGCCTTGCGCCCCTCCCGAAAGATGCAAGCCCTCATGCCTTCACGGCCCACAAGGTGGCCACGCGTTCTGACCGCCAAGCAAGGCAAGAAAAGGCAAAGCAGCGCAAGAAGGCCCCACGTGTCTGCTGGGCGCTGCCTAGTGAGCTGCTCTAGACATCTCTCTAGTTCCGGTGGCCACCATGTCGGACCTGAGAGGCATCCCTTTGTCTTTGTGTGGTAGTTGAGAGCTGCTTCTATTTCCCAAGGGCTTGGCTCAAGGACGATGGTCTTGTAGCTTATGTTTGGGTACCACAACTCCTAATTCAGCAACAGCTACAATGACAATTTTTGCTAGGGTTCCAAGCTCAGTAAAGGTTTAACTGGAGAAGGCCATCATGTGAGCGCTCCTGCGCACTTCTTTGTCATCAAATGGAGATGGTATGTAAAGATGCAGAAAGTTGAGAAAGCGATCCTCAGCGAAATCGAGGCGGCAAGCTCAAGCTGGTAAGCCCTCGAAACATTACCGTAGAGCTGCTGCATGCTGCTTCCAGGAGGACCAAGAGGAAAAGAGGAGGCGCCGCGAGTTCCGCGAGAAGCAGCAGGCAGCCGCGGTAGACGGAACATGTCGGAAATGTCGGAACATGTCGGAACATGTCGGAACATGTCGGAACATGTCGGAACATTGAAGCATTCTGCTCGAGAGCTTCAGGCGCGAGCCGAGCGCAAGAGGCTGCGACAAGAGGAGAAGTTGCGAATCCAGAAGGAAAATAAGGCAAAGAGGGAAGCCCGGAAGAGGCAACGAGAAACACAGCCAGACTGCCACGCTTAGGCCGTTTAGGCCATTCCTCGGTTTCAAGCTTCGCAAGCGGTGGAACGTGCCAGGCGTTTTGCGGGTGAGCGCCAGCCTGTGTCACTGTGTCACTGGAGTTGCTAGAGTTGGGGAGCGTTGACAGTTGAGCCAATAGTTGACCAAGGGCCACACTTCCGGGCAAGCCGCACAGTGACTTCAGGTATGGCACCAAGAAAATTGCAAGCAGCTAATGAGCCGAGCATGCCCGCCTTGGTTGGTATATTGCGTTGCTTCTGTTTAAATTTTTATGCAGGGACGAGACGCCTGGAGGCGATGTGCGGCTGCCTCGGACAAAGCTCCTTGCTGTCACCCCTTCCCTACTTAGGCATCGATGACGATGCTCTCCAGGCCTGACATGCCTGACCAAAACCTTGAATCCGACTTGGTGCATCAAGCATATCAAGCTGGCTTACGGAAGTACATAATGTTGGACTGAAACTGGTGCTGCAGACGGACTTGCTGGGGGACACAAGCATCACAGTGAGACCAGAGGAGGACCTGCGTCCGAGGCGCCATGATTTTTTGAGTCGGCGTTTAGCAAGCAGAGATGCTGCGGAAGCTCCCGGAAGGCAACTGCAGAGATCATCCACCACAGTCTCTGGCATCTCTTACGTGACAGCCACATCGGCAGTGATCTCAGCAGGCTAGGGCTGGTGAAATCTGTTGAAGCTAGTTGTGTCGTTCCATGCCGCTGTTTCTCCTTATCCTCTCGAGATGACAGCTGAGGATGCATCTGACACTTTACCTGATAGTGACGATGATGAGTCCTTCCGACACAGTAGCAGACGGCTGTCACCAACGCTGAGCCGCGCCTTCACGCTTACGCCACACGGGTTGGGCACGTTCGGGCTGCTGATTTGCATGTCGATTCTCTTCTCCATCCCATACGCAACAGGCAGGCAGGCCTCCAGAAACTCGCTGCGAGCCGGCCGCTCTTGCCTCGGCATAGTTGCGCTTTGTCGATCTTTGTCGCCTCTCAGCTTGGGTCTCCGCAGCTCACGTGGTCACATAGTCGTGTTGATGGTGGTGTAAAGCATCGCAAGTCGGTACAAGTCTTGGCGGTACATGTACTAGTCGTCTCCGTCAGTCTCTGTCATGGTCATTGTACACCAGTCTCAACATCAACGCTCCGCGTGCCGCTTTGGCTCCGCTGCAGGGCATGGCCGGGCAAGTTCCTTGGATGGTGTGTGGGGGCCACCGAGGACGACCCATGAAATCGGGCTCGGCGCCGGGAGTGAAGGATGTGCACAGGGGGTCCAACACCACAGAGGGGTCTGGGGCCTCCGGGTCAGTTGGGAAGACGCCCAAAAATTGCCCCTCAGATGCCAGATATTGCCAGATGGCCTGGGGCCTTGACAGATTCTCAATGTAATCTCAACGTGGCAAGCTGCAGCTTGACGTCAGGTACCACGACCATGTGGCTCTGGCATGGCTTTCCGCGCAAAATCACTTAGCTTAGGATGCACACGGTTTTAGGCGAATCCCCAAAACGAATGGGTCTTCATGGGTTGCCGCTGAGTGCCAGGACAGACGATGGCACCTCGTCCAAGGTGGACTGGGGTGACCGATAATCTCCGACTTGCTACTTGCATTTTGATTCGTGGCTGCACGTCGACACCAACTTTGTTTACTGCTTGCTCGTCGTGCCAGAAATTCAGATCTTCCATCACGGTGCGCTCGCCTAGCTCTGCTTGCCGCATGTCTTGTCTGCTTTGGCCAAAGAGCGAACAAGTAAGGGCGTCATAAGCGGTGGACTCCAAAACACGGGCAACAACCTGATTCGGACAGGCAGGGTTGGGATCAACTATCACGCCAGTGTTCCAACAAGGATTTCCACGTGTGTTTGAGGCACAACCATCGGGCTGCTCCTTGGAGTGGTACCTTCCAAATCATCAAGGCAAACTGTGAGAATGGCTGCGCTGTGTGCCGGAGTAATCTTCAGTTCCGCAGTAGCTTCTCAGACCCGTTCTACTCAGGGACTTCTTGAGGAGAAAGGTCGTGAAGCTGCTGCCAAGACGCATGAAGGCGGGTGCGGGACCTTCAGACCTTGAGGAATCAGTCCTTGAAAGATGCATGCCTCCACGATCCACACAGCCACCGTTAGACTTCAACGTTTGCCTAAGCCGCAACAGCCCTTGCTGCCAGTACGTGCTTTTGGCATCGCAGGGGGCACTGTTTGATCACTTCTGCGATTCAGCAAGTTTCACAGGAATTGAGAGAATGGAAGCATGTGAAAGCCGAGACTCAGCAAACTGGGACATAAAAGACAGCAGCTAAAGGGTATGAAGGGAGGGGAGAAGCGACGCACTCACATGTAATGTCCGCATTGCAGCAATAACTAGGAGAGTATGGGTTTCGCCACTGTGGTTTGTTTGTTAAACGTTTGGGGTTTGGCACGGCTTGCTGCAAACACTTTTTTTTTTAAAATAGTGCCCCGCACCTCCACCTCAACCCAGAAGGAGAAAACAAATCGCCGATGAAAAGTGCCAAGAATGCTGTAAATGCCGACGGTTCTGCTCCAAGCCCAACCCCCCTCTGAAGAACACAAAATGGCAGAATCAGCGTTTTCCGTCACAGGCCAAAGACCGAGAAATCGACGAATTTTGGTGACAAGTTCACCAGAAGTGACCAAGCCAACGAGCAACAAATGCCGTAAGTTCCGGCGTTTCGGCCTGAAAGCCATCAACATGACGCATCCCGCGTATCACCCCCACCCCCCGCCACGGAACCAAAAAAAGCATCCCTGCCAACAACTACTGTAGGTTCTTCCGCTTGTGCTGCGCCCAAACCGCAATGCCACAGCAAGGGCTTCTTCTTTGGAAGGGGGAGTCAAGCCATTTGTGGAGTCACAGTTTATCCTGTCGGGTGATGAGAGTTGTTTCAATGAACGTTCGGAAAAAAAGGTGGCTCTTGAGATATCCAGCGGCGTTCCTGCAGCTTCTGTCAGATTTTACCGAGGAGGCATGTGCAAGGATGTTGCTTCAACCATCCTTGGCATCGCTTTGCTTGCTCTCCATATCTGACTTGGGCATGTTCTGCTGTCCCTCCTGGAATCTGCATTCTCGAATCGTTCATTCAGAGGGATATCAAGCTAAGTGACTCCAACCTTCGCAGTGGCATGGTTTCTTTTGGTTTTCGAGAACTCCCGAGAACTTCACGGGGTCTGAGTGAGCGTCGGTGACAGCAGATTGACAGGGTGGACGTCGAGCTTCTGATAGCAAGGAGGCGGCAGGCGCAAGACTCTAACATGACACGCGCGTATGCTCATCATTCAGAAGTTCACTTGACGAGTCTATTCAAATTTATTTTCATTTGCTCTGTCTCTCTCTCTCTCACCCTCAGCTAGTGTACTTTGCCTGGCAGATGACGACGACGACGCTGCTTCTGAGGATAGCGCTGACCTTAATCAGGTCCTGAGGTGAAAACATGCCCTTTCTGCTGGACCTCGGTTGCGAGGTGAGACGGAGCAGATCAAGGAAGTTCGGCGCAAGTTCAAGGACAGAGCACATGTTGCGAAGCAGCTGCGCAGTCACTCTGAAGTCTGAAAGGTTCTGAAACCCCTCAAAAGTTACGGTCTTCTCTCCAAGAAGTCTACTTGTACCAACCTACATAATAACGTCAACGCTTAAACATTCTGCTCCTCACGCAGGAGAAGCAGCTGCATCGACCTCAGTAGAAGAGCTTTTGCCCATATTCTTCACGCTGTGCTTGCTGCTGCATTCCGAGTGAGTTCGGCTTTCGAGGCGTTCCTCGGCTTCGCTTGATGGCCAACAACTCAGCCATCTCTCAAATCATCTCCATGCATTCTTGGTCGAATCCGAATCCCCTTCCAAATCCCTGAATTTACGCTGAGGCACCAGCGTGAACCTCAGATGGAGAATGACCCTGAGAGCATCTGTGGCTGTGCAGACGGCACGAATCGTCGGTTCATTGCACTTTGCTTCGCATGTTCGAAAGTACGTCAGCCCTTGTGGCATCGGTCGTTACAGCCCTGCCTTGGAATGCCTGGAAGGCGTGATTTACCCTCGATGCGACGTACAGTGGACGATAGTGGACGTGATCATAAATTTGAGTGCAACATTTTTCACAGAGTGCAGAAAATCCAGTGAATATCCCACACCAAAAACGAAGCACTGCATGCTGTTGGCGAACATTCTGATTATCCGTCAATGTCGTCAGGAGCCCAAAAGCATTTCGAAGACGGTCGGCTGAGATAAGTGGCGAGTACTGATACGAGTTTGACTTGCCAAGCCATAACCCACACCATAGCAGGCCATAGCACATCCTTGCTTGGAGTCCGTTGGCGTATGCACAGAAAGCCACATATCGGCAACCAAAAACATCCGCAGCAATATCCTGATGCTCGAGGCAGAGTGTGCAATCCGAGCAAACTTTGCATAGGCAATCATGCTGAACCATGCGGGGCAAGCTACTGTATCATCCATGTCAACTTTGGCTTCCGAGAGTCCCAGACCCTCTCAGTCTACGTGTCTTCTGCATGTGTCCCAGAACATCTCGGAACTGAACTTGAAGCCTTTCTTCCAGGTGACAATGTTCTGGCACGTGCTAGAGAAGCTGTAGGCTCTGAGAGCCTCATAGCCAAGCGTTCTGCGGCTTTCATGCCACTCAGCTTTCCGCAGGCATTCCCGAATCGGAAGAGGAGTACTCTTGCTGGCTGGGGCCGCAGAAAACTTCCCCAGCGATCCTTTGCATCACAGAAGTGTCACAGCGTTTGAACTTGACAGCCTTCGGCTGGTTGGCTGCTTAAGGTCAGAGGTGAAAGCTAGGAAGTGAGGTAGGGTGGGGTTGGCAAGGTTCCAGCATCGGTCCTGGGAGGTAACGTGGTGCCGGTGCCGGGCAGACTGGCACACTAACAGTGGTGTAACTTGTCATGGAGACGAGGCTTCGGATGCAGAGCAGAACAGGCATTTTATGGTGTCGTGCCGTCGCCTCAAAGTCTTTTCCCATATGGAAGTGGTCTCTTTGCACCGGACCAAGCAGGCAATCCAATCTCCCACGGCCCAGCTTGAGAACGTAGGGTTCGGAAGAATTCTGATGTGTGTGGGCTAAGATGCAAATCGCCGTCAGAAAGATTGCGGTTCAAGACCATCCTCCTCATCCTTCTTTGAAGAAGTTTGTTCCCGCAGCTTGTTTGTTCAGTGTCCTCAGACTGCTGTGCTGGATTCTGTTGCGGTCCAACTGCAGGCTGGATTCAGAGTGTCAGAGTGCACATGACATCCGTGGCAGGTTGAGTCGCTACGGTTTGAAGCAGCCATTGGTGTAGCAACCTCAGAGACTGACACTGTAGACTGCGCCTGGAGTTCCAGAAGTCACACTCCTGCAATCTGGTGCATAGGTTCTGATCGTCCTGAATGGAATCATCTCTGGCATGGATGCCATGTACAAGCCCGATGAGGAAAGGCCAGGCAATCTGCCAAACATTGAGATGCCTTCGGGGGGCTGGGGGGGGGGTGGGGGGTTGGGGGGGGGGGGAGGCATAGGCCGCAAACAAAGGCGAACGTGTTTATCTGAACCAGTCCCAAGCTGCGTGCCGCTGTGTCGCGGCCTACAGTAGCCTCTGAAATTGAAGAGAGAGACAAAACACATGGGGGAGGCAGACTCCTCGCACCCAAACTTTGGGGATCTTGGGGGCAGGTGCCTACAGCCCTGACCCCGTACCCCAAGAAAGAAGCGACGACAGAAACAAGCCACGAAACAAACATCAACAGCGTTAAGACATGAAGCCGGCGTGTTAGCTAACATCTGCATCATCTGCTGATCTTAGAGCTACTGTCTTTTAGCTTCTTTGCAGGCCCATCGTAGTGAGTAGGAAGTGCGACTTGTTCAGCAGTTCAGCCGGAGAATGATGTCAGAACGCAGAGCATTATTTGAGACGCATGTCCTCGGACCGCACGTGCAGGGCAGCATTCATCACTTGGGCCGAAAATTTCTTTGTGGTGGTCTTTGTCTTGGAGTGCCCCCTGAAGCGGAGTTTGTCAAGATTGAAATTCCAAGCGCTGACCAAAGAGTAAAAGCGGTATTTCATGCCTCCAGGTACTTCTTGCGATTGCGTGCAAACACATGGGCCTCTTGACTCACATCCGCCTTGAGATGTTGGCAGATGTTGGCAGTCCCATGACACAGACAACTTGAGCAGCTGGCATTCGTTTCGCGATGCCGAGGTGTTTGTTTTTGAGCCCATGCTGCTTGGATGCAAGCACCTGTCCGCACTCCGCTCTGCATTGCTTGCTTTCCCGAAAGACAGCCTCAGGAACATGTTTGATACCTTTGTGGTTTGGATTACCGGCGTCCTGGTCGTTTGGATCCTGGAGCCAAGTGGGGTCTGGGACCAAGACTCGCAGAAGTGGGTGGCCTGTTTTTGCAAGCGTTTGCAAGCTGCAGCCGGAACTCCAAGATTACGTTCGACCCCTTGCGGCGTTTGGCTGCGCTGCGAGCCACGGCCTCACACAAAGATAAGGCTTTTCACGGAGCTGTTCATACAACCCGGTTAGAACGCTGCCTTTAAGGGCCTTAACGCTGTCCCCCTCTGCCTCTAGCCCCAGCCTCTCTTGTGTGGATTCGATGTCTGTCGCCGGCGCAGAGTCTTCGCCTGCGCAGATTAGATTCTGGCATGTACTTTGTCAAACCGAACAGTGACAATCACAGCAACTGGTCTTGCTTGCGCTGATCGCAGAACGCAGCCTTCGTCTTCCTTTGTAACAGGTTGTGGGAGTTGTTGGGAAAGCTTGAAAACTAGCCGACGCCACACGATGTTCCAACTAAAGTGGGATAGAAGGCCTTGCTGGTAGCATACTTAGCTTTACCATACTCTGGCTCTATCTGGCTCTATCTGGCTCTGCAAAATCACGAAGATTTACGAACCCCACACGCGACGGCAGTTGCCGGCAAGGAATTGTGTCGTCTGGCTTTGAAGGACGATGCCAATGTGAGAGACGCAGATGTTGATGGTCAATGAATGCTAATACCAGAACCCCAAACATCGAAACTCGTACATGAAGGCATTCGACGCAGCGTACATGCCATGAACATCACGGTGCCCGGCGGAAGTTCGTCGGGCTAAGTCTGGCCTGTCGCAGTGCGTTAAAGTGTCGGAAGCCAGTTGGGCGAAGCAACTGTACAGTGGTTTAGCGCTTGATCCGCGCAAGCAGCGCTCCGCACAGGTGCCGTTGTTTTTCAAAATCTGTCCAAATAGTGGTAGATTACTCTTGACAGTTATTTCATGCAGTGTGACGGTAGCTTTGCTTTTACCTTGGGTTCTCGGCTAGACCTTGTTTTGGTTCTGGTGGCGGTGCTGCTCTGGCTCAAATTCAGAGATGCTGCACATCTTGCCAGGTGCTGCGTCTGGGTCGCTTGGCACGTGCGGTCAGAACAAAACCCATGTCTGGCTCTCAGATGTACACAAATGAAAGGCCGCGGCGGAAAGTGAAAAACCAGTCAGTTCACCGGACGCTCTCTACCCATGGCAGGTTCCACGAGTTGTGGATGCTTGTAAGCGGCGTCCTGGAATGCCTACCGCCATTGGCCTTAGATAGTTTTGTTCTTGCAAAAATGGTGTACACACATGGAAGCAGGCTACTGTTTTGGTCAATGGTGATCATCGCGATCGTGCACTTTATGTGCCCCCCCCCTATGTTGCCCAAGCCAGCCGAAGCTTGTCCGAAGTTATCCGAAGCCCAGCCAGACCGCAAAGCTGGCGCGGCAGGTTCGCGGTGGCGATGATGGAGATCATCACGAAAGCGGACGTGTTCTACAAGCACCCGACAGTCGAATATTAGTGGAACTCTGCTCGTTTGAAACAGTACCTGGCATGCTGTCTTTCTCTAATTACCGTCCTTGGGGATGAGTGCGATGAGATTAATTGATGAATTGTGTTTGCTTGCCTGTCTGTGTGTGCAAAGTCTAGTTGCACTCCGTGCCAGCTTCCCCACCTTGGCCTATTCCATGTTTACACTGTCTGGGCCTCGAAGTTGCATGTATTGAGAAGTCACACCGGCTTGGTTCGAATTGCGCAGCGATTTGGACATGACTTCTTCAGTTTAGAGCATGATGAGCATAAGAGTAGTGCAGTGTGGGATGGGTGCTTTCCCAGCAAACATCTACAAGTAGCCAAGTAGCTTAAGGCAAAGTGGGGTGCGCTGTGCAGGGTTGTAGCATCAACCACAGAATCTACAGTGTCTTCTTGTCTTCGGTTGCCTAATGAACGGTGAAGTGTCAAGGTTCCAGTTCATGACCTTTGACAGCTGGGCGGGACCTGCAAGGCCGTGTTGTTCCGTGGCCGGTTGAAGCATGATGCACACTGTGCCAGACCTGCTTGAAGATGTATTTTGCGGGGTAGCGTGGCAGGGACATCATAGCGGTCATGCCAGAAGCGGCGTGATGCCAAGAGTTTGGAGTGTGCGACAACGCAACCAAGTGCATTCAAATTTAGTAGGATGGCAGGCGGCCCTCATTCTCTTCTTCCTGGGTGTGGCCGGAATCGTGCTTTTCAACCTGATGACAGCGATTGTTGGGTTCTTGGCCACTAGCAGAGTCTGCGCAAGTGCAAGTTTTTGTAATTGCTGCCGTCGGAATGCTTGGAGGTGTCGTGCTTACAGAATACTGTCGAGCTTGGCAGATGTGGCATCTTCATCAACCGTTGGAGGTGTTGATCGCCAGAAACGTGCTGGAACATAGCCCATTCCAAGGACATCTGCGACACTCCCTACTTGTAGCATCAAGTTTGGACCGGTGCTGGATTCGGGATATGTATGCAGCATTAAAACACAGAGTTAGGTCTTCATGTTTGATAAGCAAAGCCACGCGGAGCACTTCATCACAGCAAGAGGATGCAGAAGGCATAGGTGTACTTGAGAAGCGGCCCAATAGGAACGTGCTTTCCATTTAACGTTAGCTATATCCTTCTGGTTTTCAGGCGTTTTCTTAGTGTTTTTGCATTGGGTTTCAGCGTATTCTTGTGCACGCTGAAGAACTCTTTCAACTTTCACGTGATGCAAGGGGTGTCTCCCGTCACCTGAGAAGAAAGGGACATCTGGGACAAAGCACAACACTGCGGACGACAACTACCGATATCTCTGTCAGCACTTCTTCTAAGGCCAGTTTGTGACGAAGATTTTCTGTACTGATGCTATCTTTGCTCCGGTATTTGTTCTATTGCTACTCTACCATGGTCGCTACAGTTGCCGTGTCTCTATTGTTGCTTCTTTTCCTTCTTGCGATGCTACAGTTGTGCTTGCCTGCCAAGAGTCTTGTAGCTATCCTACTGCATGTACTGTAGCTACTCGTGCGTACATGCGTTGCTGCGCCACGAGACCATGGTCGTCCTCGCCTCGGATCTCGAAACAGCCGACGTTCTCGAAACCTTGGCTCGCTCAACACATTGAAGCAAATTGACAGACAGCAACATCCAGCAAAGTGCTGCAAGCTCAGCTCGTCACATGTCCATCTGCAACAAGATGGGGCTCCATGCAACTCTCAGGCTGGTTCCAAAAGCTGATGTAGTCGTAAGCCGCATAAGAAACAGCAAGCAAGGCACGAGTGACAAAACAAAGGGGGCAGGTGACTAAACAGCCCTAACATTCGCTCTCCCAAGAAGGAAACAACACATGTTAGTTGAGGTCGTCAAGAACGCCTTTGACGCAGCTGAAGCTGATGAAGAAGCGAAAGCACAACAGCAGGCATCCCTGTGTAAGTTCACGGCAGTCTCGGTATCGTGTCAGCAGCTTGGTGATGTTGCCAGGTCCAAAACCAAGCCACAATGGCAGCGGACCTGCGGACCATGTTTCAGGTAGCGCAGATTTCAGCCGCGTACAGTCATAGAGAGCGATGAGCGCCCAGAAGAGGCGCTCGATGAAGACGGCAGTGGCACCCTGACCCGGGAAGAGTTCACTGATGTCTACCTGGCATGCGTTGACAAGCGTTAACAACCGTGAAATCCTCTGCGACTTTACATGATCTCCCACCTTACTTCACTTCACTTGTGAAGTCATGTTCGCAGGTGCTTGATGATGTCATGTTCATTCGACACATGAAAAAGTCGGGAGCCCTGTGCGTCCAGGGTGGGTCCAAGGTTCCCCGCAGCACGTGGAGTTGTCAGGTTGGACATTGATTTGGAAGAGCTGCCCGACATTTTCGATATCCTGGTGGGCAAAAACACTTGTGCCCAGGGAGGCTCCAAATCTATGCTTGTCAGGATGATGGAGATGGCAACATCACCACGGAGGAGCTCCGTCCCCAGTGCAAGTTGCACCGTTCCTGCAGGGCTCAGGGCCATTGGCATGGCGCTGTCCGTGGTGCTGCGATGCCGATGCCTGTCTGCCCATGCTGGCAAGGTTCTGCATGGGCTTGACTCGGCTACAAGGTGTAGCCATGAGCCATCGCCTCAACATGCCGGGATGTATTCTGGAGCCTGTTCTGTGTGACTTCCTGTGACCCGTGTCGGTGGAGGTCGCGATATGTTGAGATGTACCTCGCGCAATATGCAGCTGAACAACCTCTTTGCTCAAGTGTCTGAGTGCATGGGCGTCAAGGCCGAGCTTGAAACCATGAGATTGCGAATGAAGTATTGAGCTCTGCCATGCGTTCTTCAGATCTGCGCAGATCTGCGGGGTATGCCAGGTTGACAAGACACTGGGCATGATGGAAATGAGTATGGAAGCAACGCACGAGAACCTGGCTGGGCACTTGGAACTGCCCACGACGCATGTCGACGCATGTTAGACATGCCGTGACATGCCATGGCTTTGGAGATGTTTGTTTTGCACGAGACTTTCCGTTGTTGCCAGGTGGAGTTGCAGCAGATGACAGCGGAAGTGCTGAAGAAGCTGGAACAGGCTCATATCTGCGACCTTTTTGGATAAGCCTCACACTTCATTCTCTGACAATCCGCGCAGTAGGCTGGACTTCACAGAGCTGCTCGCGCCTCAACGTGAATTTCCTGGATTTGGGACACTGGCGGCTTTTGCGCATCCCGTGCTTTGATTAAAGCCGTGAGAAGTTCTGCAACAACATGAGATGCACGCCGAAGCTGCTGTAGAATTTTCTTGTTGAACATGTCCTGGTGGTGTTGTAGAGGTACGAATTGGAGACAGTGCATTGTTGGTGCTGTTGCTGTTGCTGTTGCTGTTGCTGTTGCTGTTGCTGTTGCTGTTGCTGTTGCTATTACTGGTGGCGCTGTTGGTGAATATGGTACTGAAAGCGCGCGGTTCTTTGTGCGGCTGCTGCTGCCGCTGCTGCGGCTGCCGCTGCCGCTGCCGCTGCTGCCGCTGCCGCTGCCGCTGCTGCCGCTGCCGCTGCCGCTGCTGCCGCCGCCGCCGCTGCTGCTGCTGTAGCTGTCATTGCGGTCGTGAACAGGAGGACAGGCTGTAACAACAGCTTGGATAACCCACTGGTAGAACAGGAACCACATGACGCTTACTAGAAGCTACGCGTTTCTCGTCAATCAGCTCCCAAACCCCAGCATGGTGAATATGGTGAATGTCACCTAATTCTGACTGAAGGTTCGCTCCACCACCGAAGGCTTGGAGGCTTGTGCTACAGCTCGTGAATGATACGGCCTTCCAGGGCCTTCCATCTGTCAGTTTGAGCTGGCGAGGAACTGTTGCCTCCCACCTTGGAAGACATTGCGCAGCAAGAGGAAGGCGGCTCGAGTCTACTAAACAATGCCTCCGGCAAGCGCCGTTCCGGCTTCAAAGTACACGCTAACGCGTGTAGCGTGCGGATCGCAGAATATCGCAGACGAAGGAAAGCCAAGTCCTTGTCACATGGTGCAGCGCCACGCATGTCACGAGTTTTGGAGGCAGGGGCATGGACGGGGCTTGATGGGGCTCCGAGGCCCGGGAGAGGTTTGTGGGTGTCGGAGGTTCGGCATCCTTTTTCGTGCTTTTTTGGCGCGGACAAGCCGGAAGCCTCTCTCACACCACAAACATCCAAACCCAGGCTGGTTAGTCTTTTTACTAGCCCCGAAAGCTCCGGCGCCAAGCATCATGCGATATCGTACCCTAGTGGTGGGATCGGAATCGTGTTGTTACAAAGACACCTTGCTCCCAAGTTGACCACACAACGACCAGACGATTGAGAGTATATCTTATATAAGCAAAATAATTAGCTAATTAAATACATACATAGATAAATAAATAAATGCAAAAGAGACAAATAATATATACATATATGTATATATATATATATGACATGATGATGGCATGATACCATCGGTATGCTAGCCGTGTCTTTAAAGCGGGTCCTGGCGTGCAGAAGCCGCACGACAAGCAGATTTGGCCAGATTTGGCCGCCCGACCAGCAGCAGAAGTCGTCGCCTTGGTTTGACAAGCGCTTGGTTCAGTCCTTACCACCTATGGGTCCACCAACTGGCCCATGATGCCCAGGTATGAAGCAAAACATGCAGCGTTCGCCTTAAGACAGCGGTGTCATGGCGGAGTGCTGACAAGGAAGCATGTTTTCATCCATGTACCAACAACCACAGCATGCACATGCTCATGAACAATGCGCGCGCGCACGCGAGTGTGCATGTGCGCGTGCGTCTGCGTGTGCGTGTGCGTGTGCGTGTGGGTGTCGGTGCGGGTGTGGGTGTGTGGATGGATGGATGGATGGGTGGGTGGATGGATGGATGGATGGATGGATGGCGCACGCGTGCGCGTGCGGGTGCGGGTGCTTGTGCTCTGCGTGTGCGTGTGGGTGCGGGTGCCGGTGTGGGTGTGGGTGTGTGTGGATGGATGGATGGTGGGCGGGCGGGTGGGCGGGCGGGTGGGCGGGCGGGTGTGGTGGGCGGGTGGGCAGGCAGGTGGTTGGGTTGGTATGTGAGATCGTGCCTGCACATGCGCGTGCCTACACGCGCCGGCGTGTGCGCGCACACGTGCAAGCACGCTTGGGCTCGTAAGGGCTCGTGCGGCGCGTGCTTGCGGGCGTGCGCGTGTGCGAGGGACTGGATGACTGGATTTCGTGAAAACGTGCCTGCTTCGTCCCACCCTGAACTGTGTGGAGGATGTGGAGGCAGCTCAGTCTGGGGCAGCATGTGCTGGAACCTACCCCTTCGCGACATCATCTCGTTTGCTTTCGCTTGTTCCATTCCCAGTGTCTGGTGCAAGTTGGCAAGAACTGGATCATGTCACCCTCATCCATGACGTTTGATGTTGATGTTGTCCTGTCACAGTTATAAGTTTCTTACTCAAGCCGTACCTTGGTGCCTCATCGCTGTTGGTTTAGCATCGCAGCATCCGCTCCGGTGAATCATTTTTCCATGGAGCAGCCTACGTTAGAGCAAGTGACGTGCAATATGTGGCATTATACAGTGTGTGCTGCAAGTGGTTAGCAAGTGGCATTGCAAGTGTAGCCAACATTGCTTCGAGAAGCGCAGCATGGAAAGATGCAAGCTTTCTTGACGAGCATGTAGCACAACCTTCAGTACACCAACGTATATCACTGTGAAAAGCATCACCCATCCATCTTCTACCTCCACTCTTTCCTATTTTTGAGCAAGAACTGCGTATGTTATTGTGCCGATTGGTGGTATCCATTACAGCAAACAATGTTTGCGTGCACGCCGTCTTGTGTCCACGTGCACGTGTGAGCATGCCTGCGTGAAGGCGGGCGGGTTTGGGCGCGTGCACGCACCTGTCTGTGTCTGTGTCTGTGTCTGTGTCTGTGTGTGTGTGTGTGTTCGCATCCGTTGGTTGATTGCTCCGCAGTGCAAACAAGGCCTCGAGCAACAGCCGCCTGTCTGCAATGCACTTTTGGAAGCTGTTCAACACGCTGCCGTTCACGATCGTGCCAGGAGAACTATCCGCGCATCCCGGCAACTTGGGTCCTCACACGAAAGAAGGACCTTAAGGTTTTGTTGCCGATGGTGTGTAGCCAGCAAATCATCAGCTGGTTTTGACAGAATTGTGGCTGCGGTCAGGATCTCGAGCAGAGAAAGCAGGCGCTCCCTCAGTTTGTGAGTCTTCAATGTTTTTTGCTCATTGCCTTCGTTCGCTTGTGCCACCTTTGCCAGGAACCCAGTGAATTCCCATAAGATCCCATGAGGTTCCTTGAGCTTAAGCGGGTCTGGCCAGTCTACCAGAACGAAGCGTAATGAGGCCTTTAGAAGCCATTGGAGTATTATCTACATTCCTCTAAACAAGCAGTGAACACAACTTACAAGAAGGAAACCACAGCAAAACGAGACGAATCAGCACGGCCTGTGCTCAGGCAATGCGAGCCCAGCAATGGGAAGATGTGGTGGGGCACCAAATCGCGCAGAATCCTCAGAGCACACGCCGCCTGAGTTCTACTGACTTTCCCACGAGGCCGCAGAGACGGTGAAGGAAGCACAGGAGCTGCCAGGCGTGAGTCGCTCAGAAGTCCAAATCCCTCCCAAGTCCCTCCTAATTTTTGATTTAATTGCCTCCTCCACTTTTGCCAACTCTGAGGTCTTGCAGGAGTTTCAAGAAACTTGGTCTGGCTTGGAGGTCTGCATCTGGCGCCCTTTTGCCCCAGAATGTCAACTGATGCCTTTGGCCTTTGGAGGTGCAGGTTCCGCAACAGACCAGGGAAGACCGCATCGCGGCCTCCATAAAGGCACAATTTTTTCCTACAATATGCAGCTTCAACAGCAGGATGCAGGACACAGTAAGGACTACTGTGTCCCTTGAGATTTCGGCCTCAGAGGGCCAATCGAGGAGTACATCGCTAATCGTCGCTCTTTGAACTCTTTCGCTGGTGCAGTGTAATCATGTCGACTCTGCACGTATAAAGGGGGCGGTTTGAGGTCACTTTTTGGGCTCGCCCGACGGTTGTTCATGAACGGTTTCCATTGCACGAGGTCCTGGAATCCAATGTTCGGCCAGTTTTGAAGAAAAAAGGGTGTGACAGCTTCATAGAGAAAGCAGTCACTTCCCAAAAGATCACCAACATCATCTCGGCATGAAAGAAGCAGAAGGCAGAGGAGCTCTTTGCAATCCAGGGGGGACACTGTGGCGCTGAGTGATTCATTTCAACAAAGCTGGCTCGAATTTTACCTGTTTGCAGGCAGCGTTTGAGAGTGCAACTGGTTCGAACAATTTGCTCGGCTTTCGGTCTGGCCCGTCACAAGAGATGCATCCCGACCTCAGCAGCGACTAAAGACATGCTCAGACGGGCCTCAGTTTGTCTCTTTCCTTCTTCAGTCGCAACCAAGCTCCGGACTTAGCAGTCCAAATCTGCAGGGCCGACCGGACAAGGCTCCCCTCAATGTTGTTTATGCCGCCCGCATCGCCGAAAACTTTTGTGTTGACCGTCATTGATCCAGCGCAAAGGGCATCTGGGGGGATTTATGAGAATGCAAGCTCAACACTGCCCAAAGGCATACTTCGAGCTGCTTTTTTGAGTTGTTTGATCGATCGTGGTCGGTAGAAGGTTGTGGAGCCAGCAGATTCACTGTGGGCTGCACTGATCTGCAGTGTGACACGTGCTGTGACATGTCAGTGCGTGATCGTGCTGCAGTTTTGGCACAGTAGGCATCTGCAGCCTCCGCCTCTAAATCCAGCCTGGATCTCAGCAACGATACCCATGCTTGCCCAGAATGAGAGATTATTCGAGACACAATTACCAGCTTTTTTTTGCTACTTGTGCACACCGTACGTAGAGTTTTGGACACTGCTTTGTGCTCAGATCTCCCTTACGACTGAACCCCCCCCAGAACGCGGCCGGTGTTGCCAGGCAAAACTGAGGGCGGAAAGGAGGCGCATGGGCGAGATGAAGTTAGATTCGATGCAGGGAACTTGTCACAGCTGTTTTCACAACTTGTCCGTCTTGCCGCAGGAACTGAAGTTGCCAGCAAAGCTGTGGGAACCTGACAAGCGAAGATGTGTGCAAATATGGTGAATGTTTTAGGATCCTTTCCGGAAACTTCCTGACGTGTTTTGCTTTCTAAGGCCATCGGCGCTAGCACCTCGGACGGTCCCACAGCAGGAGGAAGCTGAGGGACAGGATCAGACAACGGAAGCTTGGAGCCCAGTGCACGAAAGCTGTGAGCTGAAAATTCACTTGAGAGTTTGCAGATCCACAGTGTTAAAGATCTACAGAGCTTGAATGGAAGGAAGCGGACTCCGCTGAAAAGATCACAAAGGCGAGGCTTATTTGGCGATTGCGTACTGGATGTGCTGATCGTGTTGCTCGAATAAAAAACAGGCAGAAGCAAAAGCCTTCTAGCGTTTCAGCGCGGTGCATGGCAGGACATCAACAAAATGAACATCAAAGAGCTCAAGGACAGCCCTGCCAGAGAGCTGTGTTCGTTGATGCCTGTTTGTTCGGCGTTGTGTGCTGGGCGGGGCTCCGCTCTCGAATTGTCTTGAAGGAAGTTGCCGAGAGCTTGGGCTTGGAACATGAAGGACTGAAGAAGGCAACAAAGATTCCGTGTTTTGACAGGGGATGCCCATGGAGGCATGCGCATCATGGTGCAGGTTCAGCTGCTGCCACTTGTCTTGGCCAAGCAGGCTCCACAGTTCTTGCTTGGGCTAGGCATGGACTAGGCAAGTGCTATCCGCGGCCTGTCTGCAGGAGGAGGTTGCGTGTGCTACCCAGCTTCCCCGACCCTCTGCATTTCACGCAACGAAGCGTTTTGCCATGACCCTGCAGAATCTAGAGCCAAAGCGATGTACCGAGAGCCTCAAAGACTTCCCGGTGCTTCGAGGAACCAGGGCAAGGCACCACTGAGCATGATGTGATGTGTTCTTGTTTCACAACCTCAAGTACTTTTCAAGTTTTCGAATGTTTTCAAGTATAGCAATGCACCGTTGATTCGATAGAATGCAGCGAGCTTGGGGTCTTGACGAAGTCAAGAAGGACAGGCTGAATTAGCACCGACGTGTACCAGATGCAGCGTGCAAGAAAACGCAGACACCGACACGCCCATAAGCAAGGAAACAAACCCGCTGCCACGATTTCCGAGCACCTGCGGACAGGATCGATCCAGCTGCAGATAGCGTGTCTGCTGAGCGCATGGTATTCTTTGCAGTGCGAGAAGGTCTGAGTCTGATGGCTCGTGTTCCACTTTGACTTGAATACTTTGACAAGTATGTGACGTTATTGGGCTCCGAAGCCAGCGGGCAAAGCGTGGAGACCACTGTACAGGCTTGCACTTTGCTTGCACCTTGGCCAACTTTGGGGTAGGGGCATTGCATGGGCATGAGCGGGCATGAACACGTCATTGTTGGCCTTCGTGTCTGCACCCGTGCAAGGCATCGGTGCCATGGCTTTCCTTGGGTGTCTTAGCAGCCAGTGAAGAAAACACAGGGTTACAGGATAACACCGGATAACACTCTGAGCGTCGGTTCTCCAACGGAGTGACCCAAGGCTTGAGAATGATCGCTCCTCCTTGGATCCAGGCTCCGGTCTTTTTTCAATACAGGAGCCATTTGTACACATCTTCACTTGGGTTGAGTGAGGCGTGACGGCTCAGCAAATGCACAGCTTGATGGATCTTCTGGGTGTGCACAAGGAGGCAGGTGGCATAAACATCTTGGTACATCTGTTTTGTTTTACACTGTTTGGCTTCGCCTTCCTTATCTCTCTGATTCTTGCTTGAGGAGGAGCAGGATGAAAACAGCTCTGGGCTTATGCGAAAACAAGCCGCGTCACTCGTCGCCCGAAGCTTGTGAGAATCGCCCGGAAAGGGATCTGCTGAGGCAAGCCGCCCTCCATCAATCCAGCGGCCCGAACAGGGGGCAAGCCCAGCCAGGCATTGAAATGGTGGGTCACAGGACGTTCTTAGGCAGCCATACGCTCTGTTCGTGCAAGGCCTGAAGGGGAATAATAGATTAGGGGGCACGATGTGACTCAGCATTGTGCATGTGTGTAGTCTGTCCAACAGGCTCCTCCCAACATGAAAGTCGCGGTGAGGGAGCCCAAGAAAAAGGACCGCACGGAACTCGATGTAGATGCAGTCTGGGCCAAAGTAGCTTGAAGGCCGAACAGGGTTTCGAGCAATGCCTTCCTATTACGTCAGGACAAACAAGCCATCTGGTCGCCAGAGGAGTTCAAGGCTCGTGACGTCTGCGGAGCTTCGTGATTCAGTTGTTTATCGGTGTCACAAACATTGCTTGAAGCACGGCGCCTGTCCAGCTCCGTTCTCATTTTAACGCTACGCAACCCGCCTCGGCCAGGGCCTGCCAGAGGCGCTTGTTCTGCTCGCTTGGAGCGAAATCAGGAGAAGGAGGGGTGGTGTGTCAATTGGAGCGGACGCTGGAGGGGTGGGGTGGGTGGGGGCGTGGGGGGGGGGGGAAGCTGAAGCGGTTGGTGGGGTTGCTAGGCTCAATGATGCACCGTCTGCTCCGTGGGTTCTTGACTGTCTTGTGCTGTCTTGACAAGTCTTGACTCACTGATATTGTGGTTTTCGGGCACTCAACATGCGTGCAAAATCCTCCTGAACGGTATCAGCGGAGTACGCTGTCATTGCATCTGTGTCTCTGAAAGGCAGCGCACGTATGTGGAATGAGTGTATGTGATGAAATCCTAGCCGCGGGCGATCGCGTGACAGTCTACTCGACTGGTCGCGCAGCCTCGGAGCACCCAACACTTGACTTCGGGACTGACTCTGCACTGGTACTGGTCGGCATGCTGTGCATTGCCGGATATCTCCAAAGTACTTCACGGAGAGCTCGACTGTAGACCGAGTTTGACTACAATACCAGTAAAAGACCTGCGCATCACATTCCGCCATGTCGGGCTACAAATAAGCATCGAGTTGCATATGTCAGGCATCATCCGGCGTCGTCGTCAAAAGTGATGGAGACGACCGTGCCATTCCAAGATATGAGGTACCTGGGCGAGCGCAAGTTTGGATTGCCTGACTTCTGCGTGATGCGGCCACCGCATGCGGCTGCATCACTTTGTTCAGTAAGTGTTCGTGACAGACCAGGCAAGATAGGCTAAGGCAATGCCAGGCCATGCCGCGTTCTGAAATTTCTCGGCCAGGTTCTACCGCGTCAAAGGCTCCAAGCTTCTGATGCCTATCTCAATCTGCAGGACGCAGACCAACAGACCAGTTCTGACAGTTCATTTCCTGCTACCGCGTTTCGTCTGATGCGCTCCCACATGCATTCTTTGCACGTGTGCTTTGCCTTCTCGTCTCTCTCTCTCTCTGCTTCACTTTCTCTCTCTCTCTCTCTCTCTCTCCCTCTCCCTCCTCTGGATAGGATATGGATCCATCCAGCGACAGGCCCAGATGGGGTTACCGGTGCTTGGCCTCGTTCTGCCGTGCGGCAGCCATTCCAGTACCCCAAATACGCGAATACCGCAATAACCTGCAATATTGGGGTGGAAAGGGCTGCTGGCCAGAAGTGTTCTTCTTATTCTATTCTTATTCTTTTCAATCCCACAGATCACGTTGAAAGACACCTGTGGCAGCTATGGCGTTGTTAGCTGGGGTTGCTTCATGAGCAGGTGTCAGGAGTTGCTCATCAAAATTTGGCTTCCTGGCACGCAGCTGAAGGCCAGACTTTGTTGCCCCCAACTTTAGGGTACTTTAGGTGTCGATGTGGGCCTGAGAGCGAGTTCCTCTTTTTGTCTCCCAGCCTCGGCACATTTATCCCCTCGCGGGAAACGAACAACAACGTCAGCAACAAAACGCAGCAACATTGGCATTGGCATGTACGGTGTCTCACAAGGCAGCAATGCTTCAGTTGGACATCCAGATGCTGAGTACTGTCAGGACATCTCACTCGACGTCCTCGAGGCACGGCGTCTAGAAATGCATAGAAGTGTGATGTTGAGATTGGACTTCGGCGTCTTGCAGACTTTGCAGACTCAGTGCAGAGACTTGTACTTGGCAGGACCGTATCTTGCTGCAAGCCCCCAAGCACCAGCTGAATCTGGCACTGCCCCATCGAGTCCGAAAGGACCCGGGCCTGGCACACAGAACAGTAACGAAATTCAGTGGAAAAAAGGCAGGTATGAAGTCAGTACGAATGCAGTATGAATGCAGTATGACTCTGACGCGTTGTGAATACACAGCATGTGAAATGTCTGACACAAGTCCGGGCAGGATTCTGGAAATGCCAAGTGGGACAAGCTTGCTGGAATGCTCTCTGTCGTGGTGCCAATAGATCAGAAGGCCGGGACGAGGAAAGAAGATGGGGGAGCCCAGGGCATTTCAAAAGATGTCAAAAGTTCTTAAACATCACTGCAAGCACTTGCCACACGTCCAGGGAGATGAGGATGCTGCATGTTCTCATGGTGAATCTCTACTGTCGCCATCTTCTTTGTATTCGGGTTGCGATCAGAAGGTCCCGCATGTCAGTAGCTCATAGAAAACGGACATTTGCAAACTTGAAGGCGTTTCGCGAAAGAGTCCGCGATAGTGCGCACGAAATTTCGCGAAATGTAAGGAAACCAATGCTTTCTGCAGGCCTTCTTTTGGAGGTGTTGCTAAATAATTGCACTTGCCAGCAGTCTGCAGGCCTACAGGTCCGAAGTCCACCGTAGTCGCACAATGCCACAATGCACTCGAGATTGCACAAGCTCGTCGCCGTGCATGCCGAATGTGTAATACATATTATACATACATATAGAAAACATATATATATATATATGTATATGTGCATATGTACATAATTGCAAAAATGAATAAACATATATATATATATATGTAGCCACGTAGTATTATGTATGTATATATGCTTGCAGAGCTTCGGACTCTTGAATTGTGCGAAGCATGCGATCTGAGAAGCTGCAAGCCAAAATTTCGCGACAGGCCCACGAAAGTTCGGTGTAGCTGCATAGTCGTCATTCAGGTTGCTCAGGTCTCCGTGTTGGCCTGGGGCATGTGGGTTGCTGGGATGTCAAGTTGATTATCAACTTGAGTATCAGATACTCGTACGCGGAGGGATTTGGATTTCAGGAGAGGTCCGGTGTTTTGCTGCAAATTAAGGCTCCGGCGAAAGTAGAATTAGAAGCCGCGAAGAGTCGGCTACAAGTGCGCTTCGGGGTAAGGGGAATTTTGATTTGATCGCGGCCCATTCATGTACAAAATGTAGATCGTCTCTTGTTTAAGACCACGATATTGTTTTTCACCCTCTTTCTCTCTCTCTCTCTCTGTCTCTCTCCCTCTCTGTCTGCAGAGTGCTTGTCTATTTTCGTTCATTGACAGTCCAGTCAATTGGGGAGAGTTATTCCCTCGAATATGTTTAGGGTTCGCACTTCAAACATGCATCGTGAGAACTCTGCAAAAGACCGTGACACCCTGTAAACGGAAGCACAGTGAAGTATGCTCATGCAATGGCCGTGCTTAGCACTTCATTAGCGATACCGCCGTCGGTTTGTATTCCTGCCAGCATCAGTGAGGCGTCGGCGTCGTCGTCGTCGTCGTCGTCGTCGTCGTCGTCGTCGTCGTCATTGTCGTTATGGCTGTTGGACATATTCATCTGAGTTTGCTGAGTGTTTGCTGCAATTATACGGGAATGTGCACATACATGCCCACGGACTTTGCTGAGACTTTGTTCCAGATAGATCCGGATAGCAGTTGCAGTTGCAGCGCACCTGATGCACCGGCAGGTCAAGTACTTCAGCTCGGGTCTTACACAGCTCTTGTATGCATACAGCATGCATTCAGCATGCATTCAGCATGCCTTGAGTCCATGCCAGCCAGGTAAAGCAGACGAAGTCTTCGCAGACTAGCAACGTGCCACTCGTGACAGGAGCTTAGCAGTTTACGAGCCCAGCTCTCACAGCGCAGAGATGCGCAGAAATGATGGAAGAAGGTCCTGTCCCTGCACCGGAACAATCCCTCAAACCGGATCAAGCCGAACGAGCCAAAGTGGTACCAGCTGCCAGCTGGCAGACGGGCGACCCGTGTCTCACCAGTCCAGATGAATTCGCCACTCCGTGCGGTGGAAAACCAGATGCATGTTCTAGCGGCAACAGGTATCCACAGGTGTGCTTATCTTTCCTGTATGATGCAGGCGCACTGCAATTTTGCGGCTCGGGGTGAGGGGGTTTGCAGTATTCGAGGCTGTGTAAGATGTCTGGTACTGGCGCGCCTGCAAACGAAGGAGCAGCCAGGAACCTACTCCCCATGATCTGTGGGCATCAACGGCTGTCTGGTCGCACTTCTGATAGGCGGCTGGCGCAGCTGCTGCTGTAGGCAATGCTGCCCTTACCGGTGCGAGAATGGGCGCGGGCCCAGGGCAGTGTGGTGCCCTCGTTTTCTTCCGAGCCTTCTTCGTCGCCTTTCTGAGGTGCCGCTGCGGCACAGCGAGGCGTTGTAAGCCTGTCCATCTACGTTCAGCACAACCCAGCCGGCGTGAAGGCCGCCCTAAGGGATCTTGAGGATATCTTGCACAACGCACAGCCAAGGTAATAAAGTGTAGTAATGTGCGGCGCCTCATGGTGTTTGGATGCGGAGGTCTTCTGCTGCTTAGCAGGGCTTGCCTTGTCGGTCATCAGTGTCCTCAGCATTGTGCAGCTCTCAGAAGTCAGCCCTGCAGCTTGTCTCTTGCTTGGTGTCTTCTTCTACAAACTGTGCAAACGGTCCCTTCTGCGTCTGAATCTCTTGCTGTGCCTCTGTGACTAAGCCGTCACCGGCATTCAGGGTGGAAAGTTTGACCCAGTTTTGCTTTGAAGCCAGCAAAAGTGAAGATCTTCACACAGACGAACTGTTGTTCAGAATAGTAAGCTCCAAAGAGGCGGAAGCTTCAAGAAGATGGAAACATACTTTTGGAAGCTTGTAGCTTTGGTTTTCGCATGGTCGTGGCTCGGTCAATCTCAATCATGAATGCGGATCTTGCACTGGGTTTCTTCACGCCAGGGCTCAGAATTCAAGATGCTTGTTTTTGCATTTCGACCCTCGGCTATTCGTGGTATTCGGGCTTCTTCTGCTACATGAAGTAGGGTTTCCTGGTATAGGTGAGTGCATACATGAGTATACATGGTTCCTTCACACGTTCGTGCGCGAACGTGTAGGGGTGCACATTGTGGCACCTGCCAGCTCGGCATGAACAAAAGGACCCAGACAACGGTTTGGTTGACTATACGATTACAGCCTGCCCTGAGGTGCAAACACAGACCGGAATCGTGTTCTGACTGCCGCTCAGGTGGGCGTTGTGCAGATCAGCGACGAGGCACATCTTTACACATGCTCTTGCCTTCGATCACGAAAGCTGGTGCTGCTGCTGCTACTACTACTACTACTACTGCTGCTGCTGCTACTACTACTACCACTACTACTACTGCTGCTGCTCCTCCTACTACTACTACTACCACCACTACCTTCTGCGACGACGACGACGTAGTACATGTCACGTAATTGACGCGACGCTATGTTTTCCGCTCAGAACCTCTTTTTTGCTCAACTTCAACAAAAGTGTCGGAGGTGTTTTTCTTAACGTAAGTCTGTCCAGTCTGCATCTGCCTGCGTGTTCGCGACGACGACTACGAGGATGGCGAACTAAACCTTAAATCCTCAATCCCGAAACGAAGGGTGTGGCAGGGGCCCTCCCCCCCAACGCCGCGGGGGGGGGGGGACCTGGGGTGGGGGGCCTACTACCCCATGCGGCACCATACATGGTGTAACCTCATTGTCAAAACCTCCACCGACTGGTCTCGATATGCGGGCTTGGTGGTACATGGGTGTTGCATCTCAGAATATCTCATAAGTTGTACGGCGCGTTGCCTTCCAGGACCACTGGACAGCCAGGGATGGTGACTCAGTTGTTTCCACTGCTGCGAATCTGTGTGGAAATGGAAAAGCTGAGTGTTGAGGACTCCCTGCAGAACGTTTACACGTTCATCTTTGGCTTAGTCATATGCATCATCGATATGAAGGAGGCATGGTTGTCTCCCCCCAAACCCCTTTACCCCGCCCCCTTCACCACCGGCACGCTTTTCCCGCCAGGAATGGGCAAACAAAGTCTTCGGACTGCAGTCCAAGAGACTTGGCTTCAATAGACCATCCTCCAATGCCCACAAGTGCTTCCACTGATGCCTTGCTGGCGCTTCATCGCAGCCCTCTTGTGTGCGAATGTTTGGAACGTCTGGAACGAGTGCGCTTGGATTGGGAAAGCACTGCTTCTCAACCCACAGCTCCGGTGGTATTTTGTAACAGGTGCGAACGCTCACAAAGACATGTGCCCTTGCGCTGTTGTTGGGCTGACATAGCACCGCCTGGGGTGACTTTCGGCTGACCTACACCTGTGGGCATCCTGTGGGCCAAGATGCAGCAGGTGTTTGAAGCAGAGAATGGCAGCTTTCCAACCTTTCACGATACCATGCTACTCTGTTTTCATTTTGAGATCGCCTGTCACGAAAGCTAGCTCCTTGGAGCTCGCGAGAGTTGTCGTTTACAAGAATTCTCTCTAGTGTTCAGCTGGGTCAAGAAGCGACTCCGACCCTTAAGTGGTCTGAAAATCAAAGAGATAAAGGGCTGTGGAGGGGGGGGGGGGGGGCCCCCCCCCCCCTTATAGGATTGACAAAATCAATCTTAAGGTGTGTCCGTCGCCTTAGTTGATTTCTGGGGAGGGGGGGGCCCCCCCCCTTTGTTTGCCCCCCCCCCCCCCCTTTTCAGGCCTCCCCCTCCGTCTTGGTCAGGCCCTGCTGTCGAGCTGTAAGGCCCCGGGATGAGCATTCGAATCCGCAGCTTCCGACAGCTCTTAGTGCGACCGCTGCGTGTCCCATCATGTTTCGTTTTGCTTACAGTTCAGAGTTTGCAGCGTTGTTGCTGCGCCCGCACTTCTCCTGCCTGACTCGAAGAAAGCTTGCTTGTCAGCCGCGTTTCTAGCTTTCGTGGCCCCGATCTCAAGTTCCATCCGACTGTGAGATGTGGGCATGTTGCCCAGACAAAGGGTCCAGTTAGAGAGTGCCTTTCGCAGACATGGGCCACCGACATGAGACCTCCCAAAGCTAAGGATATTTCTCTACTGCCAGTTCCTTGCCAGCCAGACTGGTCCGCAGACCTGTGTTGTGTCACAGTTTACTCAAGAACTTGAACATCAGTTCCTGCGCCTACAGTAGATAGAGTAGTATCAGTAGATCCCTTCCCAAGCCTATGCATTCAGATTGTTTGTGCTTGTCAGTCGCGACAGGTCGAGCCCTGTTCTATTTTTATGTTGGCCTGTCTCTCAGGAGTGTTTTCGTTGTCATAGCCACATCTGCCGATCTGCTGCCGTGCGAGCTCGTGTTGCTTTGCGCGAACCAGCCTGTTGTCAGCCCAGGTTCGATTTCTATATTTCTTCTGCAGACATGGGGCTTCTGGATGATTGTCTACATCGTGCTCGGAGGCCATGCAGAGCACTCGGGTAACACCTGTCCGGTATGTACGTGGCGTTGGCGATTTTGAGCCTTCCAAGCACCCGCCAGGTGGTTTGTGCTTGCTCGGCATGGTTATGCTCGTCATTCGCTGGTGTCCATGCTGCCAGGACGCTTTCCCTTGCGCTTTCCGCAACGGTGTGAAGCGGTACTTGTGACTGCTGCGTATGAGAGCATCTGCTCAGGACCAGCCGGCAGCTCCTGCAAGTCCAGCTGGAATTCGTCAGAGCTAGGCCGCCTGACTGGCCAGTGTAAATGCCTCAAATCCGTGCCAAATAGCGCACGGATGCGCAAAGATGCTCATGGCAGCATTCTGCGCGATCGACCGAAAGAAAGTTGCGTGGGAGCCAGGCCACGGAGAGAGGACTGCACAACCTCAGACGCTCCGAGACACTCCGAGTACGGGTCCTGCCACTGGCCCTGAACCCCCGAAAGAAAGCGAGGAGACTACTGGAAGTCAACGTTGGCTCTTGTTCTTCTGCTTCCATAGACTTAGGGACCATCGCCTGCAGTCCTGTTGCAGGCTTCAGATGTTCTAGCCCTAGCTGTTGGTTTCTTTTGTGTCTTGTCTATGGCTGCTGTTTCCCTGTCCTATTCTTGCCGTACTCGTAGAATCGAGAACATACTGGTAAACCGTCTTAATTCAGCTTGAGCTGGGGGCGGTTTGGATGGAATCTCGCAGAACCCAAAATCACATCCAAATCACTGAATTTTGGGCTTTGAAGTGCAGAGCACTTTGCAGCACACCTTACGTGTTCCAGGGCTGGCAAAGGCTGGAAATTGGGATGGAAGTTGTTGGGAAATGTTGGCAAGAGTGTTGGCAGACATTCGGGCACCGCAAGGGCTACACACAAGTGAAGTATATGAAATATAAAGGTTGGTGACTGCATGCTTCTGGATGCCTCTTTATGCGCTCTCTTTTCATGTTTCAGGCCGAGTTTACAGGCATGCTGGATGCGCGACAAGTGTGGGTGGACATGGCGGACAGCCCCTGGCCCCTTGTCAATCCGTGAGCCTTTCGTCTTCTGAAGCTTCAAACCCACCGCCGGCATTCTCAGTCCATGCTTTCAGGCTGTATAGGCTTTCATGGACAAAGTGCTTTTCATGGGTGTAGCTTGGTCTTTGTAGGTAGAGGCTGTTGTCACTTGAAATCCTCAAACCTTGAGAACATCTCGAGTCCCGAGCACAGGCCGAAGGAGTGGCACTAACATCGCACTGACTCGATTAATCTCAGCACTGTATCATGACCTGCGGAGCATCAATCTTCCACACAGCAAACTCAGCGTTGGTTGTCTCCAAGCACAGTAGAGCGACTCGGTGATTCAAAGGCAAGCCAACCAAGACTTTCCATCTTCAGGTGATAGCAGGTAGTTTATTGTAGTTTGCTGTAGTGCTGCCGCTCTCCAGAATGGCGCAGGAGCATGGCATGCGTTTGGCCCGTTTGGCTTTCGGCTGGGATGTTTGATCACGGAGACTTGCTCAGCTCCACGCAAGTTCAGGAGCCTCAGGAGTACATTCAGCAGAAGGTGAACCCTATCCTGGAAAACTTGGACGGCATCTCAGAACACGTACGTGCCTGAATTAGATGCGCCTGAAGCCACCGCCACAAGGTCACTCAACTGCTGCTGGAGCGACCCGAGCAGTCTCTCAGAGAAAAGATGAAAGCCATGTTGAGTTGGACACGTGTACTACAATCTGTTCATGGGCTGTCTCCCTTTGTGGCCTGTCGTGCTCGGCGCAAGCATTCAGGCTTGCTCCGTTCATGATTAAGTGGCTTTCGCAGAACTCCAAAACGTGCCGGACTCGTCATTCTTGAACAGCGTGGCAAGTCACATTTTCACAGCTTTGATTGCTGTTCCTAGGCCAGCTGCTGCTGCGCTGACGGAGGGCGTGAATGTATTAAGCTTTGTGCCTGAGAGTACTGGCGAGTTTTTTGCCCATTGACAGCGATTGTTGGTCCATTAGATCATTAGATGCTGTCGGTTCCTTGCTCAGGTGAGCTCAAGCTCGAGATGGAGAAGCTTCAGGCAGACTGAGTGGAGCCAACAGAATGAACAAAAACACTGCAAACATCTGCAAGCGAGATGCCGGGAGATGTGGGGATTTGGAGACGAGCATAGGGACCGTCTGTGTTCACACGCTCCCAGTAAGTTTTGCCTCGCTGCTGCAAGCCTGGCGCAAGTCTCGAGTCTAAGGTACTTGACCGCTTTGGGTGTAGTTTCACACACAGATCCAACTTCTGCCAGGAGGAGGTGCGTGAGCTGGAGGTCCAGGCAGGGGGCAGCTGTAATGCTCCGGGTAGCCTAGCGGTTACTCTTCCCATGTCATGCTCTCCGTCCCAAAGCTACCACCCCATGTTACATCGAAGCATGGCTGGCACGGAGTTGAGTGGAATGAGCGCTGGCAGGTGGAGGCAAAGCGTGGTGACAAGTCCGGGCAGCTCATGGCCTCTTGGCCATACCCAGCTCCGCACTATCGGTGACTATCTTGGCTTGTGACATCATCGCTTTAGCGGGTGCTGTAGCAGCTTTAGCACACCAGCTCAGCATCTTTCAGAGTGTTGACAGCGGACAGTTCGGGCCCCAGGTTGATGCCCTGCAGTCCGTGGAGGAAAGTGAAGATGACGAAGAGGCCGAATGGGTGTGACAGTGCCAACATATGTGTGGGCTTTTGCTTCATCTGTACAACATTTCACGACAAGCTCCTTGGGACCGTGCAGGAGTTGTCGTTTACCTATCTTTCTCTCAAGTGTCTCATCACGCGAGAGTTTTCCGTGCCTTTTTTTTTTTTCTCTCTCCATGTTTTTCAAGGTTTTCAGGGGAAAGAAATCATGAAATAACGAACGAGAGACGTAGAAACAACGACATACAGAAAGACCGACATGAAGGTCACATGTACATAAAGAAGGACAGGAGAACAATATAGATGACCCAACAACGACAAACAGATCGACATAAGTCCAAAACATTCAGTTCATAGAAACAAGAGAACACCTAATCAGAACACTGTTTTATACGGAGTTTTTGGCTTCGTGAGCCTCTTTGCACAACAAGCTGTCAGGAATCAACGCAACACCCCAAACACTAACTCGTATCCAAGCACTCCAAAGCAAAAAGCTCCATCAATACAGACCCCTGAAACCATGCTTTTGTTCAACATTTCGAAAAAAGAGCAGCCAGTTTGAAGAAGTCCCCAATTAAGGAAGAAACTCACGAAGTACTCACGACACATCGGCGGGCGTTGTGTGAACAGAAACCCACCTAACAAAGCAGGGCAGTTACCGCCCCGGTCAGTGAAACATCGACTGCGGGCCTGAGCCGGCCCCCGACCCCCCCTCCCCCCCCCTTCGAGAAGGCTTCTTGTTGCTGGTTGGAACGCAGTTGTTGGAACACGCAAGCAGCGTTTAGACTTCAGCAGGCACACGGACGCACGCACACACACACACACAAACAAGCAAGCAAGCAAACAAACAAACAAATTGTGAAAAAACCGGATCGGTAGACGCTGTCGCTGTGCGTCTAGGGTTCGTAGCCGCAGTCGCAAGTACACTTGTCCATTGTCGCTTGCAGTTTCGTAAGGACGTCATGCCTCCACCTGCCTTGGCCACGAGAGGACAAGCTGCACGCACCTGCACCTCCAAAGGAAAACTGCCTGCAGTTGACTTGCTGCCATGCAGGACATCGTGCATCAGTCTCGGCCGAGGTGAAGGGCTTCCGGGAGTCATCTTGCATATGTGCCATATTGCCGCTGCCGATATTGGCCATGTACCTCAAAGCTACTTGGAGCTGCTGGCTAGGTCTACGGGCAATGGAACCCAGAGAAAGATTTCGAAGCACCTGCTCAAGCCCCAAGAAGTCTGCGCCTGGGCGAGCGAAAATTGCACCGCAGTCGGATCCCAGGTGTACGAGAAATCGGACGACCAAAAAGACAGGCTAGCCAAGGTTCTCAAGGCCGCCGCGGCTCCAATACCATTTAAGTCTTAAGATGTCTTACGTCACCTGAAACACTTGAAGCTACGTGCTAGGCCGAGGCGGGCCTGCATAAGCTATGATTAAGAAGCTGTGATCAAGAATGCCTGAGACATGATGCTGTGTTGCAGTACTGACTGAATGGAAGTTTGGAGCAGCTGGACAGGTTACCTGTCAATCAGTCATACGCAGTCTGTTGACCCGTGCCTGCAGGAATCCTTCCTTTTCTCGGGCCTTGAGCCTCAGGACTTCAAGATCGTCATAGACGCCATGCAGGAGTTTCGCATTCGCAGTATTCGTCAAGTCCCGTCGTCCAAGTGCAGTCTACGTCATCTCAAACAATGGCGGTTGGCTGCCACAAGCTCTTTGGAAGGAGAAAGTCGTGGAGAAGGCAGCTCAAGGGTTTAGGTGCTTCAGATGACTTCAGATGTCCCTGACTTCATCTGACTTCGAGCCATCGCACCTACGATATGAAATCATCTGCACTAGCCATCACTGGCCCCATGACCATGTGTCCATTTGCCTCAGTTGCCAGGACACGCGCCTCATCAATCAAGGTGAAGATGGAGACTGTCTGTATGTAGTCGAGGCTAGCCTCTTGTTGATCGCATCGCATTTGTCACGAATGTTCAGACATCTCAGAACCCTGGCCTTGGCAGGATGGACAGATGAACTGTTACATCCGCCGCCCGGATGGATCTGAAGAGATGGTGAAGGAGCCCGATGGCGGTCTGTTGCAGTCATATGTTGCTGCTGCTGCTGCTGCTGCTGCTGCTGCTGCTGCTGCTGCGGTGGACCACCGATCAGCCACAATTGGAGGAATGCACGGCTGGAGATGCATTTGGGGAGTTCGCGGCCTATGGCATGGCAACACTGTTGTTGCAGACTGCGTGTGACCGGATGACCCATATCCTATATCCGATGCTGACCGTCCAAGATCGCCAAATTGAGGCAACAAACGAATCAATAGAGCGAACGAAAGGACTATTATTAAAAAAGGCAGCCGGCAAAGACGTTGCAGTTAAAGGGAAGAAGGTTGAATGCTGAGGGATGCTCAAGGCATCAGCAATGCGGTGCCCTAAACAAAAGGGAGAAGGAGGAAGGAAAGGACGGAAAGGAAAGGAAAGGAAAAGGAAAAGGGAAAGGAAGGAAAGGAAAAGGAAAAGGAAAAGGGAAAGGAAGGAAAGGAAAGGAAAGGAAAGGAAAGGAAAGGAAAGGAAAGGAAAGGAAAGGAAAGGAAAGGAACGGAAGGAAAGGAAAGGAAAGAAAAGGAAAGGAAAGGAAGGAACTGAAGGAAAGGAAGGAAAGGAAGGAAAGGAAGGAAAGGAAGGAAAGGAAGGAAAGGAAGGAAAGGAAGGAAAGGAAGGAAAGGAAGGAAAGGAAGGACAGGAAGGAAAGGAAGGAAAGGAAGGAAAGGAAGGAAAGGAAGGAAAGGAAGGAAAGGAAAGAAAGGAAGGAAAGGAAGGACAGGAAGGAAATGAAGGAAAGGAAGGAAAGGAAGGAAAGGAAGGAAAGGAAGAAAGAAGTAAAGGACAAATACAGAAAGACGTAAAGAAGCAAGAACGAGAGAAAGACAGAGACAAAGAAGACAGAAGCCCAGAAGCCCAACAGCCAAGCCCCAAAACCCCGAAGAAACTGCGTTTTTTTGAGAAGAAGAGGCTTCCCTCCTCCCCCCGCCACTAAAGTCACTAAAGGAGTTTTTAAACAGTAGCTATCTCCTTTTCTTGGGGCAGGACAGGCCATTGGGAAACGGGGTGATGATAGCATTGTATGGCATTGTCAGGCTTGCCTTGCTGTACAACTGTCCGCGAGCTGCCTCCGTCCAAGCGGTTCAAAGGCACCCGTTTCCTTTGCGGAGCAGCATGCGAAAGGAGTCAAAGGGTTCTAAGCCTGAAAGGTCCGTGCTGTGGGAGTTGGACCGCGAAAGCTTCAACAACATTGTCGGAGACTTCAGTTTTCTTTTCTCTAGTGTCTGTGCAGATGCAGCCTGTTGGAACACAGTCGGTGACTCATAGCTTCACATGATTTCGAATCTGCATGTTCGATCGCAGGTCAAAAAGGCTGCGATCGCTCGTCGGGAGCAGCTTGAGGACAGCTGGACGCAAGTCTAGTAGACTTGTAGACTTGTAGACTCGTCGTAGGCGTTTTGATGTTGCGCAGCTCAGCTTGTTCCCCATTTCGTTGCACAGCTTCGCTAAGGAGTTTCTGCAAAAGGTACCGGTGCTGAAGGGCATGGATGCCTGCTCCTAAAGACTCAAGACAATTGCATGACTAGTGAGTCTTTACCTCAGACGAACCAAGCTTTTCATGCTTATCAGAATTGAACAGAGGCCTACGAACGAACTTCGTTGTGCGATGTGCTGCAGCCGGTTACCTTTGCAGAGGCTTCACGCACCTGTCTTTCAGTGCTTTCGAAACGGCGACAGGGGGTTGGGCACGGTTTGGTCAATGTCGAACTGTGGGTTTTTTTGGGCTTGACTCAGCTTCCATTGTGAGAAGCGTCTTCTGCTTCCACTTGATGCTCGCAGAATCACGGTCAGATTTTGCATTACCTTGGCGCGAGCAGAGAGATGTTCTGTGCCACTCTACTGCTACTCTGCTACTCTCTGTTGCTTGGAACATTGAAATCGTCGTAGAAACGCAGCGTCAAATGAGGGCTCGACAACGTACCGCTCATACTTCCAACTCTACGGTTACGACGACTGCCACTGCCACTACTACCACTAGGTTGCTTCTCAGGCGTAGAGTGACTTGGACAGGGCGGCATCATTGTGCAGCAGGGTGACATCGGGGACGTTTTCTACATCTTGCAGGAAGGATTTGCAACAGTGTCCAAGGCCAGAGAGCATTTGTGCAAAGCGCTGTAGACCTTCTGTGACTTTCTTCTCGTAGCGGGCGGGAAGGCATGTTGCAGCGGTGTACAGTGTTACGGGCATCGAAATGCTGATCAGAAGTGTTCACACATCCTCCGCAAGGTGTACGTTCCCGGCACCCCGACCAAAGAGGTGCACACACTGGTTACATCGAGCTGCATGTACCTGTCCCCCTTCACCCTTGAGGCTTTCGGCCTTGATCTCCTTGAATTCAGGAAGTACGCAATGTCTTTTTCAAAGGCTCCTACTAGTGTACTGTTGCCGGCAGACACAGACGACCACAGAAGGTTGCCTTCCAAGTTGATTCGTATATGTGACCAGTATGTATAGCATGTACCCGTAGCTTCGCACACAACATCACGCAACGCTTGCCCACTGAAGCGAGGTGCTCAAACTGGGCCCGGGAGACTATTTTGGCGAGCTGGCCCTCCTTAAAGGAGAGCAGCGGACTCATTCCTGAGTAAGCATGAGCAACAATGTGCAACAGAAAGCCCGTCTGTGAGCTTTTTTTGCCTCTTCTCAAAGTGAGGCCACGAGCTGCCAGTGTGGTCGCCCTTACAGAGTGCAAGCGCTTCATACTGCAATTTACGAGACCTCCGCTACACGTTGCTACACCACGACCACGAGACAGAGTGCTTTGAAGATTTGGGCAGCAGCGAGGTGCTACACACTTTCCAGGAGGACATTCAACCGTCTGCTGGGGCCTTTGGAGGACACGATGCATCCTGTTGCTAGATCGGCTTGGCGCCTGCCTGTGTGCTTCAATTTCTCATTGGGAGAACTTTTGAAAACCAACCATGGTTTGCAGGAGATCCTTCGCCGAAATGCCACGAAATATGATTGAGGCATTTCCAGGCGAAGTCTGGGCACAGATACTGCAGATGTCAACTCAGCTGTTGCCCTGATGGAGCTCCCGATCAACTCCCGGGTGCTGTTATGCCAATTGTGCCTTGACCTGTGCGGTCTTTTTCGGGCGGGCACCGAGAGAACAGTTTCCAGGAATTGCCTGAGTCTGCCTGCCTGACAGCATTTGCTACTTCGAATGGCAGCGTCATTCGTTGTCGCCCCCGCATCTTGTATTTTGTAAATCAATTGTTTGTGCGTGCACCCAAATTGCACAACGCTGAGAAGGAGGCGTGGAACAAAAAGAATGCCTTCGTCATGGTTCCAGAGCAGCTGTCGGGTCTGTGGTGAGCTTGTTGGGCACCAGGGATGCAAATTGGCAGATTCCCAGATTTCTCAGATAACTTCGTCAGAATCATTCAGACAACTTGGCTCGAACTTGAAGCTTGTCAGCTCAGGCGCTGGGTTCTGTTCTGCGATGTACGCGTCGAGCATGTATGCAAACTTGTACATGAATATGAAGAAATGTGAAGAGGCGTAGACTTCTTTGGTCACCGGTCATCTATTCAGCTGTCAGCACTGCCATGCTGGTTGATGTGGCGCCCCTGGGCTTCAATGAGTTGGACATTCGCTAGCCTTCGAGTCCGTTCCTATGCACATGTAAGCTGTAACATTGCCAGCGCCCATCATCAAGTGCTCGGTCCTGCTTCATGCCAGTAGTTGCATAGCCCTGCGTAGCCTGAGGCAGTCAGTCCGCGGCTCAATGGCCTGTGACAGTTGCAGAGTCATTCTGGAGTGACCAAGCCAACCTTCATGATTTGTGTGTGTACATTGTGATTTGTAGTACGATTATTCTTTTTTATGAGTCATTTGCCAGCGCCCCTTTTTACGTTAAAAAGACTCTCTTGGTTTGTTGAACGTCAGCTTTCATGTTATGTATGTGTGCAGTTGCATGCAGTATATGGGCATTCACAAGGACCCCGACGTTGGCGTGAATAACACCCCAGCAAAGGCCGCTGGCGTTCGAGATGCTTTCCTCCAGCGAGCAGTAAAGCAAGTGTGGGAGTGGGTAGCAATCAATCCATGGCATCGGAGGCAGGCCCAACGCAGCCATCAACAGACAGCTTCGTGGCAGAGGCTGATGGTAAACGCTGGTAGAAGAGTGATGACGAAGCCACCGGCAGATGCTCCTTGCAGGATGCGGGGCCAAGAGCAACGGCTTTGACTGCTTCTCCAGATGTGCCGGATGCCGCCAGAGCATTTCAGGCACTGTTGTGTGCTTTGAGTCTTACGACTTTTTCTACCACAGCCACTTTAGCTATCCAGTCGTTGCCGCCAGGCCTTGTCAACATCCACAGCCTCACCGAAGCTGCAGCACCCAGCACATCCCACAAGTGGTCACCATTGATGGACCATTGGTGGACCGTAGCTTGCCAAGTTGCCAAGCTGTGGGATGCAACGATTCAGGTTTAGCTTCGGCTCGCGCGCGAAGGCAAGCCAAAGCAGGCTGGCAATTTGCTTTCCTTACCTTTATTCCGGGAGCTTTGCATGGTTTGCCTTCGCCAGGCCCAGAGCTCCAGGTCCCGGAAGTTATATGGATCCGAGCGCAGACTTTAACTCCAGGTGCGCGCCTTTTGCAGCCGGGCCTTCCTGCGGTCTCTTCAACGTTGCTACATGTTGCATCATGTTGCTACGTTGCCAGGCACAAGAGGCTGCCCCGCTTTGGGTTTGGCACAGACACCCGACTGGTCAAATTGGTGTCAGAAGCCTACGAAGTACTGCGACGTCTTTGCGTGTCTGCAGACACAGTCATGAATACCCGTGTTCGTTGAGGAATCGAACGCCTGGTCCTGGCTCTTATGCGTTTGGAGCCTAGCAGGGCGGAATGCAATGAGAGGGAGGGGGGGAGTTGTGCGAGTGTCTGATGGTACTGGAAACCTCATATTTTGGGGATGTGCTAAGGGCGGCAGGAGCTGAGGTGCTGTGGATGAGGATGATGGTAGATGGTATGTGATGGTGCGGGTTATTCGTCTGATGCACTTTGTTTTTTCGTTCTTGCGCCGGATTGTTGCTTTAATCTCGAAAGAGCGCCTACTGGGCGTACCGCGTACCTTACCAGCAAGAATACCGACATTCTATGGCATGCTGCGAGAATTCAATTTCAATCGAGGCAATGTGCGGGCAGTCATACTCACAGCACTGTACGCATGTGCGCGATCGGCGGTCCATGCTCACTGAAAGCCGTTGTCAGAAGTGTTGGAAGCTTACCCCCTTATGCTGATACTTGTGAAAACATTGCAAGCCGTCCGGGAGTGCAGATGTCTTGGGAGTCTTGGGGAGAGCGTCCAAGCTAAAGTCTCCTGCAACCATGGAATCCATGCAAGTCCCTGCAAGGGTTGCCATGGTCCTGGGGAGCGATTCCACGAAGATTTCGTGTACGCCCCGAAGGGAGGCTCATGCCAGATCTCGCTTTCAACCAACCTGCAGCTCTCAATTCGACAGGCGGAGCCGAAGAAGCCTCGCCAGAAGGTCGCATTGCAGCGTCTGGCACGTCTGCTCACGAAATCACTGCTCGACAGGCACCAGGTCCAGGGGCCTACAACTTGCCAGACTCTAGGACACACTGTGCACTGATGCCGAGAAACAAAGTCATGGCATCTTAATCGTGACATTTGACTTGAGAAGCCTGAAGGAGAGGCGGTCCAAAGGTCAGCATCACTCCCAGGCGAGACTGGCGGAGCCAGGAAGCCTGAAGTCACTGAAGCCTTGCCGTCTCTTGCCGCGTTTGGAGAGTGCAGGGCACTTTTCCTTGCAAAAGCTTGTTTCTCGCAGGACATCCCGGCGGAGACTCCTGGCCCTGGGGAGCGCATGCATAACAGATCTTCTAGTGCTATCCTGCTATGTTCATGTCGTGCTGTGCAACATGGTGCCTAGTCATCGAATGGGACGAAGTCGGTCGTAGTCTTGCTGATCGGGGATTTGATACTGTCTATGTCAAGATAAAACTGTAGCTCCGTAAGAGCAGTCATATGGGACATCCCCTTGAGAACAATATCAGCCGTCCAGGGACACCACTTGCATCATCGAGGCATCCACAGAGGTGGGGCGTTGGGCAGCCACAGCCCCGTCACAAACCAGGGGGGGCCAGACGATGCCAGACGAGAACTGACGACCTCCTTGAGATCACAGTGGCGGCGGTTCCAAGGCTTTTGTGGTACCCACAGCGGGCTTCCCGGCACACAAGAGGATTACAAGAGCTGGATGAGACAAGGAGAAGGGCATCAAGCTCCCAGCAATTTTTGCCAAATCAGTGCGAACACTAGCCCGTCCATCTCAACACGTACTGAGCACTGACCACGAGCGACACGAGCCTTCAAGAGACACGCCACGAGCCTCTCAACACGTACTGAGCACTGACCACGAGCGACACGAGCCTTCAAGAGACACGCCACGAGCCTCGGCAGCGGGAGCTAGCGGCGACTTAGGTTTAGCTTTCGTCATAAACCGACTGGAAATGCCTTGCTTGTGCCACTGGGGACTGCGCAGGAGTACCACACAAAAGCGAGCTCCCGGACGCCCAAGTTCAGCATGTAACCCAGCGTCCTACCTGCTGATTGAGTGCATGCAATATGTGCGCATTGCAAGTTGCAGCTAGGTTTTGGCACCGCGCGACAAAGAGCTCGTCTGCTTTCCTCTCAGACCATGTTACTGTCCTTGTCGACAATGGCAAAAGAACAAAGTCCCAGTGCTGCCTGAGGCAAGCTGAGCTTGGGGCAAGTACCCCCGGGCCGGGGGCATATCGCTCTCGCCCCAGGATGTGCGCAGCAATAACAAGCACACAGTACGTTGTAGGCGCTCGAGGAAAGTTGCTTTGCAGCAGACGTGGTCATTTTCTACGGAAGGGGTGAAGAGGTAAACAAGATTGCGCGGAAGGTCGGCCGAAGGCGTTGCGTTCGCGGAAGGCTTGCGGAAGGTTTGTTTGTAAACACGTTTGAAAAGTAAGTACGTCATAAGCTAGAATAATCCAATCGATAGGTACTCCGGGATTACATTGCTCACGCCCGACACGCCGACGACCATAAGAAAAGCGCCCCATCGCTCCACCAAGCCGTTCTCGGCAGAAACCTTGGACCCTGTACCCGTAACACTTCACCCTTAAGGCTTAACCCTTGACCTTTGCCCTCAGAGCCCAAACCCTCGACCTTAACACCTAGGGTGGGCGTGGGGTGGGGTGCTGATTTATGTTAAGGGTGTTATGGTGGAGTCGCATATTGCCTCAGAAGGCTCGCGGAAGGAGTGCGGAATACGCGCGGAAGGTTCCGCGGAAGGGGTATTAATTAACGTCCATCAACTCGTGCTTGAGAAGAACTCAGCTCACTTGTTACAAATTTGGGGAGGGTGTCGCACATACCTCACGCCAGCAATTTCATTGACAGCGCGCAGTGTCCCTTTTGCAAGGCAACTACAACGAGTTGCCTCACGACCCCTCCAACCTGAGAGCCGGCCACCGATCCTAGAGTCATGAATCTCTAGAATCTTCTTGTACAGCTTGACAGCCGCCGGTTTTGCATTCGGTTTGCATGTTTGCAGCAAATAATGTTGCAACATGCTTCCTGTCTGCTTCTTTCGCCGTCAACTTCAGTGGACCGCGTGCAGTGGCCAAGCAAACTGTGCTAGTCATCATCCACGTGGCGATGTGGCCAATATCGATGCTTGAGAAGTGAGTGTCAGTTCGCTTGGAGCGTCGTGATATGGAGTCATGAATGATGTTGGCAATGCAGGGCAAGTTGTGCCAATGGGATGCGGAAGGCTTTTTTGGTTCATCGGCATGTGCGAGGTGTCACCGTCTCATGACATGCGCACTCACCTGTAATGTGTAGAGATGTACAAGCAAGCCTGATAAGCCTGTCACGTGTGAAAGATGAGTATGACCGCATGACACATGACCCCTTTGTGCACTGACGGGGGAGAGCCTTCACCTGCCTACAAGGGCGCAGTTAGTCCGATAAAACAACCACCTGGATCTCTGGCGACATGGAGCTTGCCATTGCAGGCTGAGTCCAGGTCGACAGAGGAGCATCAGCCGGAAGTGGCAACAGACTCGATGGTGAGTTGCTGCTATAGTACTGCTCAGTCGACGTTTGTAACGGGCATGGTGGCACCATCTTGGAACTTGAAACCTCAAGCAGATTCTTTAGGGGTCCTCCCCGCTTAGTGCTTGCTAGGAAGTCATTGCTGCCATGTCAAGCGATTTGGTATTTCTTGGCATGCACTTGTTGCTGGATTTGGCCCCGTGTCCAGTTTACGTGGCTGTGCGATGTGCATTTTGCAACCTCCACCCCCAACCTTCAACCCTGGCAAAGCTGACAATTCGAAAGCCCTAAACCCTACTTAAGACTCCTAAGACTCCACCTCAAAGCCGAAGAAGGAGATGGACCCAGTTGTCCACGGAGCAGCACCGCGAGAACATTCTCGCAAAACTCTCTCCGTTCGGGATTGCAGGAGCACGTCTCAACTCATACCGAGATGTTTCTTCCATTTACCTGCCGCAGGCTCCACATGCTTCAAGAGCTTAATCAACAACTTCCGCAAGTGCTGCCGATCGAGGCACGGGACTATGCACTCTGTATGGACCTTGCTGACTACCATCGGCTTCATGCTGCAACATGCTGGGTAACGAGGGAATTATTGGTTCACTGTGGATCGACCGAAGAAGACCCTACGTCCGCAAGACCCTGACCACTCATGATCTCATGGCCTTGAGAGGATGAAGGTTGGGGAGACCACGGAGACCACGCCAGGATTCATGTCTTTTGTCGCACCTGCCCTCCCCGCAGCCGCGTGGCTGCAGCCTTCGTCGCAGTAGAGGCCTCTTCTGTAGCTGCCAGGATCTACGCGGAGACGCGTGACACGAATTGAAATTCGGTTTAAGGTGCTCGGAACAGAGCGAAAATGGCTCTGTGCCAGCGCTGTGTCTGCCGATACTGCCATCGCAACGTTGGCGTTTTTTTTCTTCGCGGGCTGGGTGTGGCGCTGAGGCGCCACGAGCAGACATGCGAGGCCGCGAGGCACTTTGTTAATTTTCGAAGCAGCAGATCGAGCAGAGGAGAAGGCCGATGCGACATTGGTGGAACCCAATGTGGCGCCACCTCGCGCGGATGTCGTGAAGCAGCCGGATCGGCCAGACAACCTGGACACATGTGGACCGCCCTCCCAGCCCTCGCGGCCTGCCCATAAAGTCTATCTCTATATGTATGACCTTTTTGGCGGGCGGAGCATTGGCCGCATCTTCCTCGGCACAAAATCCCAGGCCGTGTGGCACACAAGCATTGTAGTAGAATGGCCAAATACCTGCTGTGAAATCTGGTATGACAACCGGATCTATGCCTCGCCTCCCGGGCAAACTCCATTTCGTACCCCGGACGAGAAGAGGCTGCTGGGGACCACCCCAATGCCTCATGATCGCCTACCTGGAAAGTCTCGACGACGAGTGGACCGGCCACTATGACCTGGCGCAGCGCAACTGTGTGCATTTCAGCGACTGGGTGGCACGGAGGCTGCACCTGGCAGCGTTGCCAGATGACCTCGTAGGGCAAGCTGCAGAAGTAATGCAAACGCCCGTGGCACGCCTCGTCCTTGGTACCCTGCACATGGTGGAGCGGCTGCGAGGTCATGCAACACGGCTGTGATGTCAAACCTTTCTGGCCAAGACGTGCTCTCTGGCTATGTTCAAGCAAACTCAGTGACAAAAATGTCGCGCTTGGCCTGCATGGATGTGAGAGACCAAAGAAGTCTCGCGATTCCCAGAAGGGAAGTTATAGCAACGAACATGTTGCCAACAGCAAGAGCCACAGTTTCACCCCTGAAGATGAGCTGCGTCGTCAACTGCTACATGTAGTAGCAGGAGCAGCAGTCGCAAAAACGACGTCACACGATCTGAAGCAGAAGGGGGGTTCGTCTCCTTAAGTCCTGAACCCTCAACCCTTACACCCATGTCGAAGTCTGCTGTTTTTCGGGATGCAGAAGAGTGGAGATCCTGAGTCATGCTGCAACATGCTGGTTAGTTGTCCATCTTTCACATGGTAGTTCAAATCTGTCACTGAAGGGCAGCGTGCCGATCAGAATGGTGCAGCGCTCTTAGCTTACGGATAAGTCTACTGCAAGTGCTGTGAGAGAGAGCCCAAGTTTGTGGTTTGTTCAAGAGGTTTGATGAGCTGCGGGGCAGTGGTGTGCACTCTGATTTATGGCGATGTGTTGTAGGCCGGACCTGGTTCTGTTTGCCCGCAAAGAGGCCTTGATGCATTATGTGGGCCCATGTGCCTTCACTGAAACATGCATTGAAACCCACGAGCGCACGGCAGAACACTGCCTTGACAACTGAAAGCTCAAAAGACTATACAAGAGTGCTCAGCTCGGGTCTAGTCTGCGTGCATAGCCGGCAGGAAGCATGCAGCTGAACTATGCTGACAGTGCCATCCGTGCCCACCTTGTCCAGTCGTTGTGAGAAGCGCTTGCCTTGTTCGATCTCGTTCGTCCTTGTTGCGTCTTTGCAGACTTCTCAGAGGTCGTCACATGTGAGATTTCAGGACCATCCTTGCAGGCCTGCCCACAAATGAAGGTGTTTAAGGCTGTGTGAGTGGAAAGGTGTGAACAACTCCACCACCAGGCCACGAGCTTTATGAAACCGCGCAACGTCCACACAACGACTTGGTGCCAGAATGACTAGGATGCGTTTCATGTGTCAGAAACAGCACATGACCAGGAATTGGGCACAGCACATAGCAGCAATCAGTAGCCCTTCCTCGCGCTGCTGCATTCAATCGTCCTTCTAGTTCCTTCTAGTTCCTTGTATTTCCTGCTGCGCTGAACCGCCGTGCGATACCACAGGCAGGAAAATTTACCGCGGGTTACAGTGATGCTTTGGTGCCAGCATGAATGGACCTCTTGCTCGGCCGTACTTGGTGTTAGTTGTAGTCTCAAAATACACTCGAATCCGATATATGCTTGATCGTTCCCTGGCCAAGTCGCTGGCGTGCTGCCCTACTGACGTGGTTTTCTCTTTCCGCTGCTGCACCCCTGGCATCCCCTGCCATCTTCTGTCATCCCCTGCCTCACTCTTCCGATCATCAGGACTTCCTAGGCCAGCTCAGTGGGATCAACATAAGGGCTGCCGCACTGCTCCGAATCTACCGAACATGATCGAACTGGTTTGCCTTGCTTCGATGCTTGGAGGCGATGCTGAGGAGAGGCCCTTGCTCAGACCATGACATCTCAGATACCGAAAGCAGCTTGGACCAAATCAGACGAACTATCGCTTGACTCCACAAAGCTCATGTTGGTGCAGACATCTTCTGCAGAATATGTTCCGGCCGTATTGTTTGCTACTAGGTCAAATATCGCTCCCTGGCAAAGACAGGGATAGTCAGGTCCCCAGTTGACACTTCACATGCTGATGTGTGGTGGATCCATGTAGCACGCTGCTGCAACCCCTTTCATAGTCTCAGGCAATGCAAGCCTTCGGTCTGCAACGCTGGTCTCCAACACACCTGAAGACGAAGCTTGCAAGGACACTGACGGATGGGGCTTTCGCTTTGGCACGTGATATTGCATGTATTCCTGCCTTCCTTTCAAACCTCGCCACTCCCAGAGCTCTCACATTCTGTTCTTCGTGCCCTCGCTTGTGGCATTGCCATGGCAACATCTTGCATCTATACATATCTATACTTGCAACTCCAGGTCCCGAGAGTCATGGAGTCGTCGTTGGGGAAGCTTTGTGAGTGCTAACAAAGTACCGGGAAATCCTTACTGCGTTGGATGCCCTCTGCCGAAGACGTGCCGGTTGCCAGCAAACCCGAGAAACCATCAGTCTGCAAGCTGTAGATTGAGGCAACTTTGAGATAATTGAGAGCTGTACTGTATGCTCGCGACACTTTCAACCGCACAGAAGCAAAACTGCACGTACCCCCTCCGTTTGTTGATCATGCTTCTTCGAAGGTTACAAGTGTCCCAGTGGCCAGACTTCACCCGGCTCTTTCAGGTACAAGAGTTTCAGAAACTCTTTTCGGAACATTGCTGCCATTATTTAGAAAACAAGATTTGATCGAATGCACTGTTACGCTAGACGACAAACCAGCAATCATCAGGAACTGCCATCGTGGTTGTGCATGATGCCGACAAGGCGGGTCCGAGCTCACGTTGAAGAAAGCAAGGAAGCTGTTTCTTCGGGTCGGTTCTGGGGAAGCGAGTACGGGATTTGTCATCGGTAGTTAGCTTCAATTTGCATCACTTTGCGTTGCGGATGAAAGCGACCGAAGCGGTGCCAACTGTGCGAAAGCACGCCAGCACTCATGAACTGCAAGTCGGCGGAAAACTGTTGTCCGGATCTGACCTATAAGGAGTGTAAACCAGCAGGGCATCACGCGTGCCCTTGCGCTACGATCGTACATCAAAGCAACGCGCCATGCAGTCCCGTCATGACCTGCCTTGTGGCAGGACGTCTGCATCTTCACCGCTTCCCGGCCAGCATTATTCTGCGACAGTACGCATGCAGAGCAAATTCAGCCACTTGCCTGTGAAGCCGCACCTGTTGCAGCCAGGTTGGCACTTTCAAGTCAAGGCCGAGAAAGTGTAACTGAGTCCTCCTTTTGTCTCCTCTTCTCTTCTTCTCCTTTGCACTTCTTATCTTCCTCCTCCTCCTCTCCTCGATCGCTTTTTTTGGCCCTCTCAAGGGGTAGGTCAGAAGCAGATGATGTGGGTGTAGATCCTGCAAACAACCTGGTAAGCAAACAAGGTTCACTGTTCTTCAAACTCCAAAAGCCAGGAAGCTCTCGGTTGATTAAGTTTAATCCTAATCTCCAGAATGCTTCGCAGTTCTGCGGAAAGACATGCTTGGAGTTGAGAGCCGTGCAGCCCAAGAAACACCGCAGAGATGGATTTGGAGCAGTGCGGCCAACCGAAGAAGTGCAGAGATTGTTGTTTGTAAGTGCTGCGGAACTGAAAGCTGTGCTCTCTGAAACCCTTAAACCAACTCCAAAGCAGGGGGGTGGGGGTGGGAGGGGGAGGTGGGGGGAGGGTGGGGAACCCCAACTGAAACCGTCCGCTTTCAGATCTCGGTGGCCACGGAGGGGGTACCCGGGTACCCATTTCCAGGCAAAAAAAGGGGGCAAACACAGGGCTTTGTTGGGGGCAGGACTTGTAGGAGGGTGTCTTTTCTGACAACCTAGACACCTTCGGCCCGAGGCCTCGGCGGATTCACGGTGATTTACAGTGTATCAGAAGCTCGGAATTACATGATGTTCCATGGCAGAGGGCTGTTCAGCACTGTGAGGCAGCGGCTTCTCTGATGTATCTCCGACCTGAGTGCTGCGTTGCAAAATGCTCCAGAAAGTCCGTTGCCACCCCAAGTCGTATCTGTATGACCCACGCCACAGCGCAACCCAACTCATCCTTTGTGTCGATGATGCATCCGTTATCCGTTCGGGATTTTGTGCTCAAGAGGACAAACTTTAGGAAACCTGGTCAGCGACACATTGCACATGCCAGGCCGCTGAACGCAATGTTGGCAAGATGCGGCGTGCAGTGATTCTGTGATTCTTGTGTCATTTTGCTTGGAAGGTCCATGCCGCAGAATGAGTGCGCACACACAGCTTGTCTAAGTTTGCAAGACCGTGTCGTTGTTCAGTGCCGTTGTGGTGCCGTACTTGGATGTGCTCATCACACTGGTGGGGGGCTGCTATCGCCACAACCTCACTGTCCACACAATGAGAGGCCCAAAGCATGCTGTCAAGGTGTGCCTGACAGGCGATATGAAATGGTGAGGTGCAAGACTCCTGCTTTCATGCATATCTGCCAATCGTCGAATTCACATAGTAAGAGTGCGCTTCCACCTCGAACATACACTTTAGCTTTTCGGCCCGGCAGTGCAAAGGCAGTGTGTGCCAAGTTCGTGTATGCTGCACAGACCTTTGAGATTCCCCTTTTCGTGCTTGATGTTTGAAATGAAAGACTTGTTTCAACTTAAGTTTCAACGCCAGGTCCAAAGCACCATTCAGTACGATCTGGATAGATCTGGAAACAGCGGTTTCATTTTCAGCAGACCTCTTTGCCTTTGGAAGCAGATGTTCAGTCTGCATATTCAAGAGTTCGCCTGCTCTGCGCACATCCGCATATGTCATAGTTTGCGCACCCTAAGCCAGGTACATCAAAGAATCTATCAAGCGCTTCGGGCGTCGTTTCGACCATGAAGAGCGCATGCGCAAGAAGAAGGCACGGGAACCGAAGAAGGCCCGGCCTCCACAGAGACGCTTCATGTCTCTTCGCGACTTTTCTCAGCTGATGCACGGGTGAAGCTGGAAGATCAAACGCTGTAAGCGCTCGACAAGGGCATAAAACGTTGCACTTGCTCATTTTTTGTTGCCCCGCTCTTGCCAGATTTCCAAGACTGCTCGGAAGCTTCGAGGAATCAAAGCCAAGCTCTTCACAAAGAAGAGGCATACGCCTCTTTGCTGTTGGCGATGCTTGAGAAAACGTACGTCGACTCAAGACTGCTGGCAAGGTATTCAGAGAAGGCAACCATGAAGAAGACGATCAAGGCTCATCAGGAAAAGGACGCCAAAGTGAAGGACGCTGATGAGGTGACGAGCTAAGTGGCTGAGCGATTGGAAGCATCTGGCAGTCGTGTAGCTGTGCTGTTGTTAAAAAACTGCCGTGAGCGGACTGTCACATTTGCCATCATAGGTCCTTCATAGTCCTCCTTCTACTAATCTACGGCTGTAGTATGTCTACGGCTTCCATGTGTTCGAGTCGTCGGAGTCCTTCCAAGGTGAAACCTGGAGCGGTCCCTGCGTACCTGCTGGATAGAGAGCAGAGCCGGAGAACAAAGGCCAGGCTTTGCTTGCAATGCCTTGCAATGCGTTGCAATACCTTGCTAGAACTTACAATGCCTTGCAATGCCTTGCAATGGCAATGCCTTGCAATGCCTTGCTATGCCTTGCTATGCCTTTCTAGCATGTTGCATGTACTTGTTGTGCTTTGTGATTCTGTGCGAATTTGCCAGACTCGATGCTTTACTTGCCGAGGTGCTCTCTAACATGATCAAGCAGAAGCGAAAGGAGAAGGCAGGCAAATGGCAAGTGCCGATACCCAAGGCTGGGAACTCTTTCTGTTGCTGTACTTGTGCTTGCGACATCTTGCAACATCTTGCAACATCTTGCAACATCTTGCAACATTTTGCAACATCATCTGCAGGTGAAGGCAATGACAGAGGACGAGATGTTCAAGATCCTTCGATCGGGCAAGCGCAAGAAGAAGGCAGATCTGAGAAGCCTCGTGTTAACCATGGTCACCCACTTTTTGCATTCAGACTGTTGTTAGGCTTGGAAACGCGTCGTGAACAAAGTCTCCTTTGTTGGTGAGGTGCTCCTTGGGAACTTGCTACCTGATGCCTTATGTTCTGGAAGCTGCTGATGGATGTTGGCTGTTGGTTAGCCTCGTCCCTTCCTTCACTCCGCTCACTCTCCGCTCAGAACTTCACGCGAAAGCCTCCAAAGTTCGAAAGATACATCCGGCCAGCAGCCTTGAGGACCGAACGGGCTTTAAGCATGGTATAGAGCTCAGCTTGTAAGGGAGAGCTGCATCTTACCACGCGAGGTTCAAGAAAGCGCACGTTACGCATCCAGAGCTGAAGATGACGTTCTGTCTGGACATAGTCAGTGTGAAGAAGAACCCGCAGGCCTTGGTCTCGATGTAGCTGTGTAAAGTAGTAGATGCAAGCAGTGGACACGTCATTCGAACATTCGTGTTGGTTGAGTTGGTGCTGTCAGTCTGCCCTCTACACTTCTCTGGGGGTCATCACGAAGGGAACCATCATAGAGGCCGGACTTCAAACTCAGATTCCGACAGGGCATCTTGCACGGCAACCTGAGGTGAACGTTTCCGAGCTTGGCCTAGTAACTCAGACAGGAAAAGCCGGGTGCTCACAGGGTGCTCACGGGGGTGCTCACGTGGTGCTCACGCCATATCAAATCTTGTCGCAGCATGAGCAGATGAGGTCATTTGGGCCAAGTATGCGCAGGCCGCCTTCCCATGTGCTTCTAGCATTCTTCCCGTAGTCTTCCAGCTCTAGCGCCGTACTGACGATATCTTGCAACATGTGCCCGACATAATCCAGAGCTGACAAATGGATCTAGCCGTCGTGGTTGGCATGTGTACCAGTTCGACTGTAGGTCACCAACAATCCTGACATCGATGGCTGCATCAACGCTCTATTGCTTGTCTGAGCGAGCGCAAATCTGAGCAAGACTACTAGACTACCCTTTTCAACCTTGCCTGAGTGGCAAGGCCCGAATGTTTCACAGCGGTGTTAGAAAGAGCGCGTCGCATTCTTGGAAGTGTGTCTGTGTGACCAGCATGAATTAGCAGGACAGGGCAGAAGAGGCTGACCAAAGTGACATCCAGTGACAAGCTGGCTCAAGGTGTCATTGTCGGATTCGGATGGAGGTCGGTTTCGAACGACCGGAACTGCATTCTGAGTCATTGGCTGGATCTGTGAAATCGTACGACACGCACGTGTTCCTCGCCTGGGGCCTTGCATCTGATTGGCCAGAAGACCCCTTCGACAAGCAGCATGAAGGAACTGTGCCAGCACTTCTGAACAACTTAGCAAAGCTTTCTTCATTGTGAAAAATGCAGGCTTCGCAGCCTCTTTTCTGCCACTGCATTGTGCACAAGTTGCTACTGGGAACAGCCGAGGTACTTCTGGACAAAGCCATAAAGGCAGCAAAGGCAGAAAAGAGCATCAAATCGAAGGTGGGGTTTGTGAGGGTTTGCGGCTGGCAGTCGTGAGCAGCACCACCTCGCGAGATCACTCTGTGGCTTAGGTGCGACTTACCTTGGTGGAGGCTAGAACGACAGCTGAGGCGGACTTCTGTATTGCCAATCAAGCTTTTTGATTAAGCAAGATGTCTTTCGAAAGCACTGCTGCGTTGTATCTACATGCGGTGCCTGGACACGCAACTTTCCGTGCAGAGTTCCTGGACGCCAGCAAATCCTGCAGTTTTCTCTGCATCATTTCGAGTCGTTGAAACTTTGAAACAATGTGAAACTGCACAGTTTGCAGTGTTTGGAGCTGTCGATCACTGCATTTGCCGCAGTTGAGTCGTCGAGCACTTCGAAATGCTAATGCAAAACCTTTGTACCAGTTGTCGAACGCCTCGATCGGCTGTACATTGAAACGCCAAACAAATACCTCCTCGCTTCAAAACTGCAGGAAGGCTCTCTGCTTGTCTTCCCAGACTACATCCGATATGATTTGGGAAGAGATGGAGCCGGCAATGGTCTCGGCTTGTTAACTATGACACTGCGCGATGTGGAATTCCAGCATCGAGCATAGAGGGATTGTTGCGGCATGCGGCCGTAGGGAAGGATTGCCGCACGCATGAACGAATTATGTGCCGAATTTTGCATCTTGACCGGCAGCTCAGGCATTCCGGAATTCATCCGCTATCTGGCAAGGGGCAGTGACCGCCAGGCTTTGCCTGATAGCGCAGGCAAGCAGCCTCCTGCAATCGGGAGTGTTTCCGAAGCATACGAGAATCGATGAAGTATCACGCTGGTGACAGACTTGACAGAAGAAGCGTAGTGCTCCACTACATCCCATTCCTGTCACGAAGAAAACGCAGGCAGTTCCGTGCAAGACCTTGACACTCGGTTCGCATTGGGAGTTGTGTCGAGTCGAGCTTCTTGCAGCAACATTGCCTGCCTGTGTCCAAACTGCCCATGCTGGTAAGGAAGAAGCATTTGTCTTTGTGTGTGCCCATGCCAAGAGAGATGAACGATGTGGGCATTGCGGGCCGAGACTTGTGGACTCGGCGGCAAAACTGACGCAGAGACCTTGGCAGCATTTGGCGGAGTTTCGCGGCATTGCTCTTCCCACATACATTCAGCAATGCTGCCACGCCCACCACCCTTTGGCCAGGATGGGCAAAGTGCCCACCATGCAAATCCGAAAATGTTCGCACATTGGCGGCCACAAGTATGCCGGAAATGTAATTATGTATTCTGGGAAGGCGCTCGACACATGTTTGTTGAGTCTTGTATCAATCCGAGCGCTGTTCCTGAGGAAGTTGTACAAGTCGTAGCCTGTACATGTGACATCCCGCCCCTCTGAGCTACTACTTGTACACAAGTTGGAGAAGTGGTCTCGAATATTGCAGGCCAACAAAGACGATGGACATTGGCAACTCGGTGTCGTTGCTTGATGTGGCAGAAGACATAAAGATTGCGCACGTGTTGTTATGTGAGGTATGGGTATGCAACTCCCGACAACTTGCAGTCCATTTTGACAGGCATCGCGGTGTTGCTGTGCGCGCGTGTGGGGGGCCCACCCCCGCAACATTAGCCTGGGAAAACAGCTTGTGCCGCAGAAATCTGCTCGCAGGAAAAGATCGCTCGTATTGCAGAAGCGAACGAAGTATGACTCGGTGGTTAATTAATTAGAGTCGTTCTTTGCAAGGTGTTGACAGATATGCAAAAACATGGCTCAACAGTGAAGTCAATCCCCAATCTTTAATTTATCGCTGCAGCACCCTAGCGCAGAGCAGCGGAATACACCTTTCGTCATGCGCTAGGTACTAGCATGTAAAATTCCACATGGTGTAATTTTAACGCTACGCGACCCGCCTCGGCCCGGCCCAGCGCATCCGCGTGAGCATGGTGATTCCACAGCGCCCAAGTCGCTGGACCCCAAGCAATAAGGGTTGGGTTTAGGGTTTAGGGTTCCGGGTTTATTGTTTTATGGTTTGGGGTTTAGGGTTGAGGGTTAGTTTAGGATTGAGGGCTTAGGGCTCAAGCTTTGGGGTTTTTTTGGGGTGGGTTGCAAGCCCCTCAAAGGGGGGGGGGGGGGGGGGGGGGGGGGGGGGGGGGGGGGGGGGGGGGGGGGGGGGGGGGGGGGGGGGGGGGGGGGGGGGGGGGGGGGGGGGAAAGGGGGTGGGGGTCCTGCTGGGAGGGGCTTCAACTGCCTCTGGTCCTGGCGAACCGTCCGCTTGCGGACCCCGGTTTCCCAGGGGGGGTACCCATTTGAGGCAAAAAAAGGGGTCCGAGCAGACGGAAAAGGGGTGGGGGTCCTGCTGGGAGGGGCTTCAACTGCCTCTGGTCCTGGCGAACCGTCCGCTTGCGGACCCCGGTTTCCCAGGGGGGGTACCCATTTGAGGCAAAAAAAGGGGTCCGAAAAAGGGCTTTGGGCGTGGGGGGAGGATTTGGAGGGGGGTGCCTGTTCTGACAACCTATACACCTCCGGCCCGAGGCCTCGGCGGATTTTCGAAGCGCCAGAAGGCCTCCTAGCAATTGACACATCTCGCAGGCCGCTCAATTCGCTCTCGGCTTTGGCGTGGTCGTCTCGGGATCTCTGAGTCGGCGGCTGTGGCCGAGAGAAAGCATCAGGCGCCACGTGTGAGCGCGTCACGAAGTGGGGAAGTCTTCGCTGCAGATGAGGACAGAATTGATCGGGGGGGAGGGGGTGTGGGTGGATGTGCTAGGTTTTGCTGAACTTCCTCCCCCTTGGACTGGCGGCTGTTGTGATTGGCATCGGGCAGCAGCCTAAGCCGGCAGCTGGGAGTCTTTTCAAGCTTTTACTGTAGGATCCCACAGAGATTCAAATAGCATTCTGCCACTCAGGTCGTACACGTGGCTTCGCAAGCGGAAAGCGTAGCAGGCATAAGGACCTCTCCAATCCAGCCTCACGACAAGCACCAAGCCCGCCACAGACTACGACAACAGCACCGTTGGAAACACTGCAGCAGCTCGAGTGCCGACCATCTTCTGTTGAGCAGCAGTGCGTGCGCCTGGAAGTAGTGGCAGCTGAAAGTGTGGGCACATGCAGCGTCGGAGAAAAGGTGCTGCAGTGCAGCGGTCAACATGCGTCACCTGCAGTACACGAGGCGGTACCTCGCAGATCATGGCGGCGTAGCAGTTTTTGCAGATAGCTCCGCACCAGGCTACGGTGGTGACATATTTTAACTCTGAGCAAACGAGAAAATCGAATGACCACGAAGTTTCGCCCTACAGACACAGCTACGTGCTCTTTGCATCACTTTGTAAAGCAAGGAATTGAGACATGCAATGCCTGTGTCTGTGAGTGAGGCCACAGTGGTGGGTCCAATCACTGAAGATTCGTCCAGACATTGCCCGAAAGGCACTCTCAAAAGTGAGCGGTAGCCCTGGCCTGGCACTCCGAACCTCTGGACTGCCCTCCATGTTGTCGAGCTTACGCTGCACCACAAATGAGCATTGCACATCCGGCAGTAGGGGGGTTCCTGCAAGAGCCGGGCTTGCTCCTGAAGGTCTGTGTTGGCAGAGCTAGCCTCACTCAGCCGCAGGGGCGACTTGGCGAGCGCGTTTGGTGAAGCGCGGCAATCCTCAGGTAAATTGTTAGTCTTCCCGAGGTTGCCAAATTTGCCAACGAGGCCGTGGGGCGCTTCGATGGACGAGCGGGCGTAGTTGTGACGAGATAAACGCTTCGTCCAGGAACGTCGCTAAACGTTCGCCTGGGTGCTGGGCGTCGTCAGCGGTAACAAAAGCTTCGTGCAAGCAGATGCAAGGGCAGGACGTGTCCGTCTGCTTGCACGTCCTGCCATAAGTATGTGGACGTACCCCAGGCGGACAAACGGCACGAGTGCAGGGGCTGCGTCTCGGAAAGTTGCCAACAGCCTGCTGGAGTGAACCGCAGCTGGTGCTGCCCTGTGCGCTCGCCAGGCCAAGGAGCGGACGTGCCCGGACCCTGACCTTCCCCAGGCCCCCCAAAGGCATGTGATCGCCTTGCCGAACCACGTCCACGAACTCTACGAGGCGTAAAGGCGCTGTGGGCTCATTATACGTGTCGAACTCAACTGCCCCAAGACGCGTGTCGGGAGCGCAGCAGCCGGAGAACCACTCGGCCTGTTAGCCTTTCAGGGAGTTTGTGCAGCCTCACGTGCCGAAGCTGCAGGGTGCTTGGCATCCCTTTCGGCAGCGCAGACGCGGCAGGAGCATGATCGCTGAGTCACCTGCAGGCTGCCTGGCGGCGGTTGCACGACGACTGTGCTCTCCCGCGTGCTAATTACCTGCGGTATCCTGCAGTGACCAGCTGCGGCCGAGTATGCTGCCGGCCGCAGCCTCCTCGATAAGCCGCCTGTTCCAATTCCGGCGTCCGCGCCCGGACGCTGCTCCTCGAGCATCCTCGCACGCCGTGGCCTGGGCGTGCCAGGAGGCAGGCGCGCGCGCGCGGGTTGGCCGCAACATCGCTTTGCCGGCCATGAACATCCATGCGCATGTCCACGACACATCAACGTCATGCGCAACGGATTGAATTGGTTGTACGGCGTGCAACTCGCGGTCGATGCCACACTCCTCCGTCCTTTGACGATTTTAACGTGTGCCGGCAGTCCTTTCAGGAGCGGGTGTTTTTTTCTTGACGCGACAATACAGATTTGTTCAGGCGACCTGGCCAATCCTGGCCATTGTTTCGGCTCACGCAACATCCCGACATGGTCTGACCGATACTTGCGCTCTGGCGATTTGCGCAATCTGTGGTTTCCGCTGGTTGCCGTACCTGCTGATCGGTGGGTCAGGCGTGCTTTGGTCGTTTCCGGACCAGTTTCTCTCTTAAGTCTTGAGCCGGGTTCTGATCGTCGCATTGGTCGACTTAGGGGATGTCGCATTGGTCGACCCAGGGATTACCAATGGGAATCGATGCTTGAACACTTGTCGGGAAACGATGTGAGAACTGTGAACTTGTGAGGCGACACGATCATTCTGTAAGTCGGTTGTTTCATGTTGTTTCAGGACTCATGCTGCTGCTGTGAAGCGACATAATCATTCTGTCCTTCATGGACTGCACGTGAGCGCAGGTTTTCTGTACAGTTAATGCTGGATTTGCCGGCTTTCAGGCCTGACTTCACTGACTTGATTCACTGTTGAAGTTGTGGGGGTCTCCAGGTTGTTCGTGTAATGGCCAAGCATTTTAATCTGTTGCAGTCGCGTTCATTACGAGCCGGTGCTGGTTAGCAGCAGGAACATTGGACCATGAAGGAACAGCATGTTACTGGAGAGTAGACGATACCCGAACGTTCATGCGTCGCGTCATCCCTTCCCAAGTTGCATCCGCGTCGCGATTCCATCCAACCACAACGGGAGACCCAGAACCAACTGCTCGCCCCGCCTGCCTGCTGTTGGGGACCTGCAGTGCGCTTTTGTGCTTCCCCGCGTGCAAACTACTATGCAAACTATTTGCGATTCGGATGCTCCTGCCTGGCGCGACTGAGGCTTGTGCGCGCGTGCACGACGCTGCTGTGTGCGCGTGCCTAGCGACCGTGCTGTCGCAGGATTCCCATGACTCTCTGCCCACGCAGCCACAGGCTCAGCCCTCGCAGCGCCCCGCGCAGCACCCGTTGCGGTGTGGGCGCGAGGGGGATCGAAGGGGTGTGCCTTGTCGCCGCGCTGCTTAGGGGGACCATTCGTGCACGAGTGCCGCTGGCAGCTGTTTGGTCATGTTTGGTCCGCGCACTGCAGTCCTCGTTGCGGCACGGCTTGGGCACGAGGAACGCGAGTTTGGGGATTTTCCTGCGAAGTTGGCAGCATCGTGCTGCCCTCGGCAGTGACGATCGCGCGCTTGATTTTCTTGTTTGTGGGTGCTGCTGTTGATATGCTTGTCTTGTGCACTCCTGCATGTTCGCATGAATCATGTAATATGATGTACATAGTGGTTTCACTATCGTGACACACCTTCGTCTCTCTCCATCTCCTCTCTCTTTCTCTCTCTATTTCTCTCTCTCTCTCTTTCTCTCTCTCTCTCTCTCTCTCTCTCTCTCTCTCTCTCTCTCTCTCTCTCATGTATCTCACACTGATGCCGCTGTTCGAGCGCTGGTGCTATGCTGATCTATGCTGTTGCATTGCTGTTGCATGCTGTTGCGCTTCTGTTGTTATCGCAGGCCGGGCCACACGCTGCGCGAATGGTTGCTTATTGAGTTGTGTTGTTGACTGGGAACCAATCATGCTCGTAGTCTCTTCTGAACGTGACCCCACAGTCGTTCCCGGACACCTCTCTCTTCACCGTCTTCCCAACCTGGGATGAGTTGACGGTGCATGCACCACCTTCCCGCCTGTTGCTGCTATGACGGCTTCGCTTGCCGCTGCGTGCCGCTGCGTACACGTGCGCCATCGTGCGCCTGGCGAGGTCATCATAGGTCATCGAGGCCACCTAGACCCACTCGGCGACCACAGGGCTGCATGTGCGACTCCCGGTATGCTCGCATCTCGAGCCTTCCAGGCACTGGCAACCGTGAAGCGGCCATGGTGCGCGAGGCTGCCGCAGCGGCAGCTGAGGGTGCTGGCGCGGGCGCGGGCTCTCCAGAGGGCGCCGTGGTGTGCAGCAGGGGCGAGGCACGGCGCTGGACGGCACTGGAGTCTTTCGCTGCCCTGCGCGCGCACGCCTGCTCGCTTCTCGAGCTGTCCATCGTGGGGCCCCGTGACCCGACTCGACTGAGGGCATCCCTGCGTGCACCGACACCGGGACACCAGAGTGGGCGGAAAAAGGAGTGCGGAAAAACAGGTGGCTGTTGACGCCATGCGCCGCTGCTGACACGCACGTGGCTGGCGCGGTGCGAACACCGAGGTCGCACGGGGCACGGATGCGGAGCAACTGGAATCGTCTCCTTGCGGAGGCGCGTCAGGGGAGTGTTGGATGCGGGCCGTGCCAGGCCGGCGAGAGAGAGTGAGCTTGTCGGCTCGCGGCGTTGCCACCTGTCGTTCTCGGCATTGAAGTCGGCGGTCGGTAGAGCGACCAGGCAGCATCTCCCATCCGCCCATCCCGCGCTGCCAGCACGTGTGCCTTCGCACGTCTGCCTTCGCACTCCGATGGTCAGCAGTCCTTTCCTGTGCAGCTGCCAGGTCCTTCGCAGCCAGCCTTATTGCTTCAACCTCGATGGGGATGCGCCGCTCCTCAGTGACATCCTTGCGGACTCGTCCGAGGGCCCTGCCCGTGCCAGCCGCCTGGATCTTGTTCATTCGTGACACGGTTCGTTTTCACATGCTCAAGCAGCCGCTGTACGGCGAACCAAATCTGGCTTCGTCCGGTTCCTCTTCTCCAGGATCTGCACAACATTGCTCGTGGCGCAATCTGCGGTAAGGATAGCCCGCCCTTGATCTGGCCAACTTGCATCTGCGCAATATGCTCAGGCTATCTCAGGCTCTCTTTCGCGGAATTCATTGGTTTCAAGCTTCGTACGAATGCATGAAGGCTGTGCGTTTTGATGTCCCTCCTCCTCCAAAACACTGTTCTTAAGATCCGCTGTTACAGAACGAATAAGCATGACGGCGTCCAGCGCGCCGGCCGCGCTCGCCGCCTCCCCGGATGCCTCCATTGCCTTTGCCTTTGCCGTTTGCCATCGCCATTGCCGACTCTGTTGGGACCATTGCCACGCGCGGCGGCAGGCTCAGGACGCGGGCGCGGCTCAGGGCGCCCGCACTCATGCACCAGCAAACGATGCCCCGCGGCCATCCTCGCCGCAGGCGGCGCGAGCAAATCTTGTAAGATCTTCCGCCTCCCATTGAGCCGGAGCTTTGTAGCCCCGCATCCTGGAACATTCCCGGCGGTGGTGGAATCGGTTGACGTTCTTGAGCCATGCGGGGTCGAAATTTATATGCTGTGATGCCTTGCCCCAAATTGCACAAGGTCTGAAGATGTCTGAAGCTTGTACTATAAAAAAGGCTTATACTGTAACATGCAAATGTCTAGGAAGTCCCAGGATGCAACACCTTGAATTTATGGACCATGAGCTCCCCTACAAAAGTCTGCGACCAAAAGAGCGTGTGATTCATCAGGCCTCTAGAAACCGTTTATTTCACCTTCTCATTCACTCATCCATTCACTCCCGCAGTATGGGGCAAAAAAATCGCACACGTCTTCTAAGGGAGGACCGCCCAGCAAGATTCGCTTCCCAGCATTTTCCACCCGAAATGAATCACACGATGATTTTTGCAAATTTGTGATGAGGCAGGAATCTGCCTAACAGGTGCCTATAGAACGTTTCACCTGTGCCCTAAAGGGGACGCCTTCCGGCGATCAGGTCTCGACTCGACTCCTTGCATTGTCAGGCCATTGCCCTGGCTTAGGGGGATATCGTTTTTCTTGCGCGCGGGGGTCCGGGATCCGGGTCCGGTCGGGTCCGGGTCCGGGTCAGGGTCCGTCCGGGTCCGGGTCCGGATCACGCAGTCCCTGCATGTCCCTGCTCTGGTATCAGGCCAGGCTTACGTCGATGAAACGGGGTCGGTCAGGCATGCGGCCGACGACTCGGCGAGGGGATCACTCCATCCCTCCAACTTGGCTACAGACGTCTTCACCCCTGCTTCCCGGACATTCCCGTACCTCAGCCCAACTTGGACAGATTCGTCATTTAAATTTCGCTGACGAGTCTGGTGTCAATTTTTTTTGGGTCTGGTGTCAATTCCTCTCCATCCCTGCTGATGAACCGTTAGCTTCGTGTGTTTTTAGTCGAGCTGTGCAGGTGCGAGCGTGAGTAAGAATGAATCCATGAAAACGGCGATTTGCCTTGAGAACATTTGCATGCGGTAGTTTTAATAACAAAAGCCCTGTTTTAAAGCAGCGAGGAACGCCCGAAAGCGACGCGTCTGATCGTAATCGTAGCAGAAGTATCAGTCCATCACTGTCAGCGAAGATGTCGGATGCTTTTGCTGCTGGTTTTTTTCGCGGCGCTTCTAGCAGCAGTTTCCGCTTCGACGATCAACAAACACCCATATTATCGCACTGCCGGTGTGTGGAACGCGGCAGGCGAGGAACCGCCTGGGTTGTCAACGTTGCAGGGGGCCGCTGACACCGCAATCTGGGTGGGGGACTGGGCGCTCCCGCCGCAGCAGCAAGGGCTCACGGTCCTTGGCACCCCTTTGGGCAGCGACGAATACGTGCGTCTGCGGCTCGCGCAAAAGCGCGAGGAGCACGATCGCCTGCTCCAACGAGTCCCGCTCGTGAAGGACTTGCAGGCTCTGGTTGCTGCTGCACTACTGCGCCGCCCCGAGGGCCAACTACCTCCTTCGCGCTCTGCCGCCCGCCGCGACGGCCGAGTATGCTGCCTCTCACGACTCCGCTGTGACTCGCTGCCTCGCCACGCTCCTGGGCCATGCGGACGCACTGCTGCCCCCCCAGTCGGAGCGAGCGGCACACTTGCCACTACGCTTTGGTGGCTTGGGCCTGCGAGAGGCCACGGCGGACCGCCATGCTGCGTACTGGGCCTCCTGGATGGATAGCCTCCCCGTCATCCAGGCGCGCTTGCCCTCGGCAGCTAACCGTTTGCTGCTTTCCCTCCGCGCGCAAGAGGCCGGCCCCTTACCCTCCATACCCGCCGCCACACAAGCCGCAGCATACCTTGCTGGACAAGGCTACGCAGTGCCGGCGTGGGATGACGCGCACTCTGCCCCGCCTGGTCCGTCTTCCCGCAACGACGAACCAGCCGGGACCCTCCGGGGCTGGCAGCGTGGGGCCGCCCATGCTGGCGATGAGCGCGCGCTTGAGACGCACCTTGCTGATCTTTCACCTGCGTCCCGAGCGCTGCTGCTGTCACAAGCTGGACCGCACGCTGCGAGAGTCTTCACAGTTTTGCCCACGTCGGACGTCGTAGCCGTGCCTGACCCGCACTTCCGCGTCCTGCTCTTGCGGCGACTCCGCCTGCCCCTTCCCCTCGGTCCGCGCGCCTGCTCCTGCCGGGGCTTCCTTGACGAGTATGGAGATCACCGCGCCGCCTGCTCCAACTCTGGCGTGCTTGCATCCCGCGCACTGCCCCTTGAGCGCGCTGTAGCCCGGGTTTGCCAGGAGGCCGGCGCGCGTGTCGGGCGCAACGTCGCCTTGTCGGCCATGAACCTCGATGTGCCTGTCCACGACGCACGGCGCATCGAAGTCGTGTGCAACGGCCTCAACTTGTGGCACGGCGCGCAGCTCGCGGTCGATGCGACCCTCGTCAGCCCTGTGACGCGCGAGGGGCTGCCGCAAGCCGGGGCTGCCACCCACCCTGGCAGTGCCTTGCGCAACGCTGCGCGCCGCAAGCGGCGGCAAACTTATCCCGAACTTGACCGCAGTCGGCGGTGTCGGCTCGTCGTTTTCGGGCTTGAAGTCGGGGGGCGCTGGGACTCTGAAGCTGCCACCTTCGTGCGCCTCCTTGCTCGTGCGCGGGCGGCCGGCACCCCCACCGCGTTGAGGGCTTCTGCCCAGGCTGCTTGGGTCCTCCGGTGGAGTGGCATCATTTCCGTCGCTGCGCAGAGCGCGCTTGCGGCTACCTTCCTCGAGCTCCCCGTCTGAGCCCCGTGCTGCTGGCACGCCCCCAGCCTTGCACGAGCTCCTGGCGGACGCCCGCTGGAGCGAGAGCGAGGTCCCGGCACCAAGCCGTCTGCCCAGCCGGGCCTAGGTCCCTTCCCCGGGCCCTCGAAGGGGACCCGAGGACTCGACCGTCCCGACCCTGACTGTGGCGGACGCAAAAAGGCGCGAGGAAAAAAAACAAAAACAAACAGTCACAATACTTCTCATTTCTTGTTAACGTGCCGCAAACATCGGCTCCGACAACAGTAGCAATGTGGCAGTATCTGTTTCATCTCTGCCAAGGTCCCGTTCTCATTTGAAGATGGAACGGCTGAAAGCTATGCCGGTTGGTCTTAGTTACGTTTGGATGTTTCTGCCCAGGACATGCCCAAGGCAAGTTCGCCGGATGCGAGTCTGAGCAGCGGCCTGAGGTGGAATGTTCCACGCATTGCCCAAACGGGTAAGGCAGCCGCGCATACTTTTTCAGCTACCATGGTTTTTGTGGAGTTCTTGCTTCACCTGGGGGTTATTATGCTTAGTTCCAAATTCCTATCTGCGCACGCAGCGATTGCTTGAAGAGCCAACATGTCCGGTAAATGTTTATGACAAGGACGGCGAGGACGAACGGATTCAGCCGAGTTCCGGGGCAACACCACAGAAGAGGTCAGTTTGTGGCAGTTTTCTGCACCTACTTTTGCCAGCCTTTGCCGTGCTCAGCCGTCAGGATACAGATTTGGCAGATGACCCAAAGAGTGAACAGGCGCCCTCCGACGGAACGACTCGGTTGCAGACAAACACTCCCCTGCTGCAATTTTCTTTGCAGGAGTCCGCCGCTTTCAAAACAGCGCAGAGCGCCGTGCTTAGTGTATCAGTTTTTTTTGACGTAGTACTTTGTAGCGGCGCGAGTACCAGCGTGATAAAGCTAGTGCGGCAGCAAGGCAATGAAGGTGGTGAGAGACTTCTGTCGTCACTGGCTAAGAAGCTTTTCATCGTCTATATTTTGCATGTGCCACCACTTGACCTCACAGGAAGGTGAAGATGAAAAAGATGACTATTCGAGCGGCACGGCCCTAGATGCAATTATGAGCACTATGCAGCAAATGCCCAGGTTTACATGGGACCATGCACAGTCGAAAGACTCGAAGGTCATGGGCATCAGCATGATGGTCACGTTCGGCGTAATAATTTATTTAGGCCACGTGCCCAGCCAGGACTGAGACATACTTAGACGAGATGGCGCTCAGAACTCGTTTTGTGCATTCGCAAGCTGAGGCCATTGCTATTTGTGCATGTTGGTGTTTGCCTTGCGGAGGACTCGGGATCGCGCGGTAGAACGTGCAGTGGAGAGAGAACCTTCATTAACGTGCTGAGGCAATGCTTCATATTTTCCGAGCTGGTGGGAGCACGCGCCCCATTGAATTACACAGTATAATTAGTTTTTTTACCAATTCTGTGTGTAATGTCCGTTGTGTAGGTTTTCTCAGGCACTTCGAAATTCTGACATACTGCGACATGTTTGCGCAGACGCCAGGTTCGAAAGCGGCAGGCTGCAGAAAGAAGGCTCGCATTAGCAGCTGAGAGATGTTATATGACAACGACCAACAGCTAGCGGGTTGCCCGCAGCATGGCAAGATGACGGGTGAAGGTTACCTTTGTTTCGTTCGATCCAATGGGCGTGGCATTCTCCTCAGCCTCAGAGCTTCGATTGCGGCCTGCGTAATTGGTCTGTCTTGGACAGGTAATGACCAAACATTGGAAAAAGTGTGCAGGAAAGTACATGTGGCTAAGCGGAAAATCGTTTTATGAAAGCTCACATACGTGAAGATTTCCAATTGTCAAGCTTTCCTGTTGGAATGCGTGCTTCCCTAGTCAACGGCCCAGAATTCAGCGTGCAATTCCGAATTCCTTGAGACGTCCTCAGATTTAGCCAATCTATTCGGTGAACGTCGTTCCTTTACTTCACACCCACAGTCTCGTTTTCACAGTGTGTTTCTGCTGGCAGGCGTGGCGCGGAGCAAGAGAGCAGTTTTTTTTGTAAGAAAGCAGGCTTTTGTCTGGTGACTAGAACTTTTTTTTGCGCACGTTGTTTTGGGGCTTTCAACTCCAGATGCCTGCCAGTGTTCTTGCAAAATCGCGGGTTTGGGGGTTTCGGGGCTGTGGGATTGCAGTTGTTGAGTTGTGGGATTATGGGCATTGGGCACACCCAACATGAACCGCGAAAATGGAAAGAAGCCAGGCGCTTTTCCCCCCGCCCCCACCAACAGGAGCCGCGAAAAAGGAACCAAGCAGTGAAATTAGGCCGCGTTGGCCAACTATTCTCCTCCGACTTCGATTTTCATCGTTGTGTTTCAGTGTTTCGTGGCTACCCACCCACCACGGGATTAAAGATCCTCAACCAATGATGTGTTTTGTCGTCGGGAGGGGGAAGTGTGCTTTCAATTGCCATTATTTCGTATTCAAGGGTCCCTTTTCGGATCTCGGCCTGCAAACACATCGAAGCGTGTTTTTGTATTTGCATCATTTTGCATCGTAGGGAATGGGGAGATGTGTTGTCGAGTAGTTACAACGGAGATCATACATATTTTCTTGCCAAGGAACGGTGCTTTCCTGGCATTTGGGCTAGCATCGGGTGTGTGATGATGTCGTCACCCCGCCCCCCCCCCCCACCCGCGGGGTGTGTATCCAACCACATGCAATGGACATGGACGGGGCACGTCTCCTGCATCTGCAAAATTGGAAGCTCGTGGACGCCACTGTTTTCGCAGTTTTTTGGGATGTCCGTCGCTCCTTGTTTTACATGTGGAGCACGTGATTGCCTTCGATTAAGCATGAAGCTTGGACCTTACGAAGCAAGTCCATGCTGCGGCACAGTGTCGCAAGAGGGATGTGAGCAGGACAGCCGCACCATTTTTGCATTTGCAGCATGTGTGATGTCATCAATGATCAAGTGGCAGCAGTAGTGCGCAGCGAGCCATTTTTGCGTACTATTTGACGACTCCCTTGGTTTGAAGTTGTTACTTTTGAGCGCGTTAAATTGCACCCTCAATATTTTCATTTGCTACTGCTTCCAAAGGGCTTTGTCCTGCATCCTTCCAGGTGTGGACCCCAAAAGCTTGCTGTAAAAAGATTTGTTAGAGAGATGCTAGAGCCAGTCTTGGTGCAAACGCTACATTAAGTATCATAAAGCCAACTCTCTCGAGTTGAGGGTTTCACGAACGGTCGAAGGTTGAATGGTTTCTGCAAGCGTTTGTCTTTGCAGGTGCTTCCACAAACACGCGCGCAACATTGTTTTGTTTGCTGTTTGTTGGCGTTTGTATTCAGATGCGAGTTTGGCATGACATCTTTGCTGTTACCAGTTAAGGGGGCATCATTTGCGCGTGATAGTGAGAAGTGAACACTTGCACGATAGGTTGCATTGTTGCAGCGCATTTACGCGTGCTATAGGATGTTGTTGTGGCACCACTTGCTGTTGCGTGAGCTTGTGCAACTTTGAGGTTTTTCGTGGCAGCATTCTTCACTTGGTCGGTCAGGCTCTTAGAGCTGTAGCTGCTCTGATGCCTGGACAGTGATGTTTGCAGAAAGTTGCCTGGGCACTCCGGCATCCCCTTCCGTCAGCAACATTCTGCTACCGCGTGTTGTAGCCGCCTGGCACCCCAATCCTCATACCTGAATACTAGCACATATATAAATCCTTTCACACGAGCGACACTGGAGCCGGCATGCACATCATCTGGCTTTCCTCCGTTTGACGAGGGCGAATCATGCAACGCGCGTGAACATCATATTTCTGTCTTACCTTGGCTTCATCCAAAGCTTCCTTTAGGCTATTCGACATACTCAACGCGTGCACGTGCGGTTGAACAAATCGGGGCCCATGATGTTTTCGGGCAAATTCAGTTTACAAGGGAGGGCACCAGCAGGTTTAGAGGGGCTTGAACAACAGTAAGTGTTTAGGGTGTAGGGTTTATAGGAACCCAAACCCTAAACTCTAAGACCCCTGTCGGACATGGGTAGTTCTGCAAACACAGATTTCCACCGATCAGATGACCACCGTGTCCCCGAAGACAATTATGGGCTTCTTTTTCCGTGTCTGGGGTTCCGAGCCGCTCTCAAACATTGTGGATAGCATCTTCTGTGACTGAGGCAAGCATTTGCCAGTTCCTCGAGAACAGCCACTGGCCCACATGTTCTTGGCCAGTCTTGCCGTGCAAGTCAGGGCTACACTTGACACAGGTCCCAGATTTACGGCCTCCTGGTCCGCGGTTCCAGGCTTAGTCCGCCGGATTCCGCAGGCAAAGTGAGCATGTTGATTGTGATAGTTTGTCCATCTGCATAGCCCCGAGGCAAGGCTTGTCCTGGAAAACAATATGCTTGTGATGGCCTGAGCTGCAAATGAATCCAAGAAAATCCAATGCTTTGCATCACTGAAAAATAATGACGACAAGTTCCTTCTTGCCAAGGTGTCGTTCTCACTTTATACGCTCCTTCTTATGGTCTCGGTTCTGAGTCTGCGGAAGGGGCTGTACAAGCATCCTTCTCAGCATTGCCGCTGTGCGCCTTTACCCATGTGCAGTTTCTTTCCAGACCGGATGTGGTGCAAAGCCCAGGTATCAAATCACACAGTACACCTGGACCATGGTCACCATTTGCCCTGAGCTCTGGCCCATCGGCAGATGTACGACAATTTGCATGTCAGACCAGACCAAGGCATAGTGGTCTTCCAGACTCAAGCTGCACCAGCCTCACGAACGGAACGGTTGACGAGTTGACGAGTCCTTTCTGTGACTGTGGGCCTAATGTGGGCTCACGAATCGCAGCCCCAGGTGTTCCACTTGATCTACGCAGGACTCTTTTGGTTTGTGCTTCCTTCGTCGCTTGTTATTTGCTACGCGCTGAGCTGGTATGTGCGGCCTTGGAAGCCGCCCACAGAGCGCAACAAGATGCAGCAAGGCAATGACATCATGGCGTACTACTGCGGGCAGCAGCTTGGGCAGCACGGATGCTGACTGTGGACCGCCACCACAGGTGCAGACGTCGTGCAGACGTAGTGACGTAGTGACGTAGTGACGTAGTGACATAGTGCAGGCATAGTGCAGACCGAGGCTATTTGGCAAGAAGCTGATCAGGCGTAGATTCTTGGAGCTGCCCAGCTCTCAGTTGTCGGGTAATATCGGGGATCTCTTGACGAACTTGAGTTAGCGTCAACGTATAGGCATACGCGCGGACGTATCTTAAGCGTTCCAAGGCAGCACCTTTCACGTGAGCTTCGCTATCACGTCCTATCTCCTGGGAGAAGGGGGGGCCAACTTGCGAGTCGAGAGATGCCATGAACAAAGTTTTGCTATTATAATGTACCCCTTTACCCACACAGAGTACTTGACCTGCTCGTTGGGGTTCTTACGTTGGGAGTAAAGAAAGAGCGGAGCGGCGCAGCCGCGCGCGAACGGGCCCTCCAAATCGACATCCCTCTCGCTGTCTCCCGTGGGCCCGGCTGCTCTCACGTATATAGGGGCTGAGTTTTATCCAATCGCGAACGATGACCACCCTCTGTGCGCAATTCAGAGCCCGAAAATGTCAAGAGGTGTCTCAAACTGGCTTGCCCGGCTATTCGCAAGACCATGGAACTCTTCGGAGGTTACCGTGGGCTAAAGTGGGCTAAATAATGGACATTGTTTCGGGGCACACTTTGTTTGTCGTGGCCTAGGCCCCTGGCTCTGGATTTTGGAACGCTGGCGTGTTGGCTTAAAGGCCGGCCCTTCGAATATTACAGAAATGTGGAATCCCAGCCGAGGCGAAATAAAGAGTTCCTTTTCAAAAGCAATATGCAAACTTGTTTCGATCCATCCGGGAAGGGGGTTCTCAGAGTGCCAGCCGCGCCTCCTATTCCCGGCACTGTTTTGACGAGCCGGGGGCTCTGAATGTGGATGCCTCGGCTTCTTGGCTGAAGGCCAAACAAATCCCCCCTCTTCCGTGATGGGGCTGGGCCCCTTTGGCCTCTTGGCGGAAAGGCCGCCCCCTTAAAATCTTAAGACTTAAGACCATCCCTTCGAATCTGAATCCACGAGAGCTTTGGCATTTCAAAGGCCTCTTCTTGATTTGAGCGCTATAGCCTTTTTTAAGCCTTAGGTTTCCAAGGCCAGGCTTGCTAAAATCTCAGGCATATGTGGACATTTTATTTCACAGCCTTGGCCTTGTGGCCTTGTGGCTGAGAAAGGCCAGCCCGTCCAATCATACGCGCAGGGGCTTTGGATTGCAAAGGCCCGGCCTCTTGTTTTTGAAGGCCCGGATGTCAAAGGCTTGGCATCTTGGTTTAAAAAACATCAAAACAACCAACCTTTCAACTCTTGGCAATTAATTCGCAAGCTTAGTCGACTTCGGATTTCTTGCCATTTCGGGCCTAAAGGGGACAGAGACCATAGTGCCTTTTAAGGTCCGGGTGGTGTCCTTTCAAGCAGGATCAACATCGGCTTCGACGTTCATAAAGATGGCTTGCGGTGCGGCGACAAGTTGGCATTTGTTCTAAGACTTGCTGCGCTTTCTATTTTTTGGACATTTTTCGGCATTTTTGAAGTTCTCACCCGAGTCATCCTATTCCTTTTCTGAAGGTGAGCCTTTCTGTAAGAATCCAGCTTTCGTTTCCTATCCGGTGAGCACAAAAATCAACGAGAATATCCAGCACATTATTTGAAGATGAAATACTTTCTAGCAATTCTTTCAGCATTTCATCCTAAACTTCAGATCCGCGAGCTATGCGCTTTTGTACTGACTGTAGTACTTTGAAGCTCTGCTCTCAATGGGAAAACAAGTCTATTAGCATTCGTTTCTTGCATCAGTATCTGTATGTATCTGTATCATCCATATATTGAAACACAAAATCGCAAGCCCGGAAGCCACCTCTACTTGTATGCATATCTTGCTTTCGCTTTCTCACGACCATCGGACGAGCTCACGACCAAGCCTCACGACCAAGCCGAGCAAGCTGCAGACACATGGAGGGCGCAGGCTGTATTGCTAGACCCCCAGACCGACGAAAGGGTCGTAACACAACTTGCAAACCAACGAGGATGCAGGCCTACCATTTTTAAACTCGCAGAGTATGCAAAACTTGGCACTTGGCCATAATGCAGATGCAACGGCTTTTTCTTTCACCTTTTTCTGGCGGCTTTCTGTTGCTCCTTTTTCTACTGGTCGCATTCTTTTCTTCTCAGGTCTCCAAACAAAACCTGGGAAGGATTCCTGGGAAGTGCTGTGCGGGCCTTAGAATTTGGCAGGCACTTGCTACGGCATTGCGCAAAAACTGGATCGCATCTCTTGGCGAGGTTTGTACGATGCTTTTTGCTCTATGGTTCTCCAGGCCATCAGTACTGCAGCCACATTGGCAGTGTGCGATGCTGACATTGCAGAAAGTCCCATTTTCAGAGGGAAGTGAGATGACGATCCGTGAAAAGACTTCATCAAACCCCGAGTGCATGGGCAGGAGGCTGTGCGCCTACAAGTGGATGACCTGCGTCAGCCAGCCAGCGGTGTGGCGCAAGCCATCCGTAAATATTGTCTACTTGTACCTTAACTTTGTAGGTTTGCATGTTTTTAACCCAGATGATCGGACGGCACATGCATCAACACCAAGCGATGGCCAAGGTGCCGGAAGAAATTACCTTGTCAGCCGGGAGCTCTTAGCTTGTGATGCATGGTATGCGGTGTAGCCGTGATCTCCTGTTAAGTAGCAGGGAAGCAAGCCGCAAACACATCAATCAGTTACAATGCCCAATGCAAGGTTCATGCGCTGTCCTGCGAACCTGGACAGATGTACAGGCTCAACCTGGACAATCCTGGACAGCTCGTAGCTGGACACATGCTGTGGGCACAGGACAGTTATGACTGAGGCAAGGCCATTGCCCCAAATTGAAAAAATATGCGTGTCCGCAGGCGAGCAGGCCCAAGCACTCCCAAGCCACGGGACGCGCACGTCGACAGTCCAAACGGTGCATCTCGGAATATCAAGTCCGCGCGGTCGAGCTGCAGATACGGAAAGTCGCAACGGGTGGAGACAAAAACCGGAGAGCGGCCGGCCCGTAAACCTTGAACCAGCAGCGTCAGTGAGCTTGAGACTGAGACTTATTCGCGAACTGGAGGACAACTGAAGCGATTAGCAGGAAAGGCTTGCAGTGTCAGCAGGCTGCGCAGAAAAACCTTCGGTACCCTTCGGTGCACTTCTTGTCCGTGCTTGTGCTTGTAAGCTTGGGTAGGATGCTCGTGGCGCGTTGCCCACCGGCCCAGTGGCCACAAGCTCTTTCGGGCGGGGCAAAGAGGCTTCAGGACATCTAGGGGGTCCCAGAAAGTCACTCTGAGGGAGTGGCCCACCAGCTAGATGTGCTCTGAGAGGGGTGTTTGGGGTGTTGCGCCCTCTTCGCCTGCGCCGTCAGCTTGCGCAGCTTCAGCACAGTGCAGCGCGTACACCAACGCAGCATGCGTCATGTTATTATGGCATGGCAGTTGGGTGGGGGAGCGCACGTTGCACAACCAAGTTGGCAGCACCAGTAGCCGCAGCAGCTGTGATGCAGACCGCAAAGCATCGACGCGATCATTATGGAAGCACTTCCCGGTCTGCCTGGTCAAGAGTTGGACATTGCCAATTTCAGCACCATTTGATACATTTGATCATGTTTGATCAGTTTGGATGGGGTAGTTTTTCATGCCAGGTGGCATGAAAGCTTCCTGGCGCATGCTGGAAGGGCACGCGTCTCTGGCGGGTCGAGCACAGCCCAACCTGCATCAGCGCGCTGAACTTCAAGATTAGAGCATGAACAATGAACAGTCTAATGTCCCAGAGCTTTGCGGCATTGTTTGGAAGACGACAAGATAATCCAAACTCAGACAAAGGTCACTTCCTGCTTTGCATGCAATCGGCCAGTTGGAAATTTGCAGGGTCAGGGCCTTGGCATTTGCTAACCGCAGCAGCTTGATCGTGTAACCCATCATGTGCTCATGCTATGGAATTCTGATGCTGATGAAGAGCTTGAACCAACATAGGCGCAGATCCATGCTTTGAGCCGGCAGCTGAGCATTCAGCTTCATCATCGGAACTATCACGTGCGTTATCGTGCGTTCATTAGGTGCGCTTCTGTTGACTTCTGTGCAGGTCTTGGATTTTTTGCATCCTTCGCGGCCCCATTCGGGGGTTTCCTCTCTTCTGCCATAAAGCGAGCGTACGGGATCAAGGCGCGCACATGATTTTCAGTTCATTTTCTGTATTCATTCTGCAGCGGCACTGCGCGTGCCGCGAGGATTTCAACAACCTAATTCCCGGGCATGGTGGCATGATGGACCGCTTTGACTGTCAATTCGTCATGTGCGGTGCTGAGCGATCAGATTCCGCAAGCTGATGAACGAGTGACATGATCGCAAGACCACAATTGGAGGTTCCTCTGCACCTTCGTTCACATACGTACCTTCTGCCAAACTCCAGTCACAGCCGCGGCCCAAGGCCTTTAACGTTTAAGCCTTGCATGTTCAGCTCTCGCATACGCCCCATGCCGCGTGTGTGGCGGAGCGCAAAGGTCGAAATGCTGTTGGCGACTGCAGTCCGGCTCCAAGCATGCACTCCGCTTCCCTCTTGGCTGTTGTAATCATACTTCGCGCGCGTCTGGAAAGCCATGGCGCCAGCCATGAAATCTTGCATCAGGTGATGCAGTAGGTGTGATATCTGATGTTTTCATATGCCTCCGAGGTCTCCAGGCCGTCATTTCCTAATGTTTCCTAAACGTTTCCGAACTTCTTGTGTTCCAACTGTTTGGGAGCCTGCGCAAAGCTAAGCCTCGGTGCAGTCTAGCTTTCGAGGCAAGGTTCGTTGTTGACGTAGAAGCTTAGATTGTTGTATAATGTTGCGCACCGATACCTCGGTTTCACTGCAGCCTCGGCGTGCCTCAGCTCTTCTTGAGAATGCTTGAGATGCTCGAGTCAAGAGTAAGTCTATTTCGATGTTGGCACTTGCAGCTGCTTGCATCCCATCTCGGTCCTGGCCTCTGGCTGCAGTATTGCGGTTTTTTCGCAGATAGAATCCTGAGAGACTGCCTTGCATCCGCACCTGCCAGGCTCGACTTAGCCTGCCTGAGAAGCAGGACTGCTGGACTGGCTCTTCCCTGCATGTGGAGATGCAGACATGTGCCATGATTTGTTTTGTGGGTCCTCCACATTTGTTGGGACGGTCAGGTCCTGATCGACAGATTGCAGGAGCAGGTCGCAGCTCGATAAGTGCCTGGGCACGCGGCGCAGAAGTCATGCTTACAGAAACTTCAGCGCGCAGCAGTCCAAAACAGAGTGCTGATTTTTCGCACCTAGTTAGCCAGGTTTAGCGGAGCGGTTGGGGGCAGTGTAGAGCAAGGCAAGTCTTCACGCTGACAGCTGTCTTTGTGTTGGCCGCGGCCGTCGGAGGAGTGGGCTTGGCAAGCCGGCAAGCCTTCAGACCCTCAAAGCACCTTCGAGTAAGCCTAAGCTATCCTAAGCTCAAGCATTTGGGCAGAAACGGGCTCAAGGAGCCAATGGCTCAAGAGGGCTGGCGCAGCGGGTGGGGCCATCAAGAGGGCACCAGATCACGATGCGCCGTGGGAGGCACAAGAGGCGTTTTGCACGCGCAAGGGGATCGGAAATCCGACAAGGGAGGTGCGCACCATGCTTGTGGGTGTTCCGAACTTGGCAAGAGGCTCTTTTGCTGTCTTCCTTTGGTTCTCGTGCAACTCTTTACCAGTCCCAGCCACTTCGCAGTTCCGAGAAGCAGTGTGTGACCTGTCCGGCCTGCTCGCTCTGCCCTTGGCTTGCGGCCCGGTAGCCGTGGCATTTCTGGAAGCTGTCCTTTGCATTCCAAGCTTTGGTAAGCCCGTGGTGATAGGTCACATAACTAGAAATGGTAGAAGAGATATATAGGGCTACCCGCTGATGCAACCACACAGTCAAAGCCACCAGATTCATACCCGACAGTGGAATAGCCTTCATACTTCATACTGCAGACGTATTCAGAGTCCCTCCAAATCAGAAGCAGCAACTAATTGCAGCCTCTAAAATGAGATCAACAGGGATTGGCAAGACGCCGCAGGCCGTGATATGCAGTCTTTGCGTTTGCCATGCTTGTGCCATGCCTGCTCAGTTGTCCATTTCCCGCCTTGCGCGCGTGTAGCACCAGCTCGATTGTGTTGGTGGAAAGGTCGCGGCTCCTCCTGTTGCAGCGGCACATGGCCAGGTTCTGTTTGCACCGCCACAGGCGGATGGGGATTCGACATGGTGCGTCCATTGGCCCTAGGAATTGAAGAGCAAATGCATGCGAATCCATGTCATCAGGATGTGTCGCGCTGATTGTTACAAGCCTGTACCCGCGGGTAGGTTAAGTCGTATCTTCTTGTGTGAAGTCGTATCTCGGGCGCGTGCACGCTGGGGATTCGCGAATTCCAAGATTGGTCAGAACCCACTTGCACCAGCAAGCAGAAATCTCATTCACGACAACACCCCTCATCTTTAGGGGCAAAGTTCCTGGCGTGCAACATTCCGCGACAACAGCTCAAACGAGCTCTCTGCAGAGTGCTTTAAATTCATTGAGGGCTACTGCTGTACGGAAAGGGACGTACGGCCCTCGCAACGGCTCGCGCAGGACTCGCGCAGAAGCACATACGGTCACTACCCACATATAGACCTTGCGGACAACAAGCGCTTCTCTTTCGAGCGTGTAGTGCCGAATGCATACTTTGCTCATGTGCATGTCGCGCGCGTGCACTCGCAGAATGGCATCAATTGCTGTCTTTGTGCTCACACAAATGTGCTCCCCTCCAAGGCGTGCGGTGACAAAAGCGTGTTTGCATGTGTGTCGAGAACATGCGCGTGCGGCGCGTGCACATTGGGGGAACGGCCTCAGCATATGTCTTTGTGATGCGACTTTACGCGGGGTGATGTGACTTCGCTCACGGCCGCGTGTCATTGGGGAGATGTGACTTCACACGCAAAGATGTGAGTTAACCAAGCCCCTAGGAGGACACATGGGCGTGCGGCTTCATGCGGCTTCGTTTTTGCATTCTTGATGTATATTTCTTGATTATGAGGGTGTTGGACACATGCTTGGCTGACCTCACATCCAAAGACAACACCCGTTTATCCTTTCTGATTGACGCGGCAGAACACAGATGCCAGTGTAGGAGGAGCAGGAATCGTTGCCAGCATGCTGCTACTGTAATGGTCAGTATGTAGCCTACAGGCACAGGGAGTGCGCTGCAGCGCCAACAGAAGTTTTCTTCCAAGTTGAGAAGAAGAAAAGCGTGCCCATGTTTGAGAAGCGAAATTCAGCGAACTTTGTGGCCGGATTGTTCTGCGAAGTTCTGACGGAGGTGTGTGCAGCAACTACAATTCCGGGTGAAGACTGTGTCTTTGCAAGGCGAAGTCCTCGCCGCAATTTGATCCGCAGCCGCAAAGCAAGGCAACTGATTCGATACTCACGTGAAGCGAGCCGTATCGATGCCTTGTCTGCTTTTACTGGTGGCTTTGCCAATGCATCCGGCAGATCTGATCTCATCAGGCTTCCCGATGTCTACTCCTTGCGCTGCCACCAGCACTGTGTGCTCCAACTGTGGTCAGGCCTGGTTTCTCACGTGTCAACTCCCAGTTTGCGCATGTCAAGAGCAAAGTGATGTGAGGGCACTACGGCGGCGTGGCAGGTCAGCAGGGGACCACAATTCACACCCGAGCCGTTGCCGATGCCGCCTCATGTCGCGTGCCTCAGTGCAGGCGCTACTCCAGGGCACCCCCGACGATGCTCCGCAACAGCAATCGCGAGGCGAAATGTCGCGAGATGCTTGTTCCAGCTATAATATCCATGAGTCGCAGTCCGTGGCGCTGCTTGTTCAGGCGTGTGCCGCACGGCGAGGCATCCTTTCTGCGCTGCTCGTGAACAGCGTGAGTGGCATCCCAGCCAGGGCGCAAGACCGACTATAGTCCGACTATGCAAGATTTGTAGAATTTCCAGAGCACTCAATACGGCACTCGTTCACTAGTCACTAGTTGACGGCTGAGGCCGAGGCTGAAGCGGCCACCTCGCCGCCGCCTCGCTTCGAAGAAAAGACCTTCATGGTCCAATGTCTCACTGGGACCCAGGTTGTCCTGGCTGCCCATAGACGAGGCCCCACAGCAGGTGCAAACCTTTGCTGGCCATGCTGGCCCACTACATGGCTGTTTTTCAGTCGCAGGCAGAAAAGGCAGAGTTTGTTTGTGTTGCCAGGCGGAAACGTTCGAGCGCATTGAGTCCGACTCACAATGGAGCGTGGACTTCATCGTGTACTTGGCACGGATCCTCCTGAACTACGATGAGGCATTAAGAAGCTAAGGAATGAGGGCAGGCAAAGTCCTTTCTTCGGGTGATGCACTCAGTTTGCAGAGTTTGCAGAGTTTGCAGGCTTCAGCCACTTGGTGGAAGGCGGGGTGAGAGTGGGCGAAAGGTCTGATTTCACACGCGATGTCCTTCACTTCTCCATGTTTTTTTCTTCACTGTTCAGAATGAAGTGGTCCCCACCGTGGAAGCGACCCTGGACATCTCGACACCCCAGTGGGTCCGTGCAAACAAGCGGGCCGCCAAGCTGAGAGACATCTTTGCAGGCCCCTGCGAGCAAATCGTCGTGCCGTTTGCGAAGTTTTGCGCACGGATGGAACATGTTTTTGCGCTGCAGACTACACTGCCTCCGTGGAGCTCGGCCTACGGCGGTACCAAGAAGAAGGCTTGGAGGGGAAATTCCAAGTTCAGAACTCTTTTTGAACAGCGTGTAAGAGCGGTCTGCAGCATGATTCGCATCGAGGCCGGCGCCAGTCAGGCGGGCGTGAGAGAGTTTTTGAAGCATGTTCATTCGGGCATTCAAGCCTGAAGCGCACTGCGTATAGGACTGCTGAGGCGCCTGGTCAACAGGCACGCAGAGATTCATGGAGGGCGGGGGATGGTAGTGAGAAAGTGAAAGAGAAAATTAATTCGCCTTACTTCACAGAGCCGAGACCAGAAAGAACATCGACCCAAGACTACAAGCGTACTTCACGGAAGGAAGTGTACGAATGTACGTGCAAATTGGTCCGCGGAGGGGTTCTTCGAAAGGTGTATGTATGTATGTATGTATATATGTACATAGAAATTTTCACAAATAGACACATATATATATATATAGTATATGTACATAGGTGCTTCTCTCCTCCTGCTTTCTCTTTCCTTGCTGCTTCTCGACTTTTTCTTTTTCTCCCTCTTGCTCTCTCTCAAGCTGGCTCGCTCGCTCTTTCATGGCAGGTACGGGTCAAGCCCGGAGGGCAGACGGCAACTGGCACTGGCCTTTTGCTTACTGGAGGACCAGCCACTTGAGCTGCTCAGCGAGATCCTGAGCTCCTTGAAGGTCGAGAACCGCTTGGAGGCCCATGAGACAGGGCATGCGCAACACAAGAAGAGCCACTGGGCCACTAGCCGCTCCTCATCTTGGGTCATCTTCTCTGAACTTCTTTGTCATCTCATTTTTGAGGGCCCGACCTGATCAGGGACATTCAGGGACTAGCCACAGGGATTGCCACATCGGTACGCAAATTGAATGGGGATGCACAGAATGACGTTTGAAAATGGGAGGATGCAGTGATGCAGTGCGTGATGGGAGACGCAGAGTGACGATCGATCAAACTAAGCAAGCCGTCGGCCAGCCAGCAGATGCTGGACAACATCCCGCACAGTCCGGGCCGAGCTGAGTGCAAATGTAGTCGTCCGAAAGGAGGCAAAAAGGGGAACGCCTCGGCGATGTTGAAACAGAAGAATGGGCTAGCTGAGCTCTTCACAGACCAGAACGAACCAAGTCTTCGCAAGATTAAAATACAGTCGGGTGTGGAGGTCCATCTTGCCGACACGCCAAGATAGGAGTTTAAAGCACTGGGTGCTACATGAGCAACGCCGTGTCGCTTGTGTTTTTGAATGATACGGTCCCGGTTAGTTGAAGCTTTGCGTTGGGTTGTATGGATGTTGTATGGTTCATCATTGCAGTCGCTGCTTGTGCCTCAGCTGCACAGGCAGTGGTAGAAGATGGTATAAGCATGCTCTACATCGGCCCCTAAAGCCTCATGCCAGGAACAAGCTTGATTTAGTCTGTTTAAACTCACGTCTCACAAGTCATGAGCGTTGTTTTTTTCGGAGGCCATGTTCTCGCCTGCACTTCCGGACTACCTGGCCATGGACCCCACTCGTCTCCTTCCCGACACACAGTATCCGGTCTGGGACTTAAACGACAGCTCTAGGGATAGTATGGATAGTGAGCTAAGTGTGAGAGACATTCAAGCTTTTAAGAAAGGTCTGGAATGGTGGCCAGCAGCGATGGGTCATCCCCGGCTTGCAGGCAGGAGGGGGGCAAGTGTAAGCACATGGGCCTGTCGTTGGCTGATCGGCTGGGGTCTGCTGGCGGGTTGACTTTGAAGTACTGCGCTGCGGTTGGTGACGCCGTCTGACAGAACCCGGATGCTTGTACCCAAAATCCATATACATAAGTCTCATGGCCCCCAAGCCGTCGCAAGCAGTTTACTACGCTTGGCACCTGGAAAGAATCAGTGCAGGCAGCCGAGCCCTACAAAAGTGCTGAGACCTGAGTTGTGCAGTCGCCTCTCAATCCGGTTGAACACATCATTTAATGCATCTTCCCCTGCGAGCCTCCAGGCCTTCGACGACAAGAGCGGCGCTGTACTCAGCGTCTTCGGCGCACGCGGGACGGAGGTTTTGGTGAAGGACGCTCTCAGAGAAGTTTTTTGTGCATTGCGCGTGGAGCGCTACGGACCGTGCAGAAGTTCAGCCAGTGTTCAGTCGTGTGCTGCTAGGAACGGCCTTTGAGTCTCTCAGACTACGGCTTCTTTGCGCTTAGCGGCGCCTTTGGGTGCTCCGTGACGCACAGTCTGGTGATCCCTCTGGACGTAGTGAAGACGAGGCTTCAGGCAGAGCCTTCACGATACGATGGGTTGGTGTCGGGGGCGATTCAGATTTCGAAGGATGAGGGCGTGCTCTCTCTGCTGGCGGGCTGGGAGCCCACTCTTCTCGGGTATCTTTGGTATGGCATCACTGTGTACCCTGGCTACGAGTTCTTCAAGCGCCTCTACCTCTCCCTTATCCCGAATGAATCTCTGCGTGTCCTGCTGGTCCTCCTCGCGGGTGCCACTGCCACTGTGTTCGCCTGCTTTGGCGTGTGCCCGGCAGAGGCCTGCCGCATACGCATGGTCACAGACAAGGAGCCGAGTTGTGTTAACTGCTTAAGCATTGAATTCATGTTGATTGTGTGCTGACGGTGCGTTTGTGATGGAGTGTGACCGAATTCTTCCGCATGTTCAATCGTACGGGTGCAGCTTCTGCTGCACTTGCTTTTGTGGCAGACCAGGAGATGCGGAACTGCTCCCTGCTCCAGGCGCAGACTCGTGCTACGAATTAACACAAGTTCAAGCATGTGAAACCGACCCCGCCCGGCACCACACTCCCTTCCCAGGTGGTGCAGCGCATCTCGCGGGACGAGGGCGTAGGTGTTCTCTTCGATGGGCTTGGGACACTGCTGGTGCGGCAAGTGCTCTTCGGGATGATGAAATTCCTTGTCTTCGACTACTTTGCAGACTTTGTCTTTGACCTCATGCCTGCCCTGGCAGAGAAAACCGAGACCCAGCTCCTGGTGACTTCCTGAGCCTCACTGCAATGGGGCTGGGGGCTTGTCGTGACACCACGCGATATGCTCCGAATGCCTCCGAGGTCTCGTTCGTCTCCGGGGCCGTGGCCGGACTGAGCTCCTCAATAATATCGCAGCCCGCGGACACCATCCTTACTAGAATGAATCAGAAGCTCTGCGAAACGGTGAGTGGCAAAGTTCACTTGTGCTTTGGCCTTGCAAACCAGTGCAAGCGATCCCAGGAAGCAGGGTCGCGCCTTCTTTCTAGAAACCGGCCGCGAGATCCTCGAGGAGCAAGGCGCCCAAGGCCCCCTGGGAGAAAACCAAGAACAGTTGCTGAAGCTTCACGTTAGTTTTGCAACCTCATGACTCATGACGTTGCTTGAGGATTTTTCGCCGGCCTCGGTTCTCGAAGTTTATGGGCTGCGTGCATCATCAGCGGGCAGTTCTTTCTCTACGACGCAGGGTCCTCAGGCGTTGACTGTGCCATGCAATGCCGTCCTGCTGTAGTAGATGTTTTCTTGTGTTGAAGAATATGAAAGATATTGTACATGTTCTCGTCGGTATCCAGCTGCTCAAACCCATCTGAAAATGCTCATTTCCTTGACGAAGATCTAGTATGCTCCGCTCCCGTTCCAAAGGGTCTCGTAGGGGCCGAACTATCTAATTGGAATGAAGCCTGCTTGCTGAGTTCATTTTTTTCGTTTGTTTAAATTGCGCGGGGAAAGGAGATGTACATCAATTCAAGATTTTGCCCATCCAGCAGCACGAGACTTTTCAACTCCAGCGGAAGATTTGGAATGGATTTGCTGCTCAGAAGGATGCTTTAGGGCTGATCAACCAGGAGCTTCATTCCGACAACGAGATGCGCTTCCCTCAAGGTTGCGAGCGTTGTTTCGTCTCGAGATCGGCCAACAAAGTTGTTTTGGACTGAGCTGCGTGTGTTTGTACAATGCTTTATGACACGATCCGCCAAAAATCAACCACGAGTCAAAATGTCCGAGTGTTGCTCGTCCAGCCTGTAAAGCATTGCTTGGTGCAAAAGCTGCACATCAAATTTGAAAAAAGTAACAGTATGTGACAGCTGAGGTCTGCAAGTCGTTCCTTGGAGTCAAGGACGGTGGTCACGGTCAGGCTGCAGTGAGGCTGCAGACAGAAATGGCATGGCGCGCATTGTTTAGCTTCATTCTTATTCGAGGACCTGCGGATGTTCCTGAACGTGCAGCTTTAGATTCGCAGAGAGGCGGTAAAAAACAGGGCCACTCTATTCTAGCTTCAGTTCTACTGCCAGACTCCAGTCGTTATAGCTTGATATGCCTTCAGGATGAAACACCTCAACACACGTGAGACAGTGGCTTCACGCATGCGTCCGGAAAACTAGAGGCCCTGTTCACGTCAGCATTGAACAACTGCTGAGTCTGTGAGGCCCTGTACATGTTTCGATCATGCAACTTGCGGCAATGGCCATAATCCGCTTTTGTGCGCAAAGACCTCCGGGCCAAGCAGGTTCAGTCCTTACTTGTGCCAACGCTCAGATTCGACCTTCCTATCCCCAAAAGTTACCTATGGGGAGGTTTAATACTTTGACTGGGGGGCGACATCCGGAAGCATGAAAGTCGCAAGACGTTCGAGACTTTTCCAGATTGTGCAACCCGTTCGAAGCGGCCGCCCTCTGCCAGCTGTTGGGCTGACGCAATACCGGAGAGGTCATGATGACAAGTGATGCAGGAAGAGCGACAATCGTAGAACTGGGTTGAACTCGCCGTCGACATACTCGATGCAGCTTACAGTAAGCCTGCTGTGTTGCCCATGGGCCGCAACAGGACTCCCGCGCCAATTCATGCATACAAATTGCACAAGATGCATACTACTGTAGAATGGCATGGCTTGCGACGGGAAAATATGCAACAGCAAGTGTGTACTGACTTTGTGAAGCTGAGCTTCCGCTGCGCCATGGACCTCAGGGACTTCTACGGCGGAAAGCATGTGCTACTCACTGGTGCCACGGGCTTCGTTCATTGGTTGCAAGACCGCCGCAAGCCAAACTCCGCAGAGGAGAGAAATCATGAGGAATCATCAAAGATATGCGACGATGTCCTGATACCTAAATAGCTTGTACAACGATTTAAGTTAAAGTTATTTAAGCATTTGGCACTTCTTGGCGTCGGCCGCGCCTTGTGCCACAGGGATTCCACGAGAGACGAGAGCACTGAGAGAATGGAATCTCTCAATTTGAAGAACGCATCCTCCCTTTCGCCTATGAAAGGTTGGGAAAGTCTTGCTCGAGAAGCTGCTGTGGGAGTTCTGTGCCCCCTGTAGCCACTACCTGGGTCCCAAGCTCCACGTACTCATACGCTCGCAGAAAAAGTCTGCCGCACAGAGCGGCTTGGTCTCGGAAACGCTCAGCAGTGTCCAATGTCACCTTAGTTCCATCTCATGTCATTCAATTGTCCGCCCTTCAAATTTGCACATGTTTGAAGGCGTTTTCGTAAAGAATCCTAAAATGGAACTTGGCATCTCTTCGTTTCTGTTGGTGCTTCTCAGGGCTGGAGGAGTTGTTTGACAGTCCGGCGTTCCAGCGACTGAGAGCCCGGCAGAGTTTGCAGCTACGGAACTTGGAGTACTGTCTCAGTGTGGTGGACGGTGACCTGGACTCAGTACCTCGGAAAGGGAAGACCACGTTATACCACGTTCCGGGATGCTTCGGACAGGGTTAAGATTCTCAAGGTTCGAAAGGAGTGGAGATGCCCAAAGATGTCCGTTGATGGAAGGGTTTTGAGGTTGCTTGTCGGGCATGCAGGGCATTGAGGCGCTGGTTCGATGCTTTGAATAATTCTAAGTTTCAAAACCTCCCAATATCGTTTTCACGTCATGTGGCACTGGCAGCATCTGCATTGAGGAATGTTTGGGGCTTTCGTCAGAAAGCTACGACGCCTTGGGCGCTTGCTGCGACGTAGCACTGCACTGCGCGGCGCTTGTGGACTGGGCGGCGCCGCTGCATCGCTCTCTGCGAAGCAACGCCCTCGGCACACGGCGGGTGGCACAGTTGACGGCGCAGAAGCCTGGGCGCCTGGTGTGCCTCAGTTGACCGTTACAATCCGGTTGTGTCACGGTTACGTATTGCCAAATTAGCGCATGACTGTGGAAGTGATCGGGTATTTAGGCGGCTGTAGTTCAACTTTTGTGCATGGCATCCAGACCAACTTCGCAAGGTGCGTTAGCACCGCCTGGGTGCATGGCAAGGCGGCCGGGCCCTGCGCGGAGGTTCCCTTGCGGAGGAGCCTCGACCCTGAGGCGCGGCGCATGAGAAAAGGGTGCCCTGCACAAAACATGACCTCGCAGAACCGACGAGGGCCGATGCTCAAGCGAGGCTGAGATCTCCCGCTGCTTCACGTATCTGGATGAGGTCACCAGGCTGTCCACGGAGATGGACTTCCTGGAGGAGATGACATGAACATACATGAACCATGTTGAACCTCTGCCTTGCATCGTGCGGGCCACGTGGTCAGGAGGCTCGGCAGCGCCTGGGCCCTGGCCCAGTGCCCACAGCCCTGGCTGAGATGGCTGAGACGCTGCGTGGCCGCTGGGTGGACGCCGAGATGTCACGCTGGGGCGTGGACACCGCCAGAGTCTAGGACAGTTGTGAATAGGTTGTGAGAGCATGGGAAACATGGAAAAGGGGAAGAGGAAGAACAGTGGAAGAACTCAGGAAATCTGATAAACACGGAAAGATTGCGAAGAGAGCGGGAGTTTGATGTGGACAAGTGCTTTTAGTGATAATGCTGGGTCCAACCTAAGGAGCTCGGGGCTGGTGGGATGGTTACACCTTTTCGAAGGCGATTGGGGAGATGCTGGTGCAAGATGTCCAGGCGGCACAGAACTTTTGACATCTTTTGATCGAACGAGAAAGACATTTAGTCATTCTGGGATGTCGAAGGATGAAAAGAAGTGCTTTTGGGATTGGCTGCGCCGCGCTTTGAACTTGGCATGTCTCCTGACCCCCCCTTTCTCAAAGAGACCTCCAGGATGGTCCAAGGATTGCATGAGTGACAAGAAATATCAAGAAATGACAAGTTCATCAAGTTCATACAAGTTCCAGAAGGTTTGTTTTTCCCCTGTAGGGTGTGCGGCCCTACGCTGTGGTACGCCCCTCGGGTGTCGTCTCCGCTTGGGCGGAGCCGATGCCTGGCTGGGTGGATGCTTACCTATTGGTGGAGCCACTCATTGAAGGACAGGTTCATCCTACACCGTTTTTAAGTTTTTTGAACTCTAACGAGGTAAACCATTTTTGAGATGTTCTTAGATGACTGACTCAGTATGATGGACATGACAGGCATCATCCGGAATCATGCATGTTGAAACTCCGGGCGAAGTTGCGAGATTTTTGCGAGTTCTCGCACAGGCATGGGCCGCGGTCAGATCACGGAGTTCCCGGGCCGCAGAGACTGCGTTATCGACTGCGTGCCAGTGGACTACGTGCCTCGTTTCCTTGTGGACCTACAAAATGCTTAAAATGACTTAAAATGACCCACCACACTGTTGATGGGTGACTGCACCTGAACGATGGCCGCCCAAAGTCCGCCCAACTACCCCAGATTTCACATCAACCGGAATCTGTGTCACACATCGCTGATACATCTGGAGCCCATGCATGAAGTGCCTAGCAAAGCCACCCCGCAAGCGCAAGCATTGTCTCCAACCTGAGGTGTGCAACGTGGTCTTGGCTGCTGCCGGCTGCCTGCCAGCGGCACCTGTGGCACCTGAATCTTGCCCAGCACGGGTTTATCAGGTCGCCTCTGGTGACGTGTCGCCCAACACCCTGGGGGAGATCGAAAGCACTTGGCGGGATCCTTGGCTTCTTTTGGGCCTTGAACGTTTGTTTGCAGTGCACGTAAAGTACACCGAACAGGCAAGAGTTCCCCCCCTCCCCTGTCAATCGTGGGGATCTCTTGGATCCTGGGGGAAGGGGAGTGACGGTCGGCGTGTGTGTGTGTGTGTGTGTGTGTGTGTGTGTGTGTGTGTGTGTGTGTGTGTGTGTGTGTGTGTGTGTGTGTGTGTGTGTGTGTGTGTGGGTGTGTGTGTGTGTGTGTGTGTGTGTGTGTGTGTGTGTGTGTGTGTGTGTGTGTGTGTGTGTGTGTGTGTGTGTGTGTGTGTGTGTGTGTGTGTGTGTGTGTGTGTGTGTGTGTGTGTGTGTGTGTGTGTGTGTGTGTGTGTGTGTGTGTGTGTGTGTGTGTGTGTGTGTGTGTGTGTGTGTGTGTGTCTGTGTGTCTGTGTGTGTCTGTGTGTGTCTGTGTGTGTCTGTGTGTGTCTGTGTGTGGTGTGTGTGTGTGTGTCTGTGTGTCTGTGTGTGTGTGTGTGTGTGTGTGTGTGTGTGTGTGTGTGTGTGTGTGTGTGTGTGTGTGTGGGGTGTGTCTGTGTGTGTGTGTGTGTGTGTGTGTGTGTGTGTGTCTGTGTGTGTGTCGGTGTATGTGTGTGTGTATGTGTGTGTTCGTGTCTGTGTGTGTGTCTCGGTGTGTGTCTGTGTGTGTGTCTGTGTGTGTGTGTGTGTGTGTCGATGTGTGTGTCTGTGTGTGTCTGTGTGTGTCTGTGTGTGTCTGTGTGTGTCTGTGTGTGTCTGTGTGTGTCTGTGTGTGTCTGTGTGTGTCTGTGTGTGTCTGTGTGTGTCTGTGTGTGTCTGTGTGTGTCTGTGTGTGTCTGTGTGTGTCTGTGTGTGTCTGTGTGTGTCTGTGTGTGTCTGTGTGTGTCTGTGTGTGTCTGTGTGTGTGTGTCTGTGTGTGTGTGTGTGTGTGTGTGTGTGTGTGTGTGTCTGTGTGTGTGTGTGTGTGTGTGTGTGTGTCTGTGTGTGTTTGTTTGTGTGGGAGCGCGTTTCCGCGCGGCAAACAATCGGTTGAGTGTTTGAGTGTCTGACTGATTGTTCGGCAAATTCACAGGATCTCTGTGTCTGAGCATCTGAGTTTTCTGACTGCTGACTGTTTGCTTTTCAAGTTGCAGCGGGGGCATACCAGCACGGCAGACGCTCAGGAGAATCAGGACCGGGACACCACACTTGATACCCGCTCTTTTGTTTTTTGAGTCGCGAGTTGCCTTTAATCAAATGCACCCTGTCTGGTCTTCGGCCCTATATAAATGGCTAACGCAGCTAGCGCATTTCTGTTTGCAGTTAAAACACTAAATACTTGAGCGGTGTGTGGTGCAGGATTAGCTCGAACAGTCGTCACATCAAGTCGCTGAGGAGTACTTCAAGTCCCAGCCCATGCATAACCAGGGGAGACCAGTGGAAGTGAGGCCTGTGAAGTTCCTGCCCAGCGCTGATGATTTTGCAACTCGTCAAAGACAGTACAGTCCTTTGTCTCATTCGGAAAATTCATTTTGATCTCCAACATTCTCCAGCAACATGACCTCATCTTCCTGCTGGTGAGACTGAGCGTTTTGTCGTTGGGGCCTTGCAACTTTGCTGGGTGGGTCACGTGCAGGTACCCTGAACGTACAATTGGCTTCGAAGAGAAAGGAATGGGAATGAACACAATGCGCGCCTGTTACCAGTACTACAAAACGTGACTCCTCCTTCCGAATTGTTGTGTTTGAGGTGAGCTCGCTGCAGCGACGCTACTTGACACCGCTGCGACGGTGTTTGTCGGTGCTGGAGCTGTTGCCCGTGCAACACATGGCGCCATTGCGCGATGGCCGTGCCTGGCTGAAGCGGAAGCATCGGAGCCTGGAGAAGTTAACCCTTCTGGCCAGGCCAGGAAGATGAAGATGAAGGTGTGATTGAATCATGTTAAGATGCACCGGTAATCACCGGTAGCTGGAGAATTCATGAGAAATGTCAGGAAAGAGCCGAAAGTTGCTGAAATTGGAGAGCTGAGAGATCTTGTCACCCCAGACGCAGAGGCTGACCGAAGCAAAAACCTTCGCCGCAGAAACTTGTCGGTTCCGGTTTCAGTACCTAAGTGGCAGAACCAAAATCCACGTCAACCCTCTAAACTCCCTGACCCCTGAGGTTCATGTTGATAGCACGTCTCCGTGGAGGCATCGCTTCTACAATTAGTCTTCGCCTGGGCATAATGCTTAGTTTGCAGACAAAGCTGCCCGCGTTGTTTCCTCGATGTCAACCCTGTCCTCGAAAGCTCCCTCATCGAAGGTTTTGTCAGAGCCCAATATCCCACATAAGAAAGCAAACTGGCAAACAGCGGAAGAAGTAGCGGCCAGCAGCAGAAACCACCTCAACCACACTGTAGGTGTCAGGGCTTGAGGTTTTGTTGGCGCAGGCGGGCGTTTAGGGTTCGCGAACCGCTCGCGACAAGATGCGACAAGACTTTGTGTTTGAGGTCCCCACGAACACAGGTGCAGAAACAGCTACCGAGTCATAGTTTCCGATACGTCGACACATCATTTTTCAAATTTCTGCTGCAGGCCTCTGACTGCTTAGTCGCCGGTTCCGAGTTACGGGCAGCTTACGGCTTCAGAATTAAAATACGCTCTTAGACTGGCCTCCTGCTGTGCACATGAGTTTGCTGCTCGACGTTCCCGGACTTGCATCGCATCTTACACTAAGGAGGCTTTTGTTGATATTCACATACTTCCGCAAGTTGAGATGCAAAGGATGCATTTTTGAGGCGTGCCCCCCATTTTTTCATGGCGCCCACTTGACTACCTAGCATGGTATCCGGCCTTGCAAAGCGCAGGCTCTACTCCACCTACACCCTCAATGAGTGGTCATTTCAGACACCGCGCACGCGCGAGCTCATGGCGCAAGTCGACTCGGTGCGTTTCCCTTACTTCCCGGAGAAGCCGTGGACATGGCGAGACTTCTGGACGCAGAAACACATCCCAGGGATGAGGCAGTGGGTGCTGAAGGAGAGCCAAGCTGTGAGCCACACTGTCCAAGCGGTCAACCAAGGGAACCACGCCCGCTTGTAGTGGCATTGTAGCGATTTTCCTGATCCGATCTACATGCCTATAAGATCCGCTGGTGCTCTGTGAAAGTGCTTGAAAGGAAAACAGAGCCGAAGAGAAATGTTGCTGGCATCGTTTGGCCTTCAGTAGAGGTAATGTACTTGTAGTTGTAGTTTTCGTCGTCGTCGTTCTCGTTCTAGTTCCAGTTCCAGTTCTCTAGTCCTCTAGTTCTCTAGTCGTCTAGTTTTTTCGTTAGTTCTTTAGTTCTCTAGTTCTCTAGTTCTAGGAGTAGGCGTGGCAGTGGCAGTGGCAGTGGCAGTGGCAGTGGCAAGAGCAGGAGGAGGAGGAGGAGCAGCAGCAGCAGGAGGAGCAGCAGGATCAGGCAGGAGCAGGAGCTCGACTGCTGTGAAAGCATAAGCCCCATTCCACCCAACGACTAAACCTGGAGAGCCAGCTTGCAGCAGAACGAAACGGTCTCTCACGGGCGTTTGGCAAGACCCTGACAGGCGCACCTCGCTAAGAGCGAGTGCATACGTGCGGTGCTTGAGCATATTGTGCAGCTTGGAAACATCAACCTCGGCAAAGGGGGCGTCGCCCTCGAGGCTCATGCCCCGTTTTCCCTCCCGCGCATGTGGCTGACTTGGTTTCGGGTACCCCGGGCAAACGGCTACCATTCAGTCCCGCCTGAGAGCGAAACGTCCTCACACCGCTCCGAATGTAGCTCGGATGATCTGTGAAGTTGAACATTGTGGCAACAAGTGCTGTGAGCAGAGAATAACTGGAATAACAGGCAGCAAACTTTGAAACCCCCTTACCCGCTGACCAGAAACACGAGGAGGCAGGAGAGGCCGTTTAGGGCAGTTTAGGGGGTTATTCGGAGGAGCCCACCCTCCTTCGCCTGTGCGCGCACATGTCTTCAGGGCAGGGAGACCGTCTTCTAAGAAAGCCCCCGCCGATGCTAAGCAGCAGCCTAAATCGCAAGTGTGCGCATTCCACGATGTTCAAACCTAAGGCCTATGAACCCTAGACCCGAAAACCCTTTGGAACTCCTTTGCCTGACCATGTTGTTCGATAGATGCCGCTTCATCGCTTTTCGCCAATCTCTTACAAGCTTCACGTGCGGATCAGGTCGCACGAAATTCGAATTTCAATTGCCGTGGTATTCTGATCAGTACTTGGTCCTCCCTATGATGCCCGGGTCCGGGTCTACATATGTAGTACAGGCAGAGAAGTCTTACACACACACACATGGGTGCGTATGACCGCAGAAGCCTTGAGGCTCTGGCGGTAGGTCTTCTTTGTCCATCCATGCGGCCATGCGTAGGATGTCTTTGAGCTCAACGTCAACCCCTCCCAAACTCTGGACCCTATAGCCCTGTTCTGTGATCCGCTTATCGGCGGGGGTCGCTCTGCCGAGGTGAGAGTTTTGGGTTGATTGAGGTGTGGAAGGCTGCTTGTAGCTGTCCAAAGATGTCGGCTACATGGCTTGCCGTGCTGGCCTGTGCTGCAGTAGGCACTTCGGGCCGCTCCGCGATGAGTTCAGCGTAGGGTTAGGAGGAGCTTGGACAGTCAGAACGTGGTGGTGGGGATAAAAGTGTTTCATGGGGATCTTGTACAGGTTGTATAGGTGTCTCGTAGGGGTTAAATATGGTAGATTCTTAGACCAAACAGGGAACACCTACTTGGAACCCTCTTGGAAGGGACCCCCTTCAAGAAGCCGAAGAGAACCTAAAAGCTTCTTATTCGGGGTCTTTCCTGTTTGGGGCGCCCTAAACCTCGACGAACCACGAAACCCCAAAACCCCAAAAACACCCTATATATAAATACTCTACAAGACACCCCCCCACATTAAAGACCTTCTACTGTAAGGTCCTATCAATCCTTTATCAGAACTCCGCTGTAAACCTCCAAGCAGCTCTGGAGCTCTAGCAACACTTCTTGTACCCTCGTTGGGAGGTTCAGGGTACGTATAACTTAAGTCGAGCTGTGGAATCCAGCGATAAAGTTGCAAGTAGACTTAGGCGACTGGTAAGTGGATTGTGACTACACCTGAGCCCTAAAACCCTCAAGTCTCCTTATGAACCCTACAAGCTCCCAAAGACCCTGTAAGAACCTCCATGACACCCTATAGCGGCCCAAGCCGTTCAGGTCTCACCGTGGAATACCTGGTGGTGGCCGGAGGTGGAGGTGCGGGCTCTGGCGGCGGCGGCGCGGGCGGAGTTTCGCAAGGTTCTGCAACTTGGTGGCAATGCGTTGCTGGGGCTTTAGATTTAGACTATTGCCGGGTTTATGGTTAGGGTTTAGGGGTTTCGGAATTGCGGGGTTTAGGAGTGGGGTTCAGGTTTTTTGGGGATTTCTTAGGGTTTTTGGGGGGTCTAGCGTTTGCTGCTTCGGGTTAAGGGTGTAGGGACTTAGAGTTTAAGGTACATGCTTTCTAAGGCTTTTGAGTTAAGGGTGTTGGTTTTTTAGGGGTTCAGGGTTTATGGTTGAGGGTGATGAGCGGCCAGGATTTGGAGTTCAGGCTTTGAGGCAGTCTTGCGGGAACGTCAAGAACTGTTCATATTGTTCGCGCATGTGTTCAGCACGCGAATCACACCCAAGTTTTCACCTTTGCTAAAGGCTATGCCATATCTCCGCAGCTGCCCCTGCTGGCGTCGCAGGGCCACCTCAACAACACCATCCGTACAAATCCTTTCCAAACATAAAATCACGCGTTATGGGCAGGGTTTTGGGGCGAGTGGAGTTCACCCCGCAAGTAGCCCTTTTTGGACTTGAAGGTATCTGGGCGCCTCCAACCAAGATTTCTTGCAGGGCTCCAGCAAGCTACATATTAAGTTGGGATTGGCCTACTTTGTGTTTGGAGGTCTATGGCTTTTTGGGGGTACCCTATAGACTAAGGAGTTCACCATTGCGCAAACTTCTACAGGTCGATGGGGTTCCTGTCTTACAGAGGGCTCTAGAGGGGCACTTCTTCGGGAGTTGACTTAGAGACCACTAGCCCGAACACCATTCTCTTTTACATTTTTTGGACCTCCAAGGTGAACATCCTCAGCGGCTCGGTGTGGCCCGTGGTGGTTGGTGCTGGTGGCATGGGAGGATCCTGAAGGGGCCCTGAAGAAGGGCCCCAAATTGCGGGCTTCGAAGTTTGTGTGCTCTCTGCGTCTGTGTGTGTGTGTGTGTGGAATCTCTGTTCTTAAGAAAATAGGCTTGATCAAAGCAAAAGCTGGGGGAGTGCAGTTGGTGGTCCAACGAAGAGGACTGCATTCATGTCTGATATGGGAGCTGCTCACTCCCGCATACCTGCGTCTGCAAGAGAGTTGATAACCAGCTCAGACCGGACTTCCATTTTGTGTGTCTGTGTGTTTGGGTTACTTGGTTTGTTTAAGGGTGTTTCCATGGGTTTAGGGCTTAGGGGTGTTCATTGTGGGTCTATAGGAAATTGTGGCTTTATAGAGGAGGTGCATGGGGAGTATATGGGTCTTACTGGGAGTCTGTAAGGGGGTTAGGGGCCCGGGGAAAAGCCATCCCCAATAGTACCCCATCATCCGTGCAGCAGTCCCCTGTGAAGATCTCTAAAAAAGGTTAAGGGTTTGGGGCCCTTCGCCCTTGAGACCCTGACAAGGATATGGAGGCTCGCCTTTTGCTACGTTGCTTCCGGCTGAGGACAAGAATCAGTCCACGAGCGGAGGGGCTTCAAGCTTGGGATCCTGGATTTTTTGCATTGAGTAGATATTTTACACCTGTGCTTACTTCAGCTACCGCCCTGCAGGTAAGGTTTTGCTATTTGTGAAGCATTAAAAAGGACAACTGAGGATCGATTGTCTCCTTTGGTGGCGGCTTTGGTGGCTCTGTCAGTCGAGTCGGAGGCAATGGTGGCTCTGGCGGGGGCAGTAGCTTCGACCGTATTGGCGCAAACGATGCAGGGCGAGGCACTCTTGGTCAAGGCAATGATGGGGCGACCTCCGACAGAACTGCATTCGGAGCAGGGGGCGGGGGAGGGGGAGCCGGCCAAAGCGGCTTCCAACCCCCAGATGAACACTTGGGTGGACCAGGAGGAGATGGGATCGAGTCCAATATCTCGGGAACATCGCAATGGTTTGGCGGGGGAGGTGGTGGAGGTGTCAACGACAACTTCCCGAGTCCCGTGGAGGTACCGAACGGTGGAGGTGCTGGGGGTCGAGGAGGGGGCGGAAGAGGTAGCAACCGGACTGCGGGCTTCCGTGGTCAGTTTCAGGAGGGGTGTTTCAATGGTGAAGCTGGAGTGCCGAACACAGGTGGCGGAGGCGGAGGCACAGACCCTGAATGCCTCGCAGCAGGCAATGGTGGTTCCGGAATTATTGTGTTTCGATACCAGAGCCCTGAACAGATCCTGATCGGAGGCAACGTATCATCTGTCGACGGGTACATAGTTCACACATTCACAGAGGTGGGTACGTTCAACGTGGTGTATCCATTTGACTGCTCGTGCCAGAATTTCCCTGTGTGTCTCAGCGGCAGTAATTAGGGAATGCTTCAACTTGCTTGATTGACATAACAATACATAACAGAAATAACAGGAATAGCAGTAGCGGTAGCAGCAGCACTAACAGTCGCAGTCGTCGTCGTCGTCTTTGTAGTAGTAGTAGTAGTAGTAGTAGTAGTAGTAGTAGTAGTAGTAGTAGTAGTAGTAGTAGTAGTAGTAGTAGTAGTAGTAGTAGTAGTAGTAGTAGTACTGAGCGCATTCTTGTAAGAACAGAATCGTCCCCAGGTCGCGGGAACTCGCGATTTGGAAGTCAGCAACTGTGTCCCGCTTCCGTGTGTTTGCCACAGTGTGCCTTACAGTACCGAAGGCGTCTCTGCGAGACGGAGCTTGGAGCTGCCTTGCCTGTGAGAGAGAGAGAGAGAGAGAGAGTAGTAGGAGGAGGAGGAGGAGGAGGAGGAGGAGGAGGAGTAGTAGTAGTAGTAGTAGTAGTAGTAGTAGTAGTAGTAGTCGTAGTAGTCGCAGTAGTCGTAGTAGTCGTAGTAGTCGTAGTAGTCGTATAGTAGTCGTAGTAGTCGTAGTAGTCGTAGTAGTCGTAGTAGTCGTAGTAGTAGTAGTAGTAGTAGTAGTAGTAGTAGTAGTAGTAGTAGTAGTAGTAGTAGTAGTAGTAGTAGTAGTAGTAGTAGTAGTAGTAGTAGTAGTAGTAGTAGTAGTAGTAGTAGTAGTAGTACAGTAGTAGTAGTAGTAGTAGTAGTAGTAGTAGTAGTAGTAGTAGTAGTAGTAGTAGTAGTAGAAGTAGTAGTCGTAGTCGTAGTCGTAGTCGTAGTCGTAGTCGTAGTCGTAGTCGTAGTAGTAGTCGTAGTCGTAGGAGTAGTAGGAGTCGTCGTCGTAGTCGTAGGAGTAGCAGGAGTAGTCGTCGTAGTCGTAGGAGTAGTAGGAGTAGTAGTAGGAGTCGTAGGAGTAGTAGGAGTAGTAGTAGGAGTAGTAGGAGTAGTAGGAGTAGTAGGAGTAGTAGTAGTAGTAGTAGTAGTAGTAGTAGTAGTAGTAGTAGTAGTAGTAGTAGTAGGAGTAGTAGGAGTAGTAGGAGTAGTAGGAGTAGTAGTAGTAGTAGTAGTAGAGTAGTAGGAGTAGTAGGAGTAGTAGGGTAGTAGGAGTAGTAGGAGTAGTAGGAGTAGTAGGAGTAGTAGGAGTAGTAGGAGTAGTAGGAGTAGTAGGAGTAGTAGGAGTAGTAGGAGTAGTAGGAGTAGTAGGAGTAGTAGGAGTAGTAGGAGTAGTAGGAAGTAGGAGTAGTAGCAGTAGTAGTAGGGGTAGTAGCAGTAGTTGTAGCAGTGTAGCAGTTGTAGCAGTTGTAGCAGTTGTAGCAGTTGTAGTTGTAGCAGTTGTAGCAGTTGTAGCAGTTGTAGCAGTTGTAGCAGCAGTTGTAGCAGCAGTTGTAGCAGCAGTTGCAGCAGCAGTTGCAGCAGCAGTTGCAGCAGCAGTTAGCAGTAGCAGTAGCAGGAGCAGGAGCAGGAGCAGGAGCAGGAGCAGGAGCAGTAGCAGGAGCAGGAGCAGGAGCACAGCAGTAGCAGGAGGAGCAGCAGCAGTAGCAGGAGTAGCAGCAGTAGCAGGAGGAGCAGCAGCAGTAGGAGTAGCAGCAGCAGTAGGAGTAGCAGCAGTAGCAGGAGTAGCAGCAGTAGGAGTAGCAGCAGTAGCAGGAGTAGCAGCAGTAGCAGGAGTAGCAGCAGTAGCAGGAGTAGCAGCAGTAGCGTAGCAGTTGTAGCAGTTGTAGCAGTTGTAGCAGTTGTAGCAGTGTAGCAGTTGTAGCAGTTTAGCAGTTGTAGCAGTTGTAGCAGTTGTAGCAGTTGCAGCAGCAGTTGCAGCAGCAGTTGCAGCAGCAGTTGCAGTAGCAGTAGCAGTAGCAGGAGCAGGAGCAGGAGCAGGAGCAGGAGCAGGAGCAGGAGAGGAGCAGGAGCAGGAGCAGGAGCAGGAGCAGGAGCAGGAGCAGGAGCAGGAGCAGGAGCAGGAGCAGGAGCAGGAGCAGGAGCAGGAGCAGGAGCAGGAGCAGGAGCAGGAGCAGGAGCACAGCAGTAGCAGGAGGAGCAGCAGCAGTAGCAGGAGGAGCAGCAGCAGTAGCCGGAGTAGCAGCAGTAGCAGGAGGAGCAGCAGCAGTAGGAGTAGCAGCAGCAGTAGGAGTAGCAGCAGTAGCAGGAGTAGCAGCAGTAGCAGGAGTAGCAGCAGTAGCAGGAGTAGCAGCAGGAGTAGCAGCAGTAGCAGGAGTAGCAGCAGCAGTAAGAATACCAGCAACAGTAGGAGTAGTAGCAGCAGTAGGAGTAGTAGCAGCAGTAGGAGTAGTAGCAGCAGTAGGAGTAGTAGCAGCAGTAGGAGTAGCAGCAGTAGGAGTAGCAGCAGTAGGAGTAGCAGCAGTAGGAGTAGTAGTAGTAGTAGTAGTAGTAGTAGTAGTAGTAGTAGTAGTAGTAGTAGTAGTAGTAGTAGTAGTAGTAGTAGTAGTAGTAATAATAATAACAATAGTAATAGTAATATTAGTAGTACTGGCAGCAATCGTACTAATCGCAGTGGTCGTAGTAATCGTAGTAATAGAAGCCGTCGTAGTAATCGTAGTAATCGTAGTAATCGTAGTAATCGTAGTAATCGTAGTAATCGTAATAGCACCAGCAGCAGCAGCAGCAGCAGCAGCAGCAGCAGCAGCAGCAGCAGCAGCAGCAGCAGCAGCAGCAGCAGCAGCAGCAGCAGCAGCAGCAGCTGCAGCTGCAGCTGCAGCTGCAGCTGCAGCTGCAGCTGTAGCTGTAGTCTTGCACACATGCATCGTTCGCTTGTGCTGAGCTGAGTCGATCTGAGGAATGGTCCTCAGTTCCGGCAGTGTAACTACTGGGGCGACCCACACTACACAGCGAGTTGGGGCCCTCACGGCCGTTTTGACTATCAAGGCTTAGGTGTGCATGAGGTGGTGAACAACAGCGAGCCTCGGCTTGTGAGTGGTGCCCTTACTCCTTTTTTGAGGGGCAGGATCCCTTATAAACCCCCTATAAAGAAAGAGAGCTGGGTGACCCATAAGCTCAGGAGATGTGCCAGAGCTTCCGAATGCAGCTTGGATTCCGGACTGGGTGTTTTTTCATGTTGACGCAGCACTTCCAAGTACCCATAATTTAAAGTGTTGTTTAGAGGACCATAGCCCAGAAGGCAACCGAAACCCATTGAGGCAGGCATTCCATTGCCAATACAGAAACACTGGGAATGCCGTGACCCTTGGTGTGGCCTTCCAACTCGACAACAACACCCGGGTCTTTATGAACGACTCCTACGTTTTCGTGACCCCAGGCACAGGGATCCATGAGAAAGCTTCTTATCAAATGCAGGGAATGAGGCCTCTCATTAGAGAGCTGCGGTCCGGGTAGAGTACACCGGAAACCCTATAAGCCCTTTCCCTATCTTCCCGATAAAGCCCTGAACCCTAACCGCTGTATCTTCAGTATGTTCCATGCCTATATTCGTCTTTCAGGAAAAAGGGAGCGCGGTACCCATCAAGGAGCTTAACCAATTTCCCGAATTCTGAAGCTTTAGGGGGTTCTACAGGCCCCTATACGGCCCCGTATAGGCCCCGAGGGCTCAACAGGGCTGTGTAGGGTTGTATGGGGCATTATGGGGCTCTGGGGTCATCACAGCTTCATGACGCATGAGCTACATTGCCACAGCTGCAGTAGCGAAGGGTTTTCATGGACACGGTATATGCACTATTTCGTAGACATGAGTTTTACAGTTTTACTCGTATTGTAAGTGAGGTAGATTCTCTGTCCCTTCCTACATAACAACGGGTTCCCGCGCTTTGGTCGGACCGGTCAGGCAGCGAGGATCGTGTGTCCAGGAGCGGAAGCCTCACCCAAGCTCAGCTCCGCAACGGTGTGAACATTCAGACAGGTGCGGTGCGAGGGGCTGCCGGGAAAGGAGTTTAGGGTTCCAATGTGCACAGAGTTGAGGGTTCAGGGTCAGGGAGTTAAGTGTAGTTTCGTGTTCCGGTGAGAGGTTTGGGCTCAAGGGTTAAGGGTTGAGGGTTGGGAGTACGCTGTAGCACCGGCAGGCAGGATGAGCGTGTCGCAAACATATTCGAAGGGGCACCAATCAGCACAAAACTTTTCTGCATAGCGGGTACTTATGCATCCGTGGAGCTGCCTCAAGTTGGAACCCCGTGAGTTGCGATCCTTCTGTGTTGACACTGTGTTGCCTCGACGTGGCACACCCTGGCCGGGTGCCATTCGGGGTGACATTGTACGGTTCTGAAGGGCTTTCCTAAGATTTAGAGGCGACCATTGCAACTTTGCGAACATCAATGGGGTGACCATCCGTGGAAAGCCTGGATACATCTTGAACGCAAAGATCCGGGCACACGAGGAGGTTGATGCACCCCAGGGAATCTGCGGAGCAGAGTTTCTGGTGTCTACATTTGTCAGCGAGCTTCGGTGGATGTTTTGCAGATTTTGTCAGACGCAAGCATTCGACAGTGAACGAGTGGGGCGTAGCTTGGGAGTTCTGGGAAGCTGATTTCAGAGTGTGGGGAGACTTGGGGAGCTGCAGAACATGGGGACGTGTTCTGACCAACGGTCCCCCGCGAAATCAGCTATCATACATTCGTACGCAGGAAGGGATCATTATTTAGAATACAACCCATGATGGCCCCCGTGTCAGCACTTCATGTCCGTAGAACTGCAAAGGCAGCCTCAGAGTGGCGCCGTGTTCTACGGGGTAGGGCTTGTAGGGTCATGGTTGGATAGAGTTGGGGCAAATGTACGGCCGCATCAGACTTTTTCTGCAATTTTGAAGCGTGATTAGCTGCTGGACCGTTCATGTGGGACCCAGTTTAGGGGTTCGCCCTTGTGCAAACGTTGTTGAAACTTTTCAGGACCCCTTGTTCTGCAAGGGCGTCGACAATTGTGTAACATTGAAGTTGTTCCTTTCCAATGCCGTGAATCGCGCTTGGAGAGGTTGTCAGTAGGTTGTATTGCCGCGGTCCCCACATCACACCAGCCCTTGACTGTGTTAGGGTTCCTTCTATTGCAGACCCTCCCCTCCCTTGTTTCTCCTGTTCCATCTCCTGTTCCAACAAGGATGCTGCCGACTACCTCTTCACAGACGATGAGTTCCTTCGCCTTTGCGACCAATGCGATTCCTTTGGAGGTACCAACATGCCGACTACTCATCGTTTTTGTTTGTTTGTTTTGTTTGTTATTCACAGGAGCCGATACTGCCCTGAAACCTTATTGTGCTAGCTTCTTAGTTTCTCGTGCGCCCGAGACCGCGGCTTTGCCCGCTGAGGCACTCGCTCTCCCGGATGCCCCGGAGCTACTACGACTACCTCCCCAGCTGTCCTGAGCGACCGGTGCAGCTTTGCGCAGCCTGGCGTGAACTCAAACATCCCTGGGATTCTGAGCACCGTGCAGGAGTGCCAAATAAGTGCTGGGACATCACCATTCGATGAATATGAGCAGAAGGAGCCCACTGCAAATCTTTCGAGCTTCGATGACGTATGTGTCTTTTTCTACGATTCAAGCAGCGGTGCCAAAAACTGCAACACGTTCTGCGGCTTGCTTGGCACCACTTGCAACATCTTCCTGGGGCAAGTTGGTGCCTCGGGAAGCTGTGAAACAGCAACCACTAGCTTTGCTGACTGTGATGCTACACCGGGTGATGCAGCCATTTGCGCGTGCAACATCAATCAGGACAGAAGGTTCAAAAGACGGTTCTATAGAGTTCTATAAGAGTTCTATAAGGGTTTCCTAGGCGGGGTGCTGTCGGGTCAGCCATGCGCAACCTCAAGTGGCCCCCCCGCCTCTTCGTTATGAATTCGCCGGCGCCCTGTTTTTGTCACCGGTAGATACATTCCTGGACAGACACTTTTGTTGAGTAGGAACCCAGGCGGTTGCATCGGGGGTGTTCTTTCTTTCTCCCAGTCGTTATTTCTTCCTTCCTTTCTTTCTGTCTTTCTTTGTTTCTTGCGGCTGTCGTTCCTTCTGCATGGTCCTTCTTCCTTATGTCCTCTAGAGTTTGCTACAGGAAATAAGGAAAACCTGCTGGGTTTGGCTTCTGTTTCCTTCATATTTAATTCCAAACGCTGGAAATTGTCTAGGTCCTCTATGTTTTAATCGGGGACCTTACTACCAAAACAGAGGACAAATTCAAAATGAAGGGTCGAAATAATTCAGCTTTTATCTCTCACTTCGTTCCTAATTTTAATACGGCTTTCACGCAGTTCCTTGTTAAAATGTACTCTCTTCGTACACTTGTATTATAATTAAGGGGGCAATATTAGTAGTACTTTGTGCCCCCCTTAAAAACCCCAATTTCGTTCAATCGTTCAGTGAATTCATGCAGGGGGGGGTCAGACGCAGAGGGGGGGGGCGTGGGGGGGGAAGCAACGAGCCCCTCCTAGCGCCGACCCGGCGGGAGTCGGCGGATTCTAGACCGCGATGTATCGTATAAAGATATACGGTACTGGTAGTATTCTAAAACTCTATACGATACCATATTCGACTTTATTATTTTACTTTTCAATTGACTGTATATACTATATTGTATCATGGCATGCTATATTTTTGTATCATACTATACTATGCTATTCTGAAATTGTACTGCATTGCACATCTGCCATGCTCATACTATACACTATGATATCTTACTGTGCTATACTTTACTATATCATATTGTCTATGCATCACTGCGGTTCATTGTTACCGTTACAGTATGGTATGCTACACTATACTGTATGGCCGAGGACTTCATCCCCAACGCTGGTGAGAGCATTACCCAGATCGTGGCAGCTGCGCAGGCAACTCTGGGAGTGTACAGTAGGGTGTAGGTATGTCGCGGTTTTGGGATGAGTTGTAAAGTCGAGTTATGTAGTGCGGATGCTCAAGCGGTATGGAGTTCTTGAGGATCTTTTTGGGCGTACTACGGTTTAAGGTAAACCGGTATACCCAAGTTTCCCTGATCAAAGTCTGTAAGCTTGCATTCGGTATGATAGATCAGTCCTGGCGGCGTGTCAAACTCTAAACCTTAAACCCGAAACCCTGTTTGATTTTGCCCCCAAAAAAGACTATCGGAAAAAGCCTCCAGGCAGACCCAGACATCAGCTTCCAGGACGCAGTGGACAATTGCAGCACTGGATGGCTGGCCGGGGTGACCCTTGCCACACGCAACAGGTTTACATAGACGGCTATACCCTATCCCCCTTTGTGTTAGGGTACGTAATTCTAGGGTGAGGGTTCTCGAACAAGGCCATGAGGCATAGAGACCCCTCTTGGCGGGGTTTAGGGCTTCGGGTCTGAGATTCGTGGGCTTCGTCGACATGGTGGACTTTTGGTTTGAAGGTCGTTGGGTGCCTGATGTAACATGTAGCGCATTCTTGTCAGAACATCCTCCATACAGACATCTCTTGCATGAAGGGGGCATCATCGTTGGGGACAGAAGGTTTCCGGCTCAAGTTGAGGGCTTAGAGTCTAGAGAGCTTGGAGATTCTTGATTTTGGTTCCTCGCGCTTACGGCGGAACCCACCTCCTTAGACTCCAGTGTTCCATTTTGCAAGCCATAGACTCTAGAACTATGGGCTCTGTGGGGTTTAGGGTTGCTTGGTTCGCTATACTGCTTCTCATGTGTAGCTTTCGTCTCAATTCCCCCAGAAAGCGGTTCGAAGGATACTGTAATGTACGACGGTAAAACTATAGCATACGGTTAGTATACTATATTGTATAGTCGTCCATATAGTACAGTATTCTATACAGTCTAGTGTACGGGTCTAGGGGGTTTGTAGGACAAGGACCTCTGAAGTTCACCGCGTTTGCTTCAGTGATTTGTTTCAACACTGTCTCCTCTCGGCTTGGGTCTACGGGAGGTGGAGTTGAGGTTGCGGTTTGTACAAAGCCGGCTTTCATAAAGTCAAGGTCAGACAAGTGGCAAAGTTGAACATGCGACATGAGAAGGTGAAGACGATCAAGGGCAGAAAATGACCAAGGCGTCAACAAAAGATTCCAGCTCAGAGGAGGTAAATGAGAAGCGAAGGAGATGACAAATGCGAAAACAAGCGGGGATGGTGTTGAAGCAACAAATTGAAGCAGACACTCAGGGGGCCCCTAAAAGCCCTGTCTTACAAATCCACTGCCGTTGAACAAGTCTTGTTCCGGCCGACGGGCGTGCGAGAACTCAGAGCCCGCTAAACATAGTAGAACTCTGCTTGCAAAGCATCTTTTGACCTTTTGAGGATTTATTCTGAAGGGCAAATAGGGATCTATGTTCCTGGATAGTAGAGTGATGTGTTTTTTACTTTTGTTTGGGGCTGGGTGAAGGGTTCCTCCTCCATAAACCCAAGCCACAAATTCGTAAACCGTCCCAAGCCCTACATGAATCCCGTGGTGCAGTTATTGGCGCGTGAATGCCTACACACGAAAACCACTTCTACAATAATATTATACTATACGGTAAGAATAAGACAATGCTCTAGCATTTTTACTACGCTATACCGAAGGCCCTCAACACTGTAGGACTGGAAACCTTAAAACGGCGCAAAGAAACCAGAACCCATAACAAACGACTTACTGGTGCTTAAGGGGGTGGCAAGGAGGGAATCTCGGGGCATGGCGACTCCTGCAGGGATTCACTCCCCCATTCCCAAAAAAGGCGCCAGAGAACACAGGGTACAATAGAAAGCTATGGGGCTTTACGGGGAATCAAGGGTTCTATTTGGGTATTGTAGGGTTCTATAGTGAACTTGTGGGTACTATAGGGCCCAAAACTCCACGCCTCAGGGTGCTCCCAGCGAACTTGTCGAACGCGTCGAACAATTTGACAGAGGAGCAGTTCAACGTGCTCAGCTGCATTGCGGATTGGGTTTTTGCCGAGCCAGAGGACACAGCCCCCGCCTATACTACAACAGTATACGACAAAAGCATACGTTCAGCTGGTGTGTGAGGAACGCTATGAAAGATGACTGCCGCCTCCGGGATTACCTTCGGAGAAAGAGACAGAGTAGCCTGAAAACCGCCTTAGCTCCTAAGCCTGTCCTGTAGTACAGTATGGTGTACTGTGCGAAAGTACACTACAGTATATTCTACTAGAGTATACCTTACTCTACTATATATACGATCGTTCGTGAGGACCGCGTTGTTATTGTCGAGGTGACCCAGGAGCAGGATCCTGTCTTGCCACCAAATGCCTGTGCAGCCACCGATGGAACGAGGCTTGAGGATTCATCTGCAAAACTGTAGATATTATAGTAGTACTTAAAAACTATAGTACAGAAATAAAGGAGAGTAAGCGTTCTATAGTAGAATGAGTGTACTACAGTAATCCTTACACTACACACACACACATACGCTGTAGAAATTGTATTGTTGCTGGAGTGTACTGTGCCGAGGCTTGAGGATCCGTCCAACTACCCGTGTACTTGCGAAGGGACGATGACAATATGCACCGCCGGCCAGTTCTGTGATGCCACGTCACCTACACCCACGTGTTTGATCTCCTGTGCAACCTTCTCATGCGCGGGGTTCCTGAGGAATAATGCTTCCGAAATTCCCTGTCCCGGAAGCATTTGCACTGAGAGTCTCTGTTGTCAAGCCACCACCACCACCACCACAACAACTACAACCACCACCACAACAACTACAACCAGCACCACAACAACTACAACCACCACCACCACAACTACAACCACCACCACCACAACTACAACCACCACCACCACAACTACAACCACGACCACCACAACTACAACCACCACCACCACCACAACAACCACCACCACCACAACAACAACCACCACCACTACGACCACCAGCACCAGCAGCAGCACCAGTACTACCACCACCAGTACCACTACCACCACCAGTACCACCACCACCACAACCACCACGACAACCACCACCACAACTACCACCACAACTACCACCACAACTACCACCACAACAACTACCGCAACTACCACCACAACTACCACTACAACTACCACCACAACCACCACCTCAACGACTACCACAACTACCACCACAACCACCACCTCAACGACTACCACAACTACCACAACGACCACCACGACCACCACCACCACCACCACCACCACCACCACCACCACCACCACCACCACCACCACCACCACCACCACCACCACCACCACCACCACCAGCACCACCACCACCAGCACCACCACCAGCACCACCACCAGCACCACCACCACAACTACAACCACGACCACCACCAGCACCACAACAACAACAACAACAACAACAACAACAACCACAACCACAACCACAACCACTACCACTACCACCGCCACCACCACAACCAAAACAACCACCACCACAGCTACCACCACGACAACCACCACAACGACTACCACAACGACCACCATCACCAGCACAACCACCTCCACGACAACTAGCACTTCGACTACAACCACCACCACGACGACTACCACCACCACCGCCGCCACCATTTCCACTACCACTGTCAGCATGAGCAGCAGCACCACCACCACGCAGACTCCAAGTACAAGTCCAGCTCCAACCACTAGCACCACTCTAGCTCCCACTTGTGCAGATTTCCAGTGCCCCGCCAGATACAGGAGCAAACCGTACGGGGCAGAAATCCACTGCAACCCCACCGGATGTGATGTTCGCACGTGCTGCGTTCGCAAGAGGCACCTGCGGCACCGCAAGCACAGGCACCGGTACCATCACTACGATTACAGTTACGGAGATGCATCCATCCTTGAGATTGACTACGACAATGATTCTGACGATGTGGAGGAGGCAGTCCAGTCAAACTGAATCACAACGCACACTACGAATGCTATGCCCTGATCCCCCAACCCCGAGCCTTGTTGTTAAGACAAACTGCATGCAGAAACAGGAACTCCATCAGCTCACGCGATAAGCTTCAGAGTCTTGCCGTCTTGGCCCTCACGTTGAGTCGGAGTAAGTTTGGCTTGCACGTGGCAGGACAGTGCATTCTTCCAGGAACCGTGGTGTGAAGAGGGCGATGCAGCATGCGAGGAGGCTGAGCTTGCTCAGTTTGACGCCGAGCATGATCACGACACAGAGCTATGAATTGGAGCGATTCCAATGCGGACGCGTTGTCTTGCCAGTAGTGTTAGAGAATTCATGTGAGGTTACAAGTTTTGTGGCGGAGGGACGGATGAGCATACAGTCAAATGACGTTGGTCTTCCCGGTCCGTGTATGCTAATGCCTGACGGTTTCCGGCACTTGCCATAAAGGGTGAGTGCCAGACAACAATCGTATGCCAAAGCTTGAGAACATCGCCCAAGAGCCCAAGAGTGGCAAACAGCGGTGCATTGAAAATCGATGTCTTGTAACTATTGCATCCCACACCCTAGCTAAAGCTTTGCGGGCGTTTCATCTTTTGAGAATCTATTGAGGGAGGTTGCCGAGGCGGCCCGATTACGGCAGATTTCAGGATGGATGTGGGTTGGTGAAGATTTCACGCTGGATGGGGGCTGTTATACCAGCAGCCTGTGGCTCAAGACTGAGTAGAAGACTTTATTCACTTGTAGTACTGATGGGCTTCACCGCCCGAATCTTGTGGTTGGCATGGGCCGTGAGAATGGCCGGACTCGTGATTGCGGTGGAGGCAAATCTGACAGGAAATGTAGAAGCATCATATATAGTGCAGCAAATGCTCCTGACAGCATTAGTATAAAATTCACGAACCTGTTTGACGATTTGCCAGCGACCAAGCCCATCAAGCCAAAATAGATAGTAAGTATGTAATATTCGGATGGCAAACCAGGCAGGTGAACAACAAACCTGCGAACAAACGTCCAAGGTGTCATCTTGGAGCATATTGCACTCGATGTTTGGATATGGGTTCAGTTTTAGGGCTACAGGTGCCTTGCTTTGTTTCCTGCGCTGTGCAATTTTTTTGAGGCGGCTTGGGAGTTGGGGGCTTCGGGTGCACTACATAAAAACCCTCCTGGCTCCGGCCGCTTCAAAACCCCAAAACACGATCCTGAATCCGAAGTTTGTCTTCTCGAGAGCCACAACCCCAGAGTTTGGATCTTTAGTCCCCGTGTGTTCCTTTGAGCTGCCAGGAGACGTGCGCGACCAGCGCGCACAGTCTGCTCCAGAGCAAGCGACAGAAGCTCAACGAGGTCCCGTATCTAGGACATGCTCACGGCAACATTGAAGAGCATCGTCAATCCTCTTACCATTGTTGCTGCTGTTGTCTGTTGTGGTTGTGCAGCTGATGGTTAGAACGGAGATCGTGACAGTTCCAGTGGTGCACCGTGCATGTTGCGAACAACTGTTTTGCCTGGTTCCTCTTGTGTGATGCATCATGCCCCTTATTTCAGGTCATCTTCTCAGTCGCGGTGTCAAACTTAATAGGCGTGTCTAGCAAGATCGAACGCCATGCGCCCCGAAACACCAATGTCGAGAGCCAGGTGGAAGTTGATTCTTTCGTGGCCCTCGGAGATGAACCTTCTGAGGAGATCTCCGAGGCTGGTCGACATCCACTGTCATCATCACTACTAGCACCACACCTTCATATTCAACATCGCTATGACCGTCACCGCCTAGATCACCATCATCTCCGTCATTACCATCATCACGACCGCAAACGCCATCGCCAGCCTCACCACCACCGCTGCCGCCACCGCACCACCGCTGCCGCCACCGCCACCACCCCCACCACCACCAGCAGCATCATCATCATCATCATCATCATCATCATGATCATCATGATCATCATCGTCATCATCGTCACCATCACCATCACGGTGACTATTTTCGTGACCGGAGCAAGCCTCAGGACCTCAGCATGCACAGGTTGGCTTGATTCTACTGGTCTGGGACATCGGGCTTCGTTCCCCTTCTCATTTGACTTGTCCGATGTCGTAGTTAGCTCTGAAGCCAGACTGTTGCAGCTGGATTTCTGCTCTTGTGTCAGGAGTCCGAAACTTCGCGTATCACAGTATATGTTTTTGGCGAGGGCATTCAGTCTTGTAGAATGTAGAATCAATGTAGAAGAGGGTTGTATAGGGTATTACACAGTGCCCCAAACTCTTAGGAGTGAGTCCGGCTGCAGGCCACCGGCCCCAAGAAGGAAGAACTGCAGGGAGGTTCCTTGGCTTATTGTTGTCCGGGGCTTTTATTTTATGTTTTGAGTGTTCTCTGAGTGGAGAACCCTTGAATCTGAAGGTATCGATACTTTGCTGGCGAACATCTGAGACCGGAGTCTTCTAACTAAAACGTCAGATTTGCAGCCTGCAAAGCGCAAAACCAACGACATTGTGCGCCGTCTTAGCTTCGCCCTTCACACCTGAACGAACTTTGAATCCTGACCCTTTCAGCCTCTTGAAGTGAGGCGGTAAACTCTTGACCCAAGGACCCAACCACAAACTCGTCCATGAACCTGAAACCCAGCCCCAACCCTCAGCCCCTTGTACATTTCATTCTGTGCTTACGTGCGTGGTATTCGGTGATGCCTTGAATGGCTGTACATGCGTTCTAGGTTCCCTGTTTAAAAAAAGGCCTTGGGTATGAGATGTTGTGGTTGTAAAACTACGGGGGTGGTTGACAGATTCTGGCACCCGCTAGGGGTTGACGCAGGGTGAATTGCGGGGTCTAGCACCTGTGCTTCTTCTCCACATGACCGCCCTGAACTTGGAACTCTAATTCGACTTCTTTCCGCAACCATGCTCCTTTCGCCACTCGGCGTGCTAGGCACGGAGAAGGACCACCGCGAAGGGCAGACGCTTGGTATAACCCCTTAACCTTAAAACCCCAAGCCCGCAGTCCCGAAATGAACCTGAAGCCTCAAACTCCTGGGACGCAGACCACTGCGAGGCGGAACTGTGAAAAAGGCACTCGCAAAAAACCTCACCTTTCAGCATCGGAGAGCCTAAACCCGAATCCCTACCCTGTTTGGAAAATCCAAGACCGACCCAGGCATTTGCTGACCATTCCTGGGCCCGCGGATGTTCGCAGGTCAGTTCGCGGCGCTGAGGAGCAACGTCTGTGCAGAGCTCAGGGTTTCGGAGTCTTCGGTTCGAGCTTCAATCAAGGGTTGGGACGGTTTGTTTAGGATTTGGGTTGCATGGGTTTGGGGAGTTTGGGGGTTTAGGCTTTTAGGGGTGTCGGGTTTGATGGGAATCGGGTTCGGAGCTCTTGAAGCCGCAGAATGCACTTTGCACCGTGACCTTCGCAGAGGAAGAGAGAGGTTGTCCAGGAAGACCCAGAGATAGTTCTCTTAAAGTCTGCAACCGCAAAACGCACAGAAAGTCCAAAACCTCCAGTCTCCCGAAACTCCTATAACCATATTATGAAGCCCCTATGACCCCGAGAGCAGGACGAGCAAGTGGACACCTTCGAGCTCTGCCGTGCTCCGCCTGCGAACACTCTCACCCAGGTGGGGTCGAGCGTACGTCTAAAGCTGAAGGGGCCTCAAACCAGGAGAAGCCCCGAAAACCCAAACCCAAACCTTGAAGCCCTGAACCTGCAAACCCCAAACCCCGATAGAATCTTTATCGAATCCTGATAGCCTAGAACTCTTAGATCCTACAAACAGGTGGATTCCACCCACGCATCGTCAGCGAGTCGGAAGCAGGCACTTGCTGGTGCGACATCGAGTACAGATTGTTTGGGTTTGCATGCCATAGCAGGTGCACCGGTCGCTGGCTCTGCGGTGTAGTTCCAGCTTCTAATACAGGGTACGTCATGATGTTGGTTGGTTTTTTGCCTCTACAGTAGCTGTAGAACAAGAAGTCGGTGTAGAGCTCCGAGCCTGGAGCATCCCAAAGCCCGTGAGCCCTGCGTCCGAAAGCTCTACAACCTGAACCACCCCAAGCCCGAACTAACACCATGAATGCTACACCCCACAGCCCTAAACTCTCAACCCAACACCCTGCAACCCTACACCATGAACCGTCATGAACCCTGATTCCTCGTGTTCCGCCTGGCAGGCTACGCTCCACGAGAGCGGCGCGAGCTGCCATGCTCCGGAGGTGAAGCGAAAGACCAAAACAGCAGCAATGGTTCCAGGGCTAAGGTTTTGAGGGTTTGGGGAAGGAAGAGGAGTCGTCATAAATCTGGTTGGTTCTTTCAGAACCTACCAGCACCACCACCATCATCATTATCATCATAAATCTTCGTCTCCTCGTCTGCTCAGCATCACCATCATCACCCCTGCTTTAGTATCGCAGAAATTTTCATCATCACTCCGGCAGCATCAGCGTCGTGGTCGCGCCTTCTCTTGGTGGTGAGTATGATTCTAGTTGCAGTGGCAGAGGTGACGGCGACGGCCATTCATATAGATTTCTTGCTCTTCTTCTTATACTGATTTGTTGTCAGTGTTGCTGTTGTTCGTTTCCCCTCTGTGTGTGTGTGTGTCTCATCATGTTTTGGTTCTGTGAGGCATCCTTTCGATACTCTGTTATGGCCAGTAGATTAGCCTTTGTTTATGACAACGGCTTTGTCATCACCGCCATCTAGTGCCATAGTCACTACGATGCTGTTGCATGTTGGCAAGCAAGACAATGCTGATGATCATGATGTTGAAGAACATGGGGGTCATGATTACGTGAGGACCGTGAGGATGCTGGAAAGTGTCATGATGCTGCTGATGATGATGAATGATGATAAGAGGATGGTCAGAAAAAATTGATCATACTTTGATGGTTGTGGTGCAGGCAACGATGACAGTGATGGCCATAAGCCATAAGGTTCACGCAGCGCTTGCTGGGGCAACGAACGTGACTATCACGCTGATGGCAATGGTCAAATTCGGGACACTGCTCATGTTGCTGCTGCCGATGCTGTGGTTTCATTCTGCGATGATGATGATGATGATGATGAGGATGATGATGATGATGAGGATGATGATGAGGATGATGATGATGATGATGATGTTGTTGTTGAGTCCTGTGGCGGAGGCGGGAATAGATTGTGGCAATGCCGGCAGGGGTCAAAGGATCTCTCCAAACAGCGGAACTAGCGAGCCCCGCAATGCGGGAGTCGGATGGGAGTGGGACGAAGGGTCAGCACACTGCTTTCATGGAGATGTTATCTTGGGGAAGGGTGGGGGGGGGGG